GAGAATATAACAAGAATTGCAAACAGAGTAATATCAACAGTAATAGTTATAATAACAATAATAATATTAATAGTGTTGAAGTGAGTTAAGATAATCCTACTGATAAAGGATAGTTTTAAATGAATCAAGAATAATAATAATAGGTAGATTTATAAGTAAAACGTATTACCATGGTAGATTCAGAGTCACGACCATCTCCTTTTGTACACAGAGACCTGGTTTATAAACTCGAATTGCACAAGCCTCTGCAATTGCAAGCATCTTCTTGTTTCTTTGTCTGCTGACAATAGTGAATGACTTGACAGCGTCGATACAACAAAACTTCAGCATCGATCTCTTTTATTTCTACGTCTACGCATTACAATTTTTACTTGAGTTGTATCAGTTACGTAATGTGTAGAACAATATCCATACATCTATAGTGAATATCAAGAAGACAAATAACATTTAAATTCAAGGAGTTCACAAGTTAACTAATTGAGACTTAAGTAGAAAAAAAGTCAAACTGTGACTGTGGCTTATAATTCATCAGTGTATTAAATATAAACTACCACTTATGTCCACCTCTATGTTTGTGTGTGTCTACTGTTTCATGTACCCCTGTGGATCTGATTACATTGAACACTGTTTGCGTATTCTCCGTAAACATCTAGCTAAACACCACCCAGTATGATTGATGAAAGGCGATCTGGGAACACTCTCTGGAGTCAGGTCATTCATCCCTATGCGATTTATCCGTTAAAGTTATCTACAGGGCTAAATTATATCACTCTAGGAGCTTAAGTTTTCTTCATTTATGTACAGTCGAAGCTCTAGCTTTACATGGACAAAATCCGAAACTGTGTATTTTTATAAATGCTGTATTAAACCTATTCTGTTTTGACCTTGATCATAGTAATATTTCTTTTATTTTACTCTATTTTATCACGTGAGTTCATTCCACATCATCATCAGCATTATCACCTTCTTTATAGTGATCATGATCGTACTCTTAACTTTTTGACAACATTTGACATTATTTTCAAAACCTAACATCAACTCACTTATTTATGCGTTGGTGGCACGGTGGTAGAATGCTCGCCAACCACGCCTCATGTGACCTGGGGCCCAATCCCCGGCCACGGACGCACTCCCAAACCTAGCTAAGTCAGTAGTAAGTCTGGTAAAGAGGGAAGGCTGAGCATGAAGCTAGCAACCCAATCCCATAAAAAAATAAACCTCACTGCTATCGAAACTTCAAGGCTCCAGCTTGAAGCCCTATGTTCCACTGGAAACGTAAAGGAATAAAAAACTCACTTGTTTAGTGATCTTTAAAAGTTTTGGAATTCTTCCAATTTGCCCCTACCCATCCCCTGTTGAAAATTGGGTTTAAACTAATAGAAGTGAATGGGAAATTTATGTTTCATAACATTTTAGACTTTGAATACTGCTGAGTAATCAAACTTAAAGTGTTAAGACCATTTTATCAGAATCTCTGAATATGTCCCACATTGCTTCAGAAATAACAAAGAAATGGTACGCAGGGGAGATGTGGAGACACCGACTAAGTGACAATTCATCACTTCCTAATAATGCACCACTGTCTCACTAAAATAATACCTAAAATGTGTATTTAAATTTTAAAAAGAAAAAGCCACAATACACTAATCAATTATTGTAGAAGTTTCAAATTCTTCCATGCCAACGACAAATCGTTACATTTAAACTTGTTTGAATGAGTGAAGAAGTCTGATTTCCAGTAGTGGCTTTTGGATAATCCTTACAACAATCTACCAGTTGGGGTACAACTAGGTCTCAATTAATTTACCATCAGTCATTGAGGATTTCACCTGGGTAATATATAAGGGGAAAAGATTGCTGCAGTCAGTTTACTATTACCTCTCTCCAGCTACATACGGGCAGTTCTTCGATACAGAATCGGTTCTATTAGTTGCTTCATTAAATATTCCTGTCAAACAGACACTGTCAGACACTTTGATCAAAAACGTAGATATTTGTAAATGATCTACATTTGTTTCAAACAATCTTGAAGCAGGCTATCAAGATAAGTATGTTTTCCCGCTTCAAACAAGAAACATGTGCGCCCAAAAATTCTGTCAGTTAATTTGTGCTTATTGTGATCAAAATTAAATTCTTCTCCCAGCTCTATCCACTAGACACAATTTATCTTAAATATCCTAGATGGGGAAATCAACAAATAAATGAAAACATCACAGCAAGTAGTTCAGCGAAGAAGTTCTTTTCGGAAAATTCAATTTCTTAAGATATACAGTCTAATTTATAAACAATATCTTTCACTTAAAAGAAGGTAATAACAAACGCGATTAGTTGTCATAATCATAGATAGATGTTGTTAAAATTAGTCAACGCATAAAAAGGGTTGAATAAGTGTATCATAGGTATGTAACAAAATGATTAATTTAGTAAATGAGTTGTAGTCAGGAGTGAATTAAAAACTTGTCAACAGTTGTCATTTTATCTGAACAAACTACTTCTCCTTAAAAGTAATCTACAAATTGAAGAATCACCTGTCAAAGACAAACAGTTTTCGGATCGTTCTCATCACTGAAGCTGTAGTCATTCAGATGGAAAAGCCAGAGTCTTACATACAAAAGGATATTATTCAGCCACTTCTACTGCCATGGTAACAACCTTGTTTTTGTTTCCCATTAATTTGATCCTTGTTTGTTTTTAAACTCTTTATAACTCTTGCATTTATTTAGAACTCTTACGTGATTCCATATTTCTCTCCCGTTTCCATGCACATCCTGAGTACAGTTCATTCATTATATCATTCGTCTTATTAAGTAGCTCCAAGGCTGTCATTCATTTCGTCGTATACGTTAACTAATATTAACAACTGTGATTATGGCAACTCACCACTTTTGTTACTACCATTTACACGACCAATAGTACTACCTCGACTGAAAGATGAAGTACCTAGACTAGCCACTTCAAATTGTATCTACCAATTCAACTGTGCTTGTGAAGCGAGTTATATTGGCCATTGCTCTAGGAACTTGATTTTTCGCTCTCGAGAACATCTCCCACTATGGCTAAGTAAAGGTATAGTTAAAACCATTAACAGTTGAATATTGTACCATCTAGTGCAAACCGGCCACAAAGCCAGCGAGCTTGGAAGAATCCTGCTCTATAATCTACCGGTTGACTAATAAATTGCCAAAATCATCGGAGCACCACATACTCCAAACAGCAGAGGCTATTGCAATTCGCCTCAAACAACCAGTGCTACGTGTTCTAAAGAAGCACGTCCAGCCCTTAATACTGCTCTGGCCTTCAGTAGAGACTATAAATTCATGAATACGCAATATTATCTCTGCTAATTTTTCTGACATTCAGCTTATTTTATGTTGATGCTATTGAGCTGTAATCTATTGATATTATTGATTCGATGTTATTTAAACATTAATGTTGTTCATAAAACTAATTCATTCATTCACTACAATGTGTATATAACTGTAGAGCCTGATGATGAAGTTATCGAAAAGAGTTCTCTTTGTTCAGTATCCATTCTTTTGAAAAAAATGTGTATAAATTCAACTATGCATCTTAAGAAAACGTGTTTGATCTCAAGCTAAAATCGGTTAGAGAACCAATCGAAAACTAGAGAAACCTGGACAGCTGCTTCTGCCTAGTTTGCAACTCATCATCAGTATAAAAACCATTGACCTTTGACCTACTGATCTTCTGATTACAAGGAAATCTCGTAGACTATTCAGCCACTGGGATCCTGTCCAAAGGTTAATGAATCCCAACCTCTAACTAATTCATGATTTAAACGCAACTGTCAGCCAATTTCATCGGCGAGTATCAATCTTCGCGCCGAACTAAATGGACCCCACTGGTGACATTTTATCTCACTAGGCCTCCAGTCAATTCCATCCTGCAGCCAGTCACTGACAGACATCAGATTAATTTTCAAGAGTTGTATTGTAGAGATCTGATTTGTTTCCAATTTGATCATAAGCTAATATCAGTTAGAGTATGCCTAAAAACCTCGAGGAATTACTGGACAGCTGTTTCATTCTAGTTTGGGGTTCTTCAGCATTACGCAGGCACATGGATACCCAATAGGGATCTCCACCTGATGACAGCTCATGATAAAACTTGGAACAAATCAAATCCCCCACAAACAAACTCTTGGAAAGTAAAGGAAATTAATTCACTGAAAAGAACCTCTTTGCTGAACTACTTGGTTATTTTTGTTTTCATTACTGACGAAATGAAGATCATTCATGAGATCAGTAAATGTGGCCTTGTTCTTAAAAACTGCACAATGAAAGTAAAACAAATCTCCAAAACCAATATTTACTCGTTCACTTCCAAAAAGTATTAGTTCAGCATTCATTTGTTAGAGGAAAGTTGACGGAACAACGGCCATTTTTTTATTTTATTTTATTTTTTGATTATAGCTTGATTTAACACCGTATTTTTAGTACAAGTATGGAATTTCCAGCATGTGATATCGGTAGCCCAATTTCGCATGCAGACCATTGATATCGGCTATGCGTCGGGAGGGGCCGAACCCTGGACCATGTGCATGGTTGGCGGGAGTCCTAACCGCTGTGCCACCGACGCACATGTCTTCCATAACTCGATTAATTGTTCTAATCTGGTTACCCTATTCATCCTATCATATTTTTTTTTAAATCTTTCCTTCGTATCCAATTAAAGAATGTTAATTTAACTTTTAACCAGATAGTTTATTGTTTCTTTAAACAGTAAGCAGTACAACATCGAGTTTTAATACTAATTTGTTTTGAACTTTTGCGATCGCATTAGTAGTAATAGTAGTAGTAGTAGTCGAATTTAATGCAAAAATGTTGTAATTTGTGCATTAGCCTGCACTTAATTAGGCTTTTTCTTAAAAGAAAAACAATTTGTACAAGTTACATGGTAAACCACTTTGCTAAAAACTCTGTTGTTATTTGTTATTGCTCTTGTTGTCTAATTGGTCTGGTTCCTCTTGATATATATCTATGTATATGTAATCACTCCTCTAACTATTCACAAATGATCAAATTAGTAACTATGATTTCACTACATTTATAGCACTTGTTATTGAAATACCGTAGACATTCTAGCCGAGTTAAGTGTTTTCAATAAAAATTAATTATGTTCCTTATGCTAGCTAGGTTATGTAATTTTGGAAGATGGTCAGTCACAGTGTGAACATAAAAAAGAAAAAGTACTTATATAATTTTAAACAAGCAATAAAGGTTAATAAAGCGCGGTCAAGTCATTCACTATTGTCAGCGAACAAAGAAACAAGAAGATGCTTGCAATTGCTAAGGCTTGTGCAATTTGAGTTTATAAACCAGGTCTCTGTGTACAAAAGGAGATGGTCGTGACTCTGAATCTACCATGGTAATACGTTTTACTTATTATTTTACCTCTTATTATTATTATTGCTATCATTATTAGTCTTGATTCATTTAAAACTATCCTTTATCAGTAGGATTATCTTAACTCACTTCAACACTATTAATATTATTATTGTTATTATAACTATTACTGTTGATATTACTCTGTTTTCGATTCTTGTTATATTCTCTAATGAATAATTGTTTATCTAAGTGATGTAATTGAAGCGTAATGCAATTTATCTTAATTTTGATCTCTCATACTCTCTCTCTCCCCTTATCTATTTGAACATGACCTGGAAAGCATTCGCACAGGTCTTTCTGTATGAGTAATTCAATGTAGTTTGTTTACTTATCAGTCCTATATCTCCTAATGTAATTTCAAAAGTATATATATCCGTGTATGTAGAGAATTCAGCTGACGAGTTCTACCGAAATTTGATGAATTCATTAAATCATCCTGCTTTATTAACCTTTATTGCCTGTTTTAAATTCGTGTCGGGAAATAAATGTTTCCAGTTATATAATTCATGGAGAATTCCAAAAACTCAATTTTATTTACATTGAACGAAGCGCTGAACATGTTAAAATCTACAATTCGCAATTAGGTTTTCTTTGGAAACCAAAATGATTCAAATCGAAATATGTTATCGCTTTGAGGCACCATAAATGGTTAGCCAGAAAGCAAGCGTAAATATACTACTGATTTACTGAGGTAAGTAGTCAGTTGTATACCATACACATCAGTCAATAGTACTTACTGATCAGCTAAATTACTGAAGTTATCTCACTATCGGATGACCGTTTCGATCGTTAAGGGTGTGGCTCATCATTGGTATGAGCTGCATACAACTACTCATTCCCGTTAGTCAGTAGTATATGGTTTTGCGTTGATGATGTTATCTAGAAGGATAATGAAAGCTGTGCTATCTATCCATTTGCAATTCAGAGAATTCAACGCCAGCCTTACTGATCGGTTATTGAATAAACTCACTTTTGTGAAGTAAATATCCCACTAAAATGTTTTATACCTGAATTTGGAACGATCAGTTACACGCTATGAGATGATATCCAAAACGAAAGAATTGTTGTCAGGTTTTGGTTTGGTAATAACGTCGCTTAAGTTGATTATTTCATTGTTTAGGGGTTAAATAAGTAAATTTTAGCTCATATGTTGATCCTAAACACTTTTTTGTTTAAATTTCCTTTCCTATAGGTTACTGCCTTTATTTCTAGTGGTGGTTAGCACACAGCGAAGTCCCTCGCAGGTATGTTAATTCGAAAGTTAATCATACAAACAGCTTTTTGAGTTTTTGTCCGCATATTTACTAGACATTTTTCCTTTACTGACAGATAGCCTGATGGAATAGAGCAATGGTGTCTTTTTTCGACTAATACAATTATGAAAACAGTCTACAGACTTATTAGTTGTTTTATTCATCTAATTCTTCGGTATTTTATGTTTCATGAATTGCATATCACTTCGCTTGGTGTGATGTTATGTTCATTACTATTGATTTTGATATGGTTGTGTTCTCTGAGCTGGATAGTTGATTTGCAAAGCTTTCATTGCCTTAACCACTCGGAAACATCTTCAGAGCATACTTCAGTGTGTTGGAGTGAGCTTTTAGAGTTCATCTCTCCCGGTGACCTTGAAAGTGATTGGTTGTTTTTGGGTGTTTTCACACCCTCTAGGTTACTTGTTTTGGTATCCGTGTTGATTGTTTCCTTGACTTGAGCTATGACCCTTTGTGTGTGATATTTCTTTCTTATCGGTTGGAAATTTTGTCTATCTAGATGTATCTATTGATTGACGATTCACTGGAAACCAGGCTTCTGAAAATCCTCTAGCATTCTCGGTGTTTCCTCTGTGTAATATTTGAACGTTGGTTGTCCCAGTCGAATTGATGTCCGTGGTTGTCTGTATGTAGTGATATGAGCGAGGGAGTAGATGTGATGTCTTTTGATGGCTAGTTTATGATCATGGATACGAAGACGAAGGGGACGTCCACTTTGGCCAATGTAGTGTTTTTCGCAGTTGTTAAAATTTATTTTGTAGATAATTTTGGCATAATCTTCTTTAGTTGTTAAGTCTTTTGGTTGACACAAGGTTGGCTGGCTGAGTGAAGTGATTTTGTTGGTTTGTGTGCAACGTCAATTCCTAAAAGTTTGAAGAGTCTTACAGTGATTTCTGAGATGTCCTTTATATAAGGTAGGGTGATTTTCCTTGTGCTTTCCTTAGGGGCCTTAAAGGGTTGGAAATGCACGAAAACAAACAATCAATTTCAATGTCACCGGGAGAGATGAATAATAAACTGTGGAGAAATCTTAAAGCTCACTCCAACACACTGAAGTATGCCCTGAAGATGTTGCCAAGTGAGTTAGGCAATGAAAGCTTCTCAAATAAACTATCCCGCTCAGTGAACACAGCTACACCAAAATCACCCGCCTGAGCTTCAAATATTCTCCATCATATCATTACTATTGAGCTAATTTATATGCAAATACATTCAAGATGTTACTTTGATTGACGTTAATAAGTAGTGGAATATGGGATGCACACTTCGTCTTATTTTGGACTTCGTGGTTGGATGTACTTGTAGGTCAAGTGAGTGATGGTATTTCCACTATGAGTGAAGTCTCCAATAAGATGTTATGTCCATTCTGGATTCTACCGTCAGTCATCAGCGACCAAAATAATATCATCTTGTTCTTCAGACATCGTCAACGCGTCAGTATTAGGAGCCAACATGTCAATAGAGCCTGAGCATTAGAATGCAAAATGATCAGCCAATGGGAACTGCAAATTAACTTGTGGAATAAAATTAATAGGTTATTACATTGAAGATGTTTACAAATCCGCATCTATCAGGATCATTTTGAACCATCTTCATAGACAATTGATATTTGGAGACTTTTTTGAAGCTTACAAATACATTCGAATAATTATTATAAGTAATAAATTGGCTAACATAACACCTTACCTATTACAGTGACACACTGCTTTATGTCTAATGAAAATGTGTTAGTACACAAGGTGAAAACTAATTTTATACACGAAATTCCCTCTATAGATTTGGGCGGAGATAGAATGAACATTGATTCAGAATAATACGGATCCATTTTATGTCATCGGTCATTGTCAGTTACATACAACCTGTAATATTCAGTAAAGCAGGTTATAATACAACCTTGGCATACATTTGGTTTATAATCTTGAATCAGTCCCTTAATAAAGGTTTGTTGTAAGAAAGTTTTAGTGAAACAAAATATGAGAACCATAAGGTTATCTCAAGTTACCAGCATACGAATATGTATATATATATATATATAAATATTATTATTTATTGTTTCCTTTAATTCCTAGAGGAATATAGGGCTTCAGCCGTGAGTCTCCATTGCGTTCAGTTCTCTGCTAGAGTCTTCACCTGACTCCATGTCTGCCCACACGTTTTCATCTCCTCCTGACATGACCTCCTCCAAGTCACCCTCGCACTGACGACCAACTCGTCGCTTCCCTTTCGGGTTCCACTCGAGCAATGGCTTGTCTAGTGATGTCACTTGACGGACTGTTTCCTCAGAGTGTGGCCAGCCAATCCATCTCCATTTCTTTCTGCCTATCTGTTTCACAATCGGTTCCTGGTTGGTTTGCTCCCACAGGTACCTAGTGCTGATCTTTTCTGACTAGCCATCTGATCTTGAGCATTGAACGAAGATAACTGTTAATGAAGGTCTGTAGTTTGTTTGAGATGCTCTTTATGACGCTCAGTGCAAGTCTCTGATCCATATAGTGAGTAGCACTGACTTCACATTGGAGTTGAAAATCCGGATCTTATCTTCGTTTTGATGCTGAGTGCTGTTGACCTCCACACAGACTTGAGAGAGATGAAAGCTTCTCTTGCTTCTCTGATTCTTGCTATGATATCCTCGTCAATTCCGTCCGCCTGTTGTTGAAACGATGCTTCTTAGGTAGGTAGGCAAAGGAGGTTGTTTCTTTCAGGTTCCTTCCATTTATGCTGATCGTTGTCTGTTGTTGTTCTTGTCCAGGAATCTTCATCACCTTTGTTTTCTCTATGTTCACCTGAAGGAAGTCTTATCTTTGATGCTTCTTCTATCGCAAACTTGTTGCTTTTCGCTTGCATATCTTCCAGTTTGTGGGAAATCAGACATATATCATCGGCGAAGTCCAGATCCTCCAAGTTTTTTGTGTGAGTCCATTTTATGCCTGTTTCCTCATTGCCCGCCACTGTCTGTCGCATTATCCAATCTACTGCAATCAGGAAAATCGTATACGAATATGTATATGTATGCATTATAAGTGCTAAGTTCTTCATAAAAAATGGACAGTTTTATTGTTAGGATGGTTAGAAGCCAGTGATAATTGCGTAATCCAGGACAAAAATACATTGATTAGGACACACAAGATTTGAAAAACAAAGTGTGATCTGTACGAAATCAAGTGAAAGACTTAAGACAGAGGATCACTACCGAGAGAATTACCAGGGTAGTTGAACTCTCACAGCAGATTCCTTTTGAAGACAGGAGTTTGTTTTTAGTTGTCTTATTGAGATAGTTTCAGCAAACCGAAGAGGACTTGGGCTATTTTGTTTTTTTATTCTTTTAAGTGCTTCTAGGGCGTACAATCAGCATCGTGTGTCTGTCAGGTGCTCGCTAATTGACGAGCTCAAACTATTTTTGGTCGCTTTAATCGTAGGCTCTTTGGTACTTTTTCGAAGTATCTACCATAGGTTCGTTTTTTCATTCTTCCAAAGCAACTGATCTCGGAGTTACACGTGAACTGATTTACACAGCTGGAGGTAACATATAAGAGACGCTTGTCGAGTTTTGACTTTACCAACGAGCAAGATACTGAGAGTAGAGAGACTAGTTTTGTTGCCGGATACGTCCTGTTCATTATTGCACATAAATGTGCGTCGGTGGCACAGCGGTTAGGACGCTCGCTGACCATGCACATGGTCCGAGGTTCGATACCCTGCCGACGCACACCTGATAACTATGGTCGGCCTGCAAAATTTGGGCTTCCAATATCACATGCTGAAAATTCCATACTTGTACCAAAAATACTGTGTGGTTTCAAGCTATAACCGAAAAAAGATTCTCATAATATTATCACCTTTTAATTCAAGTTGAATGGAAATCGGATCCTTGCTGACTGTAATTATAACTGAACTGTTTTCTACATTCTTTCTTGGCATATCTGTCAATATGCCTTTGTGGATAGCCATTTTGTTTCAGGCATTCTTCAAGCAGCATCAGTTTACTGTCTAATACATCCGCTGAACATATTCGTTTCGTCTTAGAAAACAACGTTTTCACCATCATTCGTCTATATCTGGACGGAATATGGTTAACTCTAGACAGAGACCAATCAGCATGTCTTTTAGATTATAGGTCGTAAGCAGCTGAAGAGAACTGGTGAAATGAAATGGGTCCGTATTACTCCGCACCAATGTTTGTCCTATCTCTGTTTAAAAACTAATTCTCCGACATTTTGATAAATTCACTAAGAAACACTGTTCACTTTAAGGTGACTAATTAGTGCTCAGAAGTAAGGACTAAGATGATGTGGGTGTGTATTTCTTGCCTTTCTATACATTCGTCGGTCAGATTTTCTCTTGGTGCTTCAGTTAGTCACAACCACCTAGTTTAGTTATAGCGGCTAGATATAGATATTGATTTATTTTTATTGTTATCAGATAATCGAGACTTTATTCAGGGATTTTATTCCTTTATGAAAATATGTCGTGCCATTTATCATGACCTCAGAGTTGACATTAAAGGTTTTATCGTCGTTGACATTCTTCATGTCTGTTAAACTATTTGTCTTGATTTCTCTTTTCAGGAAACCGACTTAAGCGATCCCTACAGATGTCAACGGGTATGTACTCCTGAAAAATGTCGATGTATTGGAAGAAAAGGAGTAGAGGTAAATGAATTTATGTATAAAATTTCTGATTAAAATTAACTTTATTCAAAAGCTTTATGACAAAATGGTTTCTGAAGTTATTCTACTTTTAAAGAAGTAAAATGCACTTGCATATATATATGAAATAGGATACCAATATCTCGACTGGAAGTGCATTTTAGGTTGCAAGCTGCTATGATACACTCTCATCATCTTGCTGATGAATTTCAACAGTCATACAAATTAAGACTTTGCACTAATTGACAATCTTTAACATTTTACATCAAACTAAATGATATGGTGATCGATGTCCACTCCAGTCTGGAAATAAACCAATCAGAATTGGCCTAAGTAAAATAACGCCCACTACTTTATTGATCATGATTATAGACTAATTAACATATCCTTGCGAGTTTTCTCGAATTATACGTGATTGAATGTGAACATACTCTTTCATTACCATCACGACGCGGTCTCAATTACATAGCATTATTGGGGATTTTATCTAGCAGACCCAGAACGGTTGCAGTGTACAAGCTATATCCATGATTACTGTGACCACACCAGCCGACGCGTTTTCCCCTATCAAACAAATAATCGGGGAAATATATCACTAAAGTATATTTTATAGTGTATAGCGCTTCTGTTTCGCCCAACCTTGGTAACTACATAATAGATTTCCGGTGACTCGGACAGAAGTAGACTGTTACGTTAGTTGTACTGTTCTCTAACCAATGTCAGCTCATGATGAAATCCTGTAACCAATCAACCAAATCCCTACAAACCAATACTTGAATATCAATGAGATGCCCACTGGCGACTGGCCCTATTCAGGTAGGTAGTTACCTGTGGTTCTAGTGAGAAGTCGTGACCAGTAGGGTGCAGCAGGTCGGGTGTGAGGACAAATACTCACCGAAGACATTGGCTAGGGGTCGCGCTGTGTCATGAATTGACAGAAGTTGGAATTCAGAGGACTGGCCATTGGATCGGATCCCAGCGGCTTAATGCTATACGAGCTCGCCTTGTAACCAGAAGGTCCTCGGTTCGAACCCCGGTGAGTGAGTATTGCTGAAGAGTCCCAAAACTGGGACAAAACATCTGTCCAGTACTCCCAGCTGGTTTTCCAATGGTTCTCTAACCAATGTCAGCTCATGATGAAATCCTGTAACCAAAGGCTAAGCATCCCAAGGGGGCAAATTCTTTTAGTAATTCGTTAGCAAAGAATTTGGGGCCACAAAAATTTCATTAGGTGAAATGTGATTAGGTCTTTTTACTGTTGTTGTTGCTATTATTATGAGTGTTATTTTCCGTTTTGTCTTCGCTATTTTACAAAATACATTCAGTAGCCAAAAAGATTATCGTTTATGAATAAAATAAGCAGAGTTTATGTGTCTCTAAATCATACATTATCCCGGTGCCAAAGCCATTTATAAACCTTTCTACATTGTTAGTAACTACTAAACTGTAGTGGTATGATAAAACTGAAAGTGATTCCAAGTGTTACTTAGCAGGGATTCGACTGGTTATAGGTTCCATCACAAGCTGACGTCATCTGGACCAGTTAATTACTCACCGATGAAATTGGGAGCCGATATTATATATCGCAAGTTAGCAGAAGCTAAAATTCATGGTTCTAATTGGTTGAATGGTCTACGTGCTCAATTTGTAATCGGGTGCGTAGTGATTGAGATTTATAAAATTACTAAGTGTAACGAACAGAAGTGCGTCAGTGGCACAGTGGTTAGGACTCTCTCCGACCATTCACATGGTCCGGGGTTCGATCCCCGGCCACAGACGCACTCCTTTACCTCGCTAAGCCAGAAAAAATGCTGGTGAAGAGGAAAGGTTGGGCATGAGGCTAGCAACCCCATCCTGTAAAATAAACACTGCTACAGAAACTTCAAGCCATTAGCTTGAAGCCCTATGTTCCACTGGGAACGTGAGGGAAAAAAATAAACAGAAGATAGGTAGTGGTACTATTCTAGAAATATTTCAGGTCAAAGGCCAAGCTAAAAATTCCAATGTGTAATAATCAGGAAGATCGGGTGGAAAAGACAAAATAGGTTTATAATTACTGGAAAACTAGTCAGTTTGTATAATTACGGGTTTAGGACGAAGTATTTATGAAATGGTTAGGAGGTTTGGGCATATAAAGATAAAAACAGTAACCACATCTAATAATGCAGATAGGGATTTCGTAAGGTAAGAAGAAAGGTAATAGTATAATCATTATCAGTGAGACTGACTTTTCATGATAGCCACGGTGGGGTAAACGGTCGAACGTATTTCTTTTGGACACATAGAGTAGACTTGAGTTTTTGGATCGCCAGTGCTTCAGCTATTCCTAGATGTCTTTGTTTCACTCCCTTTAGTAAGTTGGATCGGATCTTGTATACGGCTTTGAAGGACTTTTCAAATGGTGCTGGATGCTCAGAATTCATTAGATGTTCTGTTATCGAATTGTATGCTTCTTTGCGTTCTGCCTTTGTTAACCATGCTGGTTAGTGTTCCCGCGCATGTTTTACAAGCGGACGCATGGTACGGCTAATGTACTCAGCTCCATAAGAGCAAGTGGACTTGTATGTGCATGCTGAGGTGGCCAAATACGATTGAGATTTCCAAATTAGGACAAAACGTCTGTCTGATGTCAACTCGTGATCAGACCTCTAAAATGGAAATATCTAATGATTTTAATTCTTTCTTTCGTGTGATTTTAGGGTGTTTATTCAATTTAATTAGATTAACATCTTATAAATCGTGTAAAATTATCACATATATTTTATATTTCATCTGATTCAATGTATTTATTAAAAAACAAAAATACAAAAGGGACCGGCTGGACCTACTGGTTTACCTGGTGAAAATGGTTTCTTCGGTGAACGTGGCCCACCAGGTAATCCTGGTACGAAAGGTGAGAAGGGCAATGCTGGTCAACTTGGAAGACAGGGATTCAAAGGTGAACGTGTAAGTCTACCATGCTTCTTCTTTGTAAAAAGAAAGATACCTATTAATTACCAGACTTAGTTTGGGAATCATAAATAGACTTTTCCAGTGTCATACATAGTGCGGACGTTCCATGTCCCCACAAAGACTTTTTCTTTTGTTGCGAGGAAACTCATCGTACTGAAGTTTCTGTAATAGTTTTGCTTAAAGAGCGGGGTTGCTAGCCTCACGCCTGAGTAGGGGGTTGTTGCATAAATATACAGTTTACAGAGGAGCGACTTTTTGGGTTGCTTCCTTTAGAATCAGGATAACAAGAAATAAAGCAATCAGAATAACACCAGCCAAAGGAAGAAAATTCACAACTGGAAGGGCAGCGACAACAACAGTAGTATGCCTGTCAAAAAAGGAGCTAACAAGAATGATATCGTAACCATAGACTCACTGACTTGGGTCAACTTTGGCATGTAAATCCAATAATATATACAATTATGGATGTTCGTTAGTGTTAAACAGTTACAAAGTGCCAAACATTAGTTATAAGTATTCATAGTCAACAAAATTATTTGAATGGAATCACTGTTCGAAGGTAAATGAATTACAATAAATTCCACAAATTTCTGGTCAGAAACAACAGAGAAATGAGAGTTTTATGTGACTAAGCAAATGTAGCGCACTAATTGAAAAGCGCGTGGACATACATAAGTAGATAGATACTCCAATCTATCTGACAATTCAGAAACCCTAATCAACTTCTAATATAAGCCATCCTTCCATATTACTGAGACTGATGGAAATCAGGAGTCATATTTACTGATTAATACTGGATAGCGACAGTAAAACGGCGATATCATATTGTGATAGTGACAGTCACTTCAATCGCTATCGTGACTAGAAAAGAAATGAATATTAAATCATCTCACAAGTTATATATTTTTTATTATTATGAACATTATGTGAGCTTTATTAAACAATAATTTCAACTCATCCTTGAAGAAGCCTGGTTGAATCACTGAGTTACCGAAATTTCAAATGAACACAATATTTCATAATTTCTCTAATTGTCTTAACTATTCAATTACGTCTAAGTTACAGAATCTACTCACTGAGGCATATTTTTAATTGGCTTTCAAACTAATCAGTGAGCACATCTCGGGGATGGGATTAGTGTACACTTCGACTCGAAAAACATTGCGTCACGAAGTGTGCTACAGATTACTCTTTTACTTAAACATTCTGGATTAAGAGAAAATACAATGTAGTAAATTATACTGGAAATTCCGTACACTGCTTAGACATTTCGTCCAGAATAAAGCTATTATTATTGTATTATAGCTTTGAGCAAAAAAATTCTATTGTAAAGTATATTAATAATAATAATTTTGCTTTATTCCAAAAACAGTACTAATGATACAGCAAGTAATTTTCAGTATTCATTACAATATTGCATCTAATTTACTGAAAACGACAAAAAAATAAACATTACATAATAATAATAATAACAAAACGTTATTATAGCAGATATGTAGCAATTACAGTGTGCGATAAGGAGAAAAATATGCATAAAGTATAAAATTGTAGTAATAATAGTAATAACAACTAAAATAAAATAGCTAAGTTATAATTAAACGATAGAAAGGGTGATACCATAAAATTACAGAAAGATGAACAATGAAAGGGGCGATTCACTTAGCTAATTACGTAGTAACTTATATGTTTCACGTCTAACAGTGTCTCCATTACATAAAATACGGGCTAAATAGGGTATTGTAGGATTTTGTACTTAGTGGTGCTAGCATATAACTTCTTATATTGACTTCTCGTCCTACCTAATGAGATGCAAGGGGATAGTTGTGAATAAAGGGGGTTCAGGGGGTCTGAAAGTAAGGCCTTTACCCATTTTGTACAGGATTTTATGTGTCTCTCGACTATAATATTGGCGAGCTCACGCAGTGGCATACCACACGCCCTACTCACAGCATTTAATGGCCTTCGTAATATGATATAATCTTTTTTGAGAAGCCCAGGAAAGATTAATGGAGAGCAGTAGAGTTCAGTAGGTAAAATACAGGAGTTTACAAACTGCAGAAGTAAAGGTTGTTTGATACCTGATTGTCTTAACTTTTTGATGTAGAAGGTAAGACGAAACATTTTCTCAGAGATTGGTAAGATGTGGGATGACCATGAAAGGTCAGAGGAAAGAACTAATCCAAGGTATTTAATGCCTGACTTGGTTTCATTTTCAGTGCCATCTATGCTACAGGTATCATGGTAACAAACTAGTTCATGTATGTCACGTCGATGTTTGAAAGTAAAGTTAACTGCCTGACATTTGGAAGGATTTAACATAAGACCATTTGACTTAGACCACTTACTGATGTCCAACAGAAAGCTATTAAGTTTGGAGCAGTCAGACTTGGAAGTGATAGGCAATGATACAGTCAGATCATCCGCATATATGACAAAGTCAGTTTCCTTCAAATGGGGCAAGTTGTGTAGGAAGAATGCAATGAAGAACACCGACTTTTGTAAGCAAGGCAGGAAAGTAAAAACCCTTCAGTTTCTTTCCTCTCTGTGAATGTATCTCTACCAACTGCAGCTTTGAAACTGCAAAAAGTAAACCAAAAATCACTAGTAGTTTAGCGAGGCAGTTTCCCCTGAATACCTACCGGTTTATTCACAGTGGCCTTTACTTTTTGTTTTATTGTTCCCTCATAATTGTTTTCCTTGATAGTATTAGACAGTAATTTGGAAATCTCTAATTGATATCGTTTCAGGGACCGCAAGGACCTCCTGGATATCCTGGTCAACATGGATTCGATGTAAGTAGCTATCAAAATGTTTGTGTAATTTTATTATCGAAAATTTGCCACTAACTGGTTAATTTTACAGGTGAAAACTAACAGGTTGGCAGAGGAGACAGGTAGCTAAGATGGAACTTCAAATGAACACAGAGAAGACAGAGGTAATGAAGATGCCCTATGAGCAACAATAACAAGAACCAGTCATTATTAATAGAAGAAATCTGAAAGAGGTCACTTCCTTCACTTATCCAGGCAGTATCCTTCCAACAGCGGGCGGCAACAGGATGAGGATGTCAAAGCCAGACAGGATCGGAAAAACTAGATAGACCTACACAACTGAGAAATTAGTATGAGAATCTGTTGAAATCAGTATAAAGAAGAAAATCCAGATTTTCAGCACCACTGTTAAGTCATTCAGCGCTTCCGCAGGGTTCAGACACTTGGATGACACACCACGTAAAACACTGCGAACAGCCTACTGCAGATTTTTATCAACACCTTCCTTCGCCAGCTCCATACTCAAGATCAGATGGCCAACCAGAAGGGTTTAGCAACAAAGAACTCTGGGAACGAGGCTACCAAGATTCTATTGCCCAATAAACAGTTATAAGAAAATGGAGATTGGTCGAGCACATGCTGAGAAGAACATTGAAAGACGTCGCTTGAGAGGGACCTGAACGTGAAACGGCGAGTTCAGCGTCCGAGAGGTCTACTGAAGTTATCTTGTGAGGAATACATAGAGATACGCTGTTGACGCTTTACATTCCACTCGGAACCTGACGGAATAATTCTAATGTAATAATTATCAAATAAATCTTTTAGTTGACATTTGTAAAAAATTATATTTGTAAAATCTCAGCGAGATTGAAATGAGTAATTCCAACGTTTCTTTCGGAAATCTGGTCCGAACTTCTTCAGGGAAATTAATACGTCTAATCATAAAATTCTAGATACTAACAGTTTGAACAGACATGAAGGCGTGATGTTAGCTGATGCATGAGAAATCCTTATTAATAAATAAAAATGGATATGTATCACTAATTATTAATACTTGGTCAAAATTCTCGACTGTCCATATCTTCTTATGGAAACGTTAAGAAATGTTTTACAACTGTTTACCCACACACACATACACACTCTGTTTAAAGTGTTTAACAAAGGTAGACCAATATTTGTAAGTTCCAGGTCACATTTTGATTACAGCTCATAAAATTCTTTTTATTATACTTGTTGAATGACTCATGATTGGACAAAGTTTTTGAAAACAAGTGATGTTCCTATTATATATAAAGATCTGTTATGTTAATTTCGATTAATTTCCCTGAAGAAGTTCGGACCAGATTGCCGAACGAAACGTTGGAATTACTCATTTCAATCTCGCTGAGATTTTACAAATATAATCTTTTACAAATGTCCACTTCTCACTCGGCGCCCAAATATTTTAGAACTATTCTGTCAAATCTTGACGACAGTTCATTTGAAATCTTTTAGTGTTTTGTAGAAGATAAACAGAAAATGAATCAAGTTATGAGATATACATAAATAAATGATTGTAAAATAAAATCCAAACGGAAATGAAATTCTCTTCAAAGATTCACATAGTTTTGCAGAAATATCATTATTTTCACAGCTGCACACAGGTAGCTGCTGGTTTGCAGTAAGGAAAACAAGAGCGAAAGACAAACAAATGACTTGTTTGTTAACTATGAAGCAAGAAAGAGACTTTGAACTAAATAAGGCAAACATCAGGGAAGGATATATTTTCTTGGCTTCACTTCGAAGCTGTACAGTTATATAGTATCTTGAAAGGTCATGTAATTGATTATAAGGTCAACTGTTCTCATCAATAGGCAAAAAAACATACTTGTTTTCATGTCAAGCAAAATAAGTTATGTGATCTAAAAACAATAAATGACGAGCATCGCTTAGAAATAATTATTACTAAAAATTACAAGTGGTTGGAGAAAAGAAGTTTGTTAAAAAGAGTCGGAGATTCGGAATATCTGTGAAGTATATTCTAAAGTTAGGGAATTGAAAAGGAGACATAAGACGAACACAAAAAACCGAATGGATACGGATTATTTAACGACCAAAACTGACCAGTTGTGGTCAGAACGCTGGAAACCAATCCTTGCTTCCTATTGTATAGCCAACCCAAACTCCGTTGAGTTACGCAGAGTCACTAAACGCTATAAAAATGGCAAAAAGATAGTTACTCGCCGTAAAATAATATAAAAAAGAAAAAAAGAGGGTAAAACCGGAAAATAACAAGATGGAAGAATGCAAAAAACAGTCACAATACCATATAAAAATGGTATATCAGAGGCAATTCAAAGAAACCTCAAAAATATCGGCATTCACACAACTATCAAACCGACAAATCTAATCAAAAATAAAATAAATCAACTGAAAGATCCCATAAAAATGATGGATAAAAACAATTTCATTTACAAAATATCTTGTGCTGACTGTCCAACTAAATATGTGGGGCAAAAGTCCAGATCACTCAAAATAAGAGTGAATGAACATAAACGCCTAACCAAAGGCCAACCAACAGGAACACAAGCCTACAAAATTCTTGAAAAAATTCATCGATAGCTGCACATGCATGGGACAAAAACCCCAATATCGATTGGAACAATGTTTGTGTTCGAAAAACTAGCATGAACTAATGGAAAGAGAGACTTATAACAGAATCGATATTCATTAGTCACACCGGATACATGTAACAAGGGTGACTCAGTACAACTGTCAACAACTTGGAATATAATTCTGAATACAAACACATGAATGAATGTGGAATATAACTCAAATACAAAAAAACATGAATGAGCAAAAATAATGAACTTTATATATGAGTACAAATCATAAATGTGTGAATCAAACAATCTTAACAGTGGTGTGAACACGGGCAGTGATTTTGCTCGAAATATTACCAATAACAAAACTTATCATTGTGTGTAAACTATTGAAATATAGTTATACTTTATTTGATGTGTGGTTCAAAATCAAAATATCAAAAACCTAAAATTAGAAGGGATTGGATAAACCGCTTTTGCATGGATAGTTCAGGGTTTTCTTCGTGTACAGCAAGATCTCCTGGTACGTGGCAGAAGATGTGAGCGGAAACCCTTCGAACGACTTAGCCTTACCTTATCACTGAACGATTTTTCTGTTGATGTCAAATTTAAATAACAAGTTTCTCGAGGATCCTCAGGGGGAAGATATGAAGTACTGACAAGCTAACGAAACAGTTTGATTGAAGATTCTTCCCTAGGTAAGTATTTCAAATATGTTGTCCGCCATACTGCCAGAACTTCGACTGTATTAAGATCTTCATTCTTCCGCTTTCGAATAACCTCCCATTACCTAGTACACCTTAGCCTCATTTAACATGTGACATTTTATGTTGTAGTCACAAATGGAAGTGAGCATTATTCACTACTACACAGTTATTCATTTGTTAAGCTTACTTATGCTTCAATATTTATCAATGCATAGTGTTAATCATTTCCATTTTGCAGGGTTATCCAGGTTTTATGGGCCCAAAAGGAGATAAAGGTGATGCCGGTTGTTTTGGAGATCCCGTAAGTAATACCCTATAGTTAGATATTTGAGTAAAGACAATTAAACTGTTTCGGTATTCCTTATAGTTTTTATGATATTCCAAAATACACAAAAGTTGTTTACTCTTGAATTTATTTCTTCCTGTTTCTCATCAGGATATATTCACTGGTAGAAACCATTTACATTTGACAGATGATTAAGACTGAACTTTCAAGGCATTTCTTTCAACTTCATGACATTTTGGCAGTTTTATTCACACTACTCATAGTAGTTTAAAATGAACTTATGAAAGTAAATCAACAGATCGTAAACCCTTGAGTTTCATAGGGGATTATGTGTGTGTTATTTGAGTACAGGAGTAACTGTTCACTGTAGGTATCTTAAGTGTGACATGCTTTGATGCATTAACTCTCTTCATTATTATTATTACTATTACCATTTATACATATAGCATCGAAATTCACATCTAAAACATATGACGTCAAATAGTATATATATGAGTTTATATGTTCCACAACAGGTCAGAGTAGTAATAACGGATGAACCTGTTTCTTCTGCACTCAGACTACGGGCTGTTTTAGTTGAATTGCAATATCCTCCGCTGTTCGGTGTATTTGAGAGGCTTTCATCAACTTATTTGGTATCCGATGGATGATAGAATAAGATCTTTCAGTGCTGGAAGGACGATGTACCTAGACTAATAACCTGTTACCAGTTCAGCTGCTCCTGTGGAGCTGGCTATATTGGCCGTCACTCTAGTAACTTGGTCTTCCGTACAGGGGAAACTGCTTAGTAATCTGTCGTATTCATTTAGTAAGGCTATGCCTTATTGTTACCGCAACCTCTTAAAGTATGACTAATTTCAAGCGCTGGATACACATTAGCGGTATCTTAGTGAAATGGTTTTGAATGGTAGGAAATACCCACCAAGTTAATAGAAAGAAAATAATAAGAAGCTCAGCGAACAGACGTTTTCTTGACGACTTCCTCCTCAAAAGTTTCTGCACAATCACACTTTTATGCATAAGTTCACATTGGTTAGAATCATTATTTAATTCAACGCAATGGTTTTGTATGCGTCGGTGGTTCAGTGGTAGAGCGTTGGCCGACCAAGCACGTGGTCCGGGGTTTGAGTCCCGGCGAAGGGGTGAAAAACAAATAAATGAAAATTAAAAAATCAAATAGAACTAGATACATAGTAAATGTAGGCATCAGACTAGTTTCTTCTGAAAGCACAGCTCCGGCTTTTCGATGCATAAGACGAAGACTTCTGAAGCACAAAGAAGTCAGAAGCCCACTGTCCTTGATTTACTTTTGTTCATTTTGCAAATGACATTGAATTGATGAGTCAGTTGAGATTTGGTTACAGGTTTTGAAGAGGTGTCCAATCATAGCGTTCCTGATGGAACCAGTGCCACCGATTTGGAGCTATATTTTGAAATGTCCTCTAACATGTTTCGAAAGAATAGGCATAGAATGACCTACATACGTAGCTCCACAGGAGCAGATGAATCAGTTTATGTACACTGGATTGGTCATAGGTGGGGTTTTTTTCTACAAATTGCTTAGAAGCTGTAGGTGTCTAGATGACATCACTCTTAGTGTAGATACGGGTATTCTTTATTAGACTGGAGATTCTCCTCTTTATAATATCTGCCGCTTAGTTACCCCTCCAGTCCAGATTGATATACATTGTTTTCTTTGGTACCGAACTTCATTCTTCTCAGTCTGATTTTGGTTTCGCGTTATTCTCCAAACATCGTGGCGGTTATTGATTTTTATTTTCTTCTGTTTCCTCTCTTTATTTTATTTTGTTGCTAGTATTCACAAAATCTATCCATTTTAAAAAAAGATTCAAACTATTCTGTTATATTTCTTTACAGGGAGAAAATGGATTACCAGGAGATTCTGGAAGACCAGGGATAAAAGGCATGCCTGGATTTCCTGGCTCTAAAGGTCTAAAAGGAACTTCAGGATGGGGTGAAAGAGGTTTACGTGGACTTCCCGTAAGAATGAATTTCTCATTACATTATGATAAATTTTGTTTCATATAATAATAATAATTTGCTTTATTCTAAAACAGTACTTGTGATACAGAATGGAATTCTCAGCATTTTTTACTACAGTATTGCATCCAGTTAGTACATTATCAATAAATAGAATTCTACATAGATTAAGGAAACCGCAGTTCATTTTTACAACAATACATTGGCATGTCAGTAGCAAAGGTAAAGCTGAAACAGTGTTTGAAGGTGTTAGAAAAGTGGGAGCTGTCTTATTAACTGGCGTAAGCGAGAGAAAGAAACAAAGCAGCACATAACGGAAAAAAGAAAGAAAAAAAGAGAGAGAAAAGGAAAAGAAAGAAAGAAAATGTTGTACCTATTGATGATGTGGGTTGGAAAGACGAGATCCAGTTGTACTACTGACTATTTAATGAATTATAGGTGTCCCGCCTAATGCTTTCTTTATCTCACAGAACACGAGCTAAGTAGAGTATGGTTGAGTTTTTGTACTTGCTGGTGCGAGCATGTAGTTTTCTATACAGGCTTCTGGTTTTACCTGATGAGATGCAAGGGGAGAATTGAGTGAAGAGGGTGGTGTGAGTTAGATAAAATGGACTTGGCCCATTTTTCACATGAGTCCATGTGCCTGTCAACCAGAATATTAACAAGCTGGTTAAGTGGCACGTTGCTTACCCTGCTGACAACATTTAACATCCTGCGTAAAATGTTATAGTCTTTCTTCAGTAGCCCGGGAAAAACTAAGCTGACATTTCCTGGAAGATAACTCAAAACAGTCAGATGATAGTAAATTATATTTTTATTGTTCGAGTACAGACATCTAGTGATTAGTAGCATAAATGAACGGATGACGTATACTGCTCACGTCAGGTTTGAGGGATAACATTACAATGAGACTGATAGTTGTAATATACCTCAGTGAATTCCCTTACTGTCCACCATCTTATAGGGTAATATTAAAATTGTTAAATACAGGTTTTCATAAAATATACGGATTAGAACCTAATAATAATAATGTACTTTATTCCAAAAACAGTACTTATAATAAAGAATGGAATTCTCAGCATTTGTCACAATATTGCATCTGATTTTTACTCAAAATATAATTAAAATTAATAATTAAAAATAAATTAACCGGAGGTATTTGTCCACATTTACGATATAAAGTCAAAAATATTCGAAGCACGAATTGAGGTTATTAAATATGAAAGTAATAATAATAACAGTGAGTTTGTTTCAAACAGTATTGTTGATTCAGTTTGGAAATTTTAGCATGTTATAGATTATTGAGTCTAATGTTCTGTTGATGTAGTATGGTGAAACGAAAAACAAAATTAACAGTTATAACACAGCTTAAATGATGTTCACACTTATGAAAAAAATAAACAAAAACAAAAAATTGAGATTGAGGATTATAAATATAAGAAATACAATAACAATAAAGTATGATGCTTTAAGGGTGAAGGAATCGGTTTATTTAGTGGTGCTAAGATGGTTAGTTAGTTCATGTCTGACACTATTTTCTTCACATAAAGTACGTGCTAAATATGCTATAGTGGAATTTTTATACTTAGAAGTACGTGCCTAAATTCTTCTGAAAAGACTTCTTATTTTACCTGAGGAGACGCAAGATTGGAGCTGCGGGTAGAGTGGGTGCTCAGAGTCTTACAAAATTCCTTTGGCGAATTTGTTGCATGACATCAAGTGCCTATCAATGACAGTGTCAATGATATGGCCCAATGGGATACCACTCGTTCTACTGACAGTCTTTAGAGTTCTACGAAGTATGACATAGTCTTTTTTTAAGCAATCCAGCAAGGAATAAGGGTGAACAGTAAACAAGAATAGGTAAAATACACGAGTTGACAAACTGTAAGAGGAGTGGTTTGGTTATGCCTGAATGCCCTAACTTCTTAATGTAAAAAGTCAAACGAAATATTCTTTTAGAAATCGCTAAGACATGAGAGGACCAGGATCGGTCAGAAGAGAGAACTAATCCAAGATACTTAACTTCAGACTGGGTTTCTATATCAGTATTATCAATTTTGCAAGGGCCATAGGAACCAACGGCCTCATTTAACGTGAGAGTATAAATTCAGTTATTCCCCAGTCACAGATAAAAGCGTACTTAGGTTGGACCTTTTAAGGAACCTCACATGTTTTGCTTGCCGGCAAATAATGTCACTTCTTTTTTGTAACTGATGGCTTCACAAGTGAAGACATCAAATTAATTCACGTGTTAAATTTCCATCACAAACCAAAATCAGTTAGATAGATCATTAACAACCAAGAAACAGCGGGTAACTGCTTCGTCCTACTTCTTTGCGAATCCTCAGCACTGCATACCAACGACTCGGCCAAGGATCGAACTCAGAAGTTTCACATCAAGCTTGTTGTCCATTCAACCACTTAGGTGGGAACTGCATTATGCGTGAATTCTATCTTTTGTCAACTCACGATATCGTCGTAACCTTGACCAGTGTCTTCGATTGGCTTCCACTTTACCTTCACATTAGTAGACTCCATTGGTGGAGACTTCTGGCTCAGTACAACTTCATGACATGCACCCAGTAACCATCAATGAGCTTGTAATTGCTATTCAGATTATAGGATCTGTGGGGATTATGAATTAATTTCAGCTCCATTTTGGATAAAAAATTTTTTGATAAAATCACACAGTGTTATACAGTAAAATTTACTGATGACCACGTTTCGAGCAAAAATTATCCCTTATAATCATATCATGGTACTCACACATTTTTCTTGTTTCTTTCACATACATGAGTAAAGATTGATTAGACATTTGAATAAAATCACTAAAAGATAAAGTAAATTCGGATATAATATTGATGTTATCAGTAAAATACAATAAGATGGGAAATAAGATGTTTTTATAGTAAAATATATAAATAACTTGTTAGAATGTCATAATGTGAATTGAAATACATTTTAACATTATTTATTATCCTCTGATTTGACTGGTAATAATACTTTCCATATCTCTGGTATTTGCATTGAGACATTTCTGTTTGCATGTGTTAGGTGTAGACTCGATGAACTAGGCAGGATTCAGTAATCAATCTCTCTCTTCACCTAACTATATTACTTTTTAGAATTTTGACTATTTCCTACCCTATTGTGTGGGTGTGTATCATTGCAGGCAGTGCTACTGCTGAGTATTTTTATAAATTACTTATCTTCGCGGGTGGGGTGAATCATCCTAACCTTAGCTAAATTATTATATTCTAATAATCTCACTACTCCCAATCTACTAGTGCAACCTATGTAGTTGATCACCATAGTTGAAGTATACTCTACCGCAGTATTAGATGGCTGTAGGCAATCGACAGGAAACCTTGCTTCACCTAGATTTCGTGCTAGTTGGCACTCACAAGTCAGAAAGGCATATCTGCAAGTCTGAAGGAACAACCCATGTTCACCCATGTGAAGCAAGGCTTCCTGTGGCCAATTACTTCCAAACCACGTAATACCAACAGTTCACAGTGCACCGTGGTGTTGGTGACACTGCAAACTTGACTGAAAGAATTCAGTCTGCACCAAAGATAAGACTAGACACAGACATTACACTAGTTAGTAACTAGTGTCCAATCAAAAATACTCTACTACAGTACCTTGGTTTTATCCTTATATTAATTCCAGCTGTTAGATTTTCGTATCACGAGCCAATATCTTTGAATATTTTCTGATACTACAACAATCTAGTAATTACAGGATATTCATCATGAGCTGACATTGGTTAGAGAACCACTGGAAAACCTGGGAGTACTGGACAGATGTTTTGTCCCAGTTTTGGGACTCTTTAGCAGTACTCACCCACCGGGGTTAGGACCGAGGACCTTCTGGTTACAAGGCGAGCTCGTATAGCACTAAGCCACTGGGACCCGATCCAATAGCCAGTGCATGAATTCTAACTTCTGTCAATTCACGATATAGCGCGACCCCTAGCCAATGTCTTCGGCGAGTATTTGTCCTCACACCTGACCTGCTGCACCCTGCTGGTCACGAATTCTCACTAGAACCCCAGGTAACTACCCACCTGAATAGGGCAAGTCGCTAGTGAGTATCTCATCTGGTAATTCTTTCGCCTGGTTTCAGGAGACATTTAGAGCATTGTATTCGAATTATGTCGTCTACACACGCACACACACACACACTGGATTTCATTAGGTACTGCTTATTAATTGTTAGAAATTTACACATCAAATTGTTTATTATGATTAAAAAAAGAACAAAGTGGAAAGAAACAGGAAATGTCAGGCAGAAAAACATGTTAGCTGATGAAGTTTACAGGGGAGTTTGGGGGGTAGGGGATAAATAAGCTTGTAAAGTGATTAGTTAATTAATTAATTAATTGTTTTACTTATTCATTGAGTGATTATGTTAATTATGTCCAAAATAGGGTATTTATACTCATTTTTGGATAATTCACATAAAAGGTGCAAGTAAAAAATTCACAAGAAAGATAACCACTGCTATTGAATTAAATTCAATAGCCAAATAGAAGAGCAAATATAAGGCACACTTATGAAGTTGCTCCTTTCATAACTGATTGATTGATGCTGCTGTTATGCAAAGGCTTGAAACTGTAATTCAGACGGAAATCAAACCCAGAATTTGGATCTGTTAGATGAATGACACATATACTCATCTAAATGACTATAAATGACATCCTCTTGAGATCCGTTGACATCTCTAATCCTGTTTTTCCACCTTCCCCAAAAGCCTTTAATAGAATCTGTGTGGATCCATGAAATGAGATCCACAAAGTCATTAGAATGGTTGTCTCTTTGGTGATTATATCCAAGGGGTTACAAGGGGTTATAATCTTTCCACTCATCTGCGTGTATTCTAGATCCTTATTTCACCGGTCGAGTAATAATAGGTATTAAAGTAATCCATCAGCCGACCTGGTGAAGCTTTTTACAGTCATCACACATCCGCATAAACAAATTCTTTCTTTCCAAATTAACCCCACATCTAAGCAATACTGGAAAACTTCAGCCTCACCAAATTGCAAATGCGACTGCATTGGAGTAGGCACTTGACTAGAATCAAGCGGAATAGAAGCTTCAACTCACGTGAATGAATTCCATCGGTGGCGCAGAGGTTAGGACTTTCGCCGACCATGCACATGGTCCGGGGTTTGATCCCTGCCGACGCACACCTGATATCAATGGTCGGCCTGCAAGATTTGGGCTACCGATATCACATGCTGAAAATTCCATTCTTGTATCAAAACTACGGCGTGGAATCAAGCTATAATCAAAATTTAAAAAATTTAAAAAAATTAAAGGTCACCGATGAGGACAAACTCCATTGGTAGTTAGTGGTGCTTCAGGTTTAACTTGGCCGGAGTACCGAAGGGAAATATCTTATTAGCGTCTTCCAGTAGAATGGATATCCACAAAATTTCATCAAACGATATTAACCCACAACTCAACTAACTAGCTCAAGAGTATCCAATGAAAGCAAACAGAAAATCGTCTTACTGTAAATGAAGAACTTTTCTGAAATCACTGCGAGACTTTTCAAAACCTTTGGAATCAATAATAATAATTATTAAAGCTTAATTGAATTTTAGATTTTCCCGTCGATTGATTGCACCGAAGTGCTTTGTCTCAGGTTGACATGTTGACTTCTTGTGCGGATGCTTCGACGACGTCTGGACATGTAATTCAAATTTAATTGGTGGATGGTGGCTAGCCGTGGAATCCAGTCCCAAATAGAACAAAATGCGCATCCTGGATTCCACTGCCAGTCACCATCCACTAATTAAATAATAATAATAAGTGCAATAGGTTTATTTTGAACGGTGTTTATATAGTGTACAGAATTTTCAGCGCAATTTATTCAGTGATAATTTCTCTTTGTGCGAGATCATCAAGTAATATGGTAATTAACTGTAGTTCGCTAGACGCAATGTTGTCTGACCTGAGATGCGAGTTGATCCTTCATGTTGTTTCCTGTTTGTCCACTTCAAGAAATGCGAGACATTTGTATGAAATCCAGTTAAATAAGGGGCGGGCGTACAATTTGAGACTCAACGACATAAATGAATAACTGAACACTACAAGCAATTAGCTCCATTTCTCAGACAGTGACAGTTTCTGATAAAAATCCTCGTGTATCGCAACACACGATTGTGCTTCTCCTCAAGTTGAGGAGTAACTTGCGAATTAGCAGGTTGTAAATATTTTAAATACTTGCGACAGTATAAAAAAGCATTAGAGGTCATGTTTTTATTAGATTAAAACAAATTGCATTATGATGATGGAGGCTTTCGATATTCCCACGTTTTAAGCAAGTCGACTTAAGATGTCATCCGCAAGCCACCAAATCGACTTCAGTTTGCACTATGTCGACCAAATGATGCAACAATGAAAGAGGACAAACCAACAACAACTACAAGATAAATTACAACAGTTGCGAAAAACATATATTGGTCAAAATTGGCACCCTCTTCGTCTTTGCATCCACGAACACAAACTCGCTTGTCAAAATACCTGGTATATATTTCCTAAAATGAGTGTATACAGATAACCACAGAAACCAGTACAATTGGGGATAGGTGAAAATTACAGAAAAAGAAAACACCAGCAAACGTCAGGTGCTCAGACTAGTCTGCAATCAACAGATACATTGACATAGATAAGATTTACCAATTCATAAAAAAGATGCCACATTGATGAGTGGTCAACTATTTGGTAAATATAGTAATCAGTACCACTACAAGTGGACATAGTGCGTCGGTGGCATAGCGGTTAGGAGGCTCGCCGACCATACACATGGTCCGGGGTTCGATCACCGGCCGACACACTCCTTTACCTCGCTAAGCCAGAAATAATGCTGGTGAAGAGGAAAGGTTGGGCATAAGGCTAGCAACCCCATCCTGTAAAATAAGCACTGCTACAGAAACTCCAAGCCTCTAGCTTGAAGCCCTATGTTCCACTGGGGAACGTGAAGAAAAAAAAACAAGTGGACATCAGGGTGATACAGTATACGGAAGTAACCAATCACGAATAAAGGTACTTGGAAAGATGGCTTATAAACTCCGGGATAGTCCTAAAAGCTCACTTCATGTAGAAATCTGGACTGAATATTCCATCTAGGAAGACAACAAAAGCTTAGGTTAGCACTGTTTGGTGCTTCACGATTATCTGGTTGGGGTTCAAGACATAGTTCGAATCGGTGGTTCAAAACCTTGTCGAATACGGCCGAGAATTGCAATCAATTGCAAACATGCTTCAATTTCCTTCTTTTTTCCCTTTTCGACAATAATTCGACAAATACTGTTTGTTCTTGTCAAACAGAAGTGCCTTCTTCCCAGATAAAGTCCTTTATTCATCCCCTACCTTTTTATATTACTGTTGTGTGGCACATCTTATTGGCGCCATATTGTGCCAGGTTTCGTGTTTGAAGTTAACGAAAGTTAAACGAATCCTTTAGCTAATACACTTTGTTGAAACATAATCAATAAAACTACAAAAAGCTAGTTTTTGCAGTATGATACAGTTAGTTTCCAGTCATTATAGCTGCCTTCATCAGTATGCATATGATTGGAATGCTACATGTATACAGCTCAGTACGCTGATGAACCTGATGGATATTTGAGGTGTTTTCAAGTCTAAGACATTTTTGAGACAACACTTTGTGCAAAGCAGCAGACAGCAAATAAACTAGATCGAAGCTAAGTATAATTTATGACTTTTATTGAGTCAGTTTACTGAAATCCCCGTAGAGTGTAAGACTTTGAGTAGTGTGATTTCTCTCCATAAGCATGAATAGATTGTTCTTTATGTAGTAAAAATATATATAAAAATAAAAATTCACACTATTTATTCTTTTTTTAACCTTTTTGTACCAGGGAGAACGAGGAAATATAGGCCCGATGGGAGATTATGTAAGTTACTCTATTGTCATTCAGCACTGTGCTCTAATGATTTCATAGTAATGAGATTAGGCTAATTAGAATATTTTGGTATTATTATTATTAATACTAAGGTTACAAACTGGTATTTTTACAGTGTTACTTTGACATAAAATACTACCTAATAAAGTACAACAGCTTTACAATCTTGTAACGATAACTGACCTTTGTGTGTCGGTGGCATAGTAGTTAGGACGCTCGCCGGCTATGCACATGGTCCGGGGTTCGATCCCCGGCCACAGACGCACTCCTTTACCTCGCTAAGCCAGAAATAATGCTGGTGAAGAGGAAAGGTTGGGCATGAGGCTAGCAACCCCATCCTGTAAAATAAGCACTGCTACAGAAACTTCAAGCCATTAGCTTGAAGCCCTATGTTCCACTGGGGAACGTGAAGGAAATAAAAAAATCCGCAAAATCTCTTCTGAGGTAGAATTAGCTCAGCCTACATACACATTCACTGTTGTCGATATTATAGAAATTATCAAGAGGATCCAAAGTAGGTTATGGAAGGCACACTCGGGCTGAGGTTTTTATTCCTTCTGTGTTCAGAGTGGAAGTTACAGTTTCAAGTTTGGGCTTTGAATTTTCAGTAGAAGTGGTGTGTTTTCTCCCCAGGATAGGGTCACTAGTCTCACACTCAAGTCTCCCCTCTTTACCGGGTTTGCTACAGGTTAATGAATTGCATCGGCCGTGGATTGAACGCTGAACCAGTATTCTGTCGTTGAACCACGATGCGCAGTAATCAGAATAGTTATATGTTTATACGAGTCATTCGAGTAAAGGAGAAAATGCGCCATTCTTATCAGTATCCAAACATTATTTTAACTCTAGAGGAAACATCCTATGACCTCAGAAATTATTATTCTCATAAGGTGAAATATTTAAAAGTCCATTTGAAGTGAAGGTAGTTCACTGTTTTTCTTCACTGTCCTTTAATCTCCCTTTATTAGAGTAATTCTATATTTCTTTTTTTTCCCTTTAGGGTATACCTGGTCGACCTGGTCCAATGGGTGATGCAGGAAATCGTGGCATAATGGGTCCAAAAGTGAGTACTTTTTCGCTACATAGATTAATATGCCTCACTAGTATGTCTTGTGCGTCTGTGGCATAGCGGTTAGGGCGCTCGCCGACCATGCACATGGTCCGGGGTTCAATCCCCTGCCGACGCATTCCTTTACCTCGCTAAGCCAGAAATAATGCTGGTGAAGAGGGAAGATTGCGCATGAGGCTAGCAACCCTATCCTGTAAAATAAACACTTCTACAGAAACTTCAAGCCACTAGCTTGAAGTCCTATGTTCCACGGTGGAACGTGAAGGAAAGAAAAACGAAAAAAACTATGATGTCTGGATGCTTAGATTTATATTATAATTACACTCTAGAAGATCTGAACTAGGCGATTGACATATAAACTTGATGACCCACAAGTGAAAACCAACAAACTGACAGAAGCGACAGGTGACAAGGACAGGACTTCAAATGAACATAGATAAGGCAGACAGACATAATGAAGATACTTAACCCAAAACAAGAATAATACACAAATCACTATCATCTGAAGAAATCTGAGCGGAGTCACTGCTTACACTCATCTAGGCACTATCGTTTCAACTGCAGACAGCTGCGTGCATAAAGATGTCAAAGCCAGACAGGTTCTCTGGAAGCAAGACAAACGTTCATTACCATGAAATCGCCATGCAGCATTCAGCATCAAGAACAATATGCAGATTTTCAGTAGTAATGCCAAAACAGTCAGTGCTTCTATATATTCCACAGACTTGGTGCTTGCATTACGAACGGCATTTCTAACAAGCTACTACAAAACGTTATCAACAGATGCTCGACAATGAAGGTCAGATTTCCGGTTAGAAAGAATGAGCGACAAGGAACTCTGGGGATAAGCCGACCAAGAACCTATCACCCAACAAATATTTCGAAGGAGATGGAGATGGATGGGACACATGCTGAGAAGACGGTTGAATGACATCGCATAACAGGCCATCGCTCAAGTAGGGCCCCAACGGGATCGGGGGTGAAATGCAGGAGATCATGTTAAGAGGAGATGACAGCTTACAGGCAGCCATGGAGTCAGCTTAAGACAACTGTAGAAACCAGGATAAAATGGAGGAGTATGCTTTTGAAGCCCTATATTCCACTACCTCTTCTTCTTATTCTTGTAAAGCAATAAGTGGTAACATTTTCGTATATTTTTAAGGTCAAATAGAAAATCAATAAACTGAGTTCCTAAATACAAAAGAAGTCAAATGTAAAGTGTCTGAAGGCTTCTTTGAATGGACAACAGAAAATCTGGATAGGAAGGAAAAAAATGTCACGGTCGTGATTTGCAAATTAAATTGCAATTTACACAGTTCAAGGAGATAAGATTTCACCACAGCTAACTAACTCAACAATCCAAAATTATGCCGATTGGAATATGTTGGCTGCTTGATGCTATAAGTGATAATCAGAAAACCAAGCGTATATGTATAAAACTTCATGCTACTGACTGACTGACTGATTGACAGCACTTGTTAACAAAATCATCGAAGTGATCTAATCAGCAGACAACCATTTCGATCGTTCGGGACCAGGCTCATCAACGGTGTACCCGGTATGATTAAGTTCAGATAGCTGAATCCGTTCAAATCACCCAATCCAAGTGGTTTACAATCACTCTTCTCTGTAAGACAGCAGTCTATAGTATTATACAGGAAGGGGAAGCTGAGAAGAAAGGTTTGTTCACAAAGTCCTATTTCCGCATTTACACTTAGTCCTAAGTAGTAAGAACAATTATTGAGTTTTTTGGGATCCAGAGATTACTATATCAAATGATCAAAATGAACGCAAAATTTTACCATAAACACCATCAAGCAATTGTCTCTATTCAGGGGAATCGAAGACAGTTACAAGATTATCCAAGAAAGTTTGTATTTTATAACCCTTTTTACTGAATTTAATTTGTGTATGGTGACTAGCAGTGGAATCCAGGATGCGTACTTCGTCCTATTTGCGACTCGTCATCTGGATGTACCTGCATTTCCCAGTGAGTGATGATGTTCCCCCCGAGGCTTGAACCCAGTGCCCTTCTTACTGCTTTCCAATATTTTCTTAAAAAAGAATAAAGTATAAGTTAATATTCTTGTTTTGTTTCTACAGGGATTTAAGGGTGTACGTGGTATGCCAGGCATTAAAGGGCGTCCAGCGGCACCTATTACAATTGAAGGTCAGAAAGGCGATAAAGGTCAACGCGGTCCACGTGGTCCCGATGGTTATCCATGCGCTTTGGATATACATGCACAAATTGGACCACAAGGTCCTCCAGGCCCAACAGTAAGTAAACACACACCTGCACAGTAATTTCACATTTATAATGTTATCATATGCAAACGGGATATTGTAAATGGTTATTCTCTCCCCGTTTTGCAGGGTTTCAAGGGAGACAAAGGAGATCGTGGACTGATTGGAGAATTCGGTGAAGCGGTGAGTTGAATAGCTTCATGTTTATATTCATTCAATCAATCTCAATATGTTTAATGTTCCTGTTTTGCGTTTAACTGTGAAGCATTTTTTTCAATAATTTAATCATTTCCATTGCTACATTAAGAACACAATATTCAGCCAAGAAACTCTATTCAACGAATTTATTTATTAAAATAAGTATAAAACTTGGGCACTGTGGTAGAGCATAACTCTATTATGGATAAGATTTTATTATTAAGCTGTACAATCTTATATGCATATGACATTTTTATATTAAGTATATGCTGTCAGGGAATTTGAACAGAGGTGTGAATACATCAAAATAATAATAGCTTGAGATAGATTCAATATATTTGTGATGATAATCATAGTTGAATATCAGGTGGAGACGTTAAGAAATGTTTTACAACTGTTTACCCATACACACATACACACTCTGTTTAAAGTGTTTAACAAAGGTACACTAATATTTGTAAGTCCGAGGTCAAATTTTGATCACAGCTCATAAAATTTTGTTTATTATACTTGTTGATACTTTTTGAATGACTCATGACTGGACAAATTTTCAAAAACAAGTGATGTTCCTTTTATATATAAACCTTTGTTATGTTAAAAAATTATATTTGTAATATCTCAGCGATATTGAAATGAGTAATTCCAACGTTTCGTTCGGCAATCTGGTCCGAACTTCTTCAGGGAAATTAATCAAAATTAACATAAGAGATATTTATATATAAAAGGCACATCTTTTGTTTTTAAAAACTTTGTCCAATCATGATTCATAAACACAAGTATTAACAAGTATAATAAACAAAATTGTATGAGCTGTGATCAAAATTTGACCTCGGACTTACAAATATTGGTCTACCTTTGTTAAACACTTTAAACAGAGTGTGTATGTGTGTGTGTGGGTAAACAGTTGTAAAACATTTCTTAACGTTTCCATAAGAAGATATGGACAGTCGAGAATTCTGACCAAGTATTAATAGTCAGTGATACATATCCATTTTTATTTATTAATAAGGATTTCCTATGCATCAGCTAACATCACGCCTTCATGTCCGTTCAAACTGTTAATATCTAGAATTTTATGATTAGACGTATTTTCAAAATTATGGTGTTTAGGATTGGAGTTTAGTTTAAGCACCCTGTCGGACTTATTGCTTTGCCTTCTTTCTGAAGATTGAGCTGCTTTATTCGACCTACTGGAGTTGTCAGGTGACTTGACAGCTACGGATTTAGGATATGAATTCTGTTGCAGACAACGGAGAGTGAAAACACGATGACTGTGCCAGTTACACAGTTTCTTTGTTAATTTAATTCGATTGCAAAATAATTCAAATGAACTGTCGTCAAGATTTGACAGAATAGTTCTAAAATATTTGGGCGCCGAGTGAGAAGTAGACATTTCGATTAATTTCCCTGAAGAAGTTCGGACCAGATTGCCGAACGACACGTTGGAATTACTCATTTCAGTCTCACTGAAATTTTACAAATATAATTTTTTACAAATTCATGTCATATTTGGAAATGCTTATAGGATGTATAGAAGTTGGAAGGGGGTGTACAATTATAGGATTAGTAGGCTAATATAACATAACATGGTGTAAAATTTGATAAGATAGAATTCAGTCCGGTAAAAAAAAACATTATTGGATTTAGAATGATAAGTGGGACAAGCGGGATCTATTCAAATTGAAAATAATAATAATAATAATCGTAGTAATGAAGGAAAGGTACGTAGATTAACTAAATAAACAAAATAAATAAGTAAATGTATACCCCTATATGGTCAAGGCAGAAATAGAGATTGTACATACTTCTTTTACACACAGAGGTTTCGCTTAAATTCATGAACGACCAACGCCAACTCTGTTTTCAGAAGTTTAGAACGAAGAAAACCGTGGCAAGTCAACGTGAATTCGACAAATGCTCTTAAAATTGACGGTTAGGGGTTGGTAGAGTAATGGAAGTCGATCAAGTGATCTAGAATAAAGCTTCCCACATCTTTCCTTTCTCCCTTGTAAAGAAAGCCATGCTGGTTTATGTTCTCATATCCTTGTGGAATTCGTTCTCTGGCTACGGCCAGTGTACCTTGCTCCACAAGAGCAGGTGAACTGATGGATGTACATGAAGATGACCAGACAAGGAAGCTTATCTTTTAAATTTGTATGTTGTCTTCAAACGATACATTTTTGTACGGCTAGCTTGTTGGAAAATAATTTTTAGATTTTTTTATTCCTATACGTTCCTAGTGGAACATAGGACTTCAAGCTAGAGGTTTGAAGTTTCCATAGCAGTGATATTCATTTTTACTGGGTGAGGTTGCTAGCCTCACGTCCAACCTTCCCTCTTTACCAGTCTTATTACCGGCTTAGCGAGGTAAAGGAGTGCGTCCGTGGCCTGGAATGGAACCCCGGAACACATGCATGGTTGGCAAGCATCCTACCGCTGCACTATCGACGCAGATAAGTTTTGAATTTTACAACCACAGTTGTGGTTATAGAGAAATCACAAAGTTACTCAATCTACTGCGAGAAAAAAAGCCAGTAGACATTAGACGGGAATAAAATATCTTACTAATTTCAATGTGATTACTTTGAAAGTTTTCAGTAGACATCAACATTTTTGAATAGAAACATCTCCTCTGCTGACTTCCGTGTTTATTTTGCTCTTCATAAATCTTATGTATAGTGATAATTCACTTATTTGTTTTCTCACTATAGGGTTTTGATGGCCCTCCGGGAATGCCTGGTGAAAAAGGACTTCCAGGACGTCATGGTGACAGGGTATGTTGACGATATTTTAAAACTAGAATCCGGTAGCATGTGAAAGTTATACAATAGAAAGTAATTTTATAGCTGGTTTACTATTCATGTATTTTGTTGATAGGGTGATGATCAGCAATTTATTAAGAAATTTATCTTAAAGATTGATTAGTGAACGAAGAACATTCTTCTCGATATTTCCTTCATCAGATTAAATATTTATACGATCATAAACACACACGGAATTTATGAATTTATAGTTTCGACAGCAGGTCAAGGTAGCAATAGCAACTGACTGAAACTGTTTTTGTTTGCATATACAGCTATGGGTGATTTAAGTGAATTGCAATGGCGTCTGCTGTTTTAAGTGTTCATTATCTAGAGGCCTCTTGGTAGTGTATACGACAACGGACAGATGATAGAGAAAGACTCTTAGATGCTGGCTTTTTGGCCTTTAAAAGGTTGTGATAGAATTATACTATACCACAGTAACCAAGACCTATTCTTTATATTAACTTTCTGGACTGTCTGAACGAGGTGATTAAATACATAACTATCGATAACTTCAACTAAACCTTTATTCAAACACACTAGTAGGTGTTGCTAAGTACGAAAAGTTTATTTCCTGGAACAATAGTCAATATGTGACTGGCTAAATAGAGCTGTCGCTAAAACCACCAACACTTCTATATTTGATCCAAACAGACCACAGATGCACCTGTTGAGGAGTATTTCTCTATCATCTATTGGGTATCGAATACATTACCAAAGGCTTCTAGATACCGAACATTCCAAAGGGCAGAGGCTATTGAAATTTGTTCAAATCAATCGGAGCTTTGCATGCGAAAGAAGCAGGTCCAGCAGGCATTACTACCCTAGCCTGCTGTCGAGCCTACACAATTCAAATACTCTGTGTTACTTCTCTTAATTTACCTGATATTCAGTCAATTTAGCGTTATATTCATGCATGTTATCTTTCTCTTACTTTTGAAATGCAATCTATCCATACTGTTGACTGATTCAATGTAATTTAAAACAGCATTAATGTTAATAACAATATTTCTTTAATTACTAATGTCACATAAATGTAGGACCTGATGATGTTGGATCTGTCCAGAAGAATATTCTTTGTTCATTAATCAGTCTTTTAAACTTTTATTTAGCATCTTCAATGTTTTTGTTGTTTTTTTTCCTTCACATTCGCCACTGGAACATAGGGCTTCAAGCTAGTGGCTCGAAGTTTCTGTAGCAGTGTTTATATTACAATATGTGGTTGCTAGCCTCATGCCCAACCTTTCCTCTTCTGGCTTTGCAAGGTAAAGGTGTGTGTCGGCCGGGGATCGAATTCCGGACCATGTGCATGGTTGGCGAGCGTCCTAACCGCTATGCCACCGACGCACACGCATCTTCAATGAATCAAAAAATACTTTTAAGTTTAGGAATACACATCATCTCGGTATGCCTGCTGGTTATACGCCTTAAGTTTTTGTCTCATTTATCTCATTAATCAGGAAGATAAACTGCTGTTTTCAATCATACACGCATTCCCTTCATTACTTGCACTTTTTATTTAGATTAAACCTTTTTGTGAGTGGGTTCGGATTAATTTCAATGTAGATTTCACTACAAACTAACTTTATCTGGAGAGATTATTGAAAGCCAGGAAGCACTGGACACCTGTTCCCTCCTAAATTGGGACTCTCCACAGAAACTCATACATAGTCTAAGTGTCAGTCTCCACCTCATTGCTGGCTAATGGATAGATGTTCTGAAGTTGTACTGGGAAGTTCTGACCAGTAAGGCACACCATATCAAGAAGAAGTGAATATTAATCGAAGACATTAGTTCAGATTAGCACTGTATCATGAACTGACGAAGTTAGAATTCATCGGTCATTGAATTCCAGTCAGGTGGATGAACTGTTAACCAACCATCTTAGTCTCATGACCCGAAGGGCTCGGGTTTCTTGCGTGGCAGTGGGTCGTGGGTCAGGAATTTCATTGTTGTGCTAAGAACGTGTGAAGAATATCTCGTCTACAGAATGATCTTCTGCAAAAGTGAGAACAATAAATATGCACGATGAATTGAATTCAATTTCATTTTGTGTGCTCCAGGTCTTCCACACACCCACCAAGTCGAGAAGACTATGTATACTTTAGATAAAGCAATAAGAAGACGTAATTTGTCTGAATCGTGTAATGTATTTGCGCAACACATTTCGAACAATCTGATCACACACGGACTTGTCATAGGAATATATATGAAATTAATAAAGAGGTAAGAGGTGAGAAAATAAGCTACTTAGGTCAAGTTAAACGGATATATTCAAGGTTAAAGTAACAATGAACACCACTAAACCAAATAATAGAGGTAATAGTACATCTGCTATGGTATCAAAACAAAATTTACCAAGGAAGGTTTAATGTGATGACGAATTGTTTTTGAACGCATAAAGGTGGCTTAAACTTTCTAATTGCTAGGGCTTCCACAAACTTTAGGATACGCCCCGAACACGTTTTATAGAAAGGTTTAAAAGATCTGTTAACGTCAATTTTATGTCCTGTCTCTATAATATGTTTCGCAATAGAAGAGTTAGGTCTCCTGTTCTCACCGACAGGACAGGACAGTATCTTAATTACCACAGTTTCTGCCCTGTTCGGTACAAAAGAGCCTTAGTAAGGTGCCTCTTTGATAGAATCCAGCGAATATGCAATGAAGACACACTTTATGAAGAAGAAAGAAAGTTGACACAAACTCTGGTTGATAACAATTATCCAGACAAGTTCATCAGGAGATATAAACTAATCAGAACACCGAGACGCACTCTCCAACTCGCCCCTAAGAAAGACGTGTACATCAAGCTACCCTATGTGGGGCATCAAAGCAGCTTGATAACTAGACAAAGGCTGAACGCTGCCGTCAAAAAGACTTTTTATGCAGCCAATATCATAATAATAGAGAATGTAAAGCCAATATATCTATCTAAGCCCTTCGAACACGCGAAAAATGACGTCACATTCCACTATATTTACCAATTTGAATGTACGTGTGGACACACATTCCTAGGGAGGACTCATCGATCTCTGAAAGTAAGGGCTTCAGAGCATATTCCTAAATGGCTCCAAAACAAATGGAATCTTCAGAACCTATTAACGGTGAGAACAGGAGACCTAACTCTTCTATTGCGAAACATATTATAGAGACAGGACATAAAATTGACGTTAACAGATCTTTTAAACCTTTCTATAAAACGTGTTCGGGGCGTATCCTAAAGTTTGTGGAAGCCCTAGCAATTAGAAAGTTTAAGCCACCTTTATGCGTTCAAAAACAATTCGTCATCACATTAAACCTTCCTTGGTAAATTTTGTTTTGATACCATAGCAGATGTACTATTACCTCTATTATTTGGTTTAGTGGTGTTCATTGTTACTTTAACCTTGAATATATCCGTTTAACTTGACCTAAGTAGCTTATTTTCTCACCTCTTACCTCTTTATTAATTTCATATATATTCCTATGACAAGTCCGTGTGTGATCAGATTGTTCGAAATGTGTTGCGCAAATACATTACACGATTCAGACAAATTACGTCTTCTTATTGCTTTATCTAAATTCATATATGTGTACTTTAATAATTTAAGAAATTATCATCAAATGTAAATAATTTGATATGGTTCAGTGTTACAATCAGCATACAATGAGTATTTCCACATGTACAAAAACAATATCTATCTCTGGGAATAAAAATGATACAGTTTATAACCTGACTACTCATCAGATACAAAAGTACAAATCGTTATTCTGAAGACAGAAAATATTATAAATTCGATCCAGACAAAGAGAAAAAATAATTCAACATAATACTGATAAAGGGCTGCAGGTATTCGAAGTGATACAGCATGCAGTTAGCTTAAGACACTTATGGTATGATAGTGTGTGAAATAATGGTAAAACAGAAAGGGATAGACTCATAATTATATGCATATATGTAAAACTTCATCATCGTGGTAGTATGCAACTCCATATTAATTTGTATATGTGCGTCGGTGGCACAGTGGTTAGGACTCTCGCCGACCATGCACATGGTCCGGGGTTTGATCCCCTACCAACGCACACCGGATATCTATGGTCGGCCTGCAAAATTTAGGCTACCGATATCACATGCTGAAAATTCCGTACCTGTACCAAAAATACGGTGTGGAATCAAGCTGTAATCAAAAAAATATATATCACAATAGAACAGTATTATTTACGAGATGATAAGTTTTCGAAAACACTTTATTGTTCATAATCATATCAATTACAGCTATGCTTGACTTCTAAAGCATTAAGGTTCCAAAGAAAAATATTTTAAAAAATTGCGGCGAGAAAACTTCGTGACTGGAAGTTCAGTCCCACCCAACCCCAGAAAAGTAAAGCTGAGGTTTGTAGGTAACATATTCCCCGTACATTACAACACATAAATAGGTTTTTGCAACACATCAGGTCAAATACAGAGGCAAATCATTCCACTTATGAACTGAAAAGTCGTGAAGGCAAGCTTTCAATACTGAACTGTATCATAAAAAACAACAAGGTAGGTAATTAAACACTAGTGTTCACAGAAAATTCACATAATTAAATCAATATTTGGATATGGGTTCACCCCACTAAGCATCAGTTAGTGTATAATTTATTAAATTTTTGAAGGATAGGGCAGAACAGCTAAACAGTGCGAAAGAATATCTTCGTTAAGAAGACATTTTAAAAGCATTGGTGCCTGATAATTACCTCGGTAAGTTAATCAAAAAGATATATGAGAAATCATAGGAATAAAAATAAGGATAATATGAATGACAAATATACACAGGATAATGGCAACACAAAGGTTGCAGAATTGAAAAAATCAGTAGCCCTACAATACAAACGAGGAACCTCTGGAACCTTATGTAGAATTCTTAGCAAAGCAGAGAGTGTAAGTGGCTTTCAAGCGACCCACAAACTCATTTAGAAACACGCTTTGTCGACTGAAGGATCTTGTGGAGCTCACTAAACAACACAGTTTAGCTTTACGAATATCCTGCAATGATCGTGTAGTTGGAGTAGTCGATCATGGTCAGTAAGATTGGCAAAACGCAAAAACTTAGCAAAATATATATTAATTTATTCTAATGACATAAGGAAGTAAGAAAAAAAGTCAGCTATACCGCTACATGCAGCTACATACAGCCATACAATAGGATGAGATCAGATAACAGCACTAAGACCAATTGTGTAATAGGGTGGAGCGAGGGTTTGATAGCTGGAGTTTTATTTACTGCATCAGCCAAGAACACGTGTGACAGAAATGACTCAGCATCAATCCTCGACATCTTCAAAACTTATAACAGGTGAGAAAGAAGTAGGAGTACTACAACAATAAAGTTTCGAAGTTCTTGTATTTACAATTGATATACTTATGAACTATGAATTGTGTTCAAAACGCCACTCAGTAAATAATAATAATAATTTGCTTTATTCCAGAAACAGTACTCGTGGTACAGTGTGGAATTTTCAGCACATATCTACAATATTTGCATCTAATTTTACAGACATTTAAAATAAGTATTAAACAAACAAAAAAAAAGTAAACCTGAAGACACCAACAGCAAAAACAAAAAAAAACAGGATAAACACAAAATAATTATGAATGCGAAAAAGTACCAAAGTCTACCAAGGTCTAATGCAGTGTTTGTGGTGGTAGTGTGAGTAATCCTGAATAATACAAAATTTTAAGATGGTGATGACTATGGCATTCACAAACAATGATTGTCAGTTTAATATTGCCAAAAAGTATAGAAAATAAGAAAAACAACCACAAAACTAATAATTACATGATGGTTAATGACACGACAATTTTGTAATACTCATAGTGCTAATATAGTCAGAACCAGTGGATACACAATAGAAGGAATATAGTAAAGTACAAAAAAGGAAGCCAATGTTAATATTTCAGGTAGCTAAGTAAGTTTGAAGAAGGAGTTCACTAAAGAATACGAAATAAGAGAGAAATAAAAGAGTATGAAATTATGTTGTTAATAACAAAGCAAGTCACAGGTTTCACGCTTAACATTGTCTCTGTCGCTTAGAACACGGGCCAAGTATGGTATCGTTGAGTTCCTGTACTTGGTTGTACGAGCATAGATTCTTTTATACTGATTTCTGGTTTTACTTGATGAGATACAAGGAGAGAGTTGGGAATAGAGGGGGTGTTGGGGGTCTGAGAGTATGGTTTTAGACCATTTTATGCATGTATTCAGATGCCTATCAACTAAAGTAGTCACGAGCTGACTGAGATTAACACCACTAGTCCTACCAACTACTGTCAACATCCTTCTCAGGATGGAATAGTCCTTTTTCAGTAGACCAGGAAAGACTAATGGGGAGCAGTAAAGTAGAATAGGTAGGATACAAGAGTTGACAAATGGTGAAAGTAGAGGTTGGGTGATTCCGGATTGTCTAAGTTTCTTAATGTAGTAGGTAAGACAGAACACTTTCCTAGAAATCATTAGGATGTGAGATGTCCAAGTAAGGTCAGAAGATAGAACTAGACCAAGGTATTTTGCATTAGACTTAGTTTCAATTTTAGTCCCCTCAATGCAACAGTCTTCATGAGAACTTACTAGTGTTTGTAGATCTCGTTTATGCCTAAGGGAGAAGTCGACAGTCTGACATTTTGAGGGATTCAACATGAGACCATTTAGTTTGGACCACTCACTGATGTCCGACAGGAAGCTATTTAATTTGAGACAGTCTGACTGAGACTTAATGGAAAACGATACAGACAGGTCATCTGCATATTTGACGAAGTTGACTTCATCTGAGAGAGGTAAATCATGTAAGAAGAAGGAAAAGAGAAACGGAGAAAGAACAGCACCCTGAGGAACTCCAGCTTCAGTAAGCAATGGAGAGGAAGATGCACCATTATATACCGTGTACTGAATCCTATTAGAGAAGTAAGAGTGCAGCCAGTTGATAACCCAGGGCTCAGTTTGTGCTAGGCTAAGCTTGTTTAACAATAGGCCTCTAGGTACAGAGTCGAAAGCAGATGTATAGTCAAGGAACGTACAACGGACAAACTTGGCCCCTTTGTCTAAGGAGGATACAATGTTGTGATGAAACACAGCAGCAGCGTCCAAAGTACTTTTACCCTGTTTGTAAGCAAACTGCTTAGGATCGTTTGAGAAGCTTAGGGAGGGAACAAGTTTTAGTAACAATAGTTTCTCCATTAGTTTCAAAAAAGGAGAGGTTATAGCGATAGGTCTGAACTTAGCATTATTACCAGAGCCTGACTTAGGTACAGGGATGATTTTAATATCTTTCCACAGAGAAGGTACAACATTATTAGAAAAAGAAGTATTAAAAATGTTTGTAAGTGGGTTGCTTAAAATATCAGCACATTTCCTTAGGACAATGGCAGGTATACCATCAGGACCTAGACTCTGGGAAGGTTTAAGAGATTTTAAACATTTAAGAACATCAGAAGTTTTAAAACTATTAAAGTCACTGGTCATGTTATTTGTTACATTGAAGCTAGAAGGTACATTGGGAAGGCGGATAAAAGATCTATTAAGAGTATTTACATCAATAGAGGGAGAACAAGAACTATGCTTACCACAACCTGTAATTTCTTTGAAAAGCTTCCACATGTTGCCAGGAGATTTACATGACAAAATTCTTTGATTATAAATATTGTTTAACCTCTTGATTTCGGATTTGATTTGGATGTTTATTCTCCTAAGACCAGCTTTATCCTTAGCCTTGTACAGTCTCTCTTTTTCTCTTCGAAGCTTTTTGAGATGAGGAGAAGAGAAACGATCTATTCTTTTGAAAAGTAACTGTTTAGGACAGCATACATCAAGGCAGAATTTAAGATAGTCAGTCAGATTGGAAATAGTATCATCCAGAGTGTGTTCAGTGAAAAGTTCCCAGTTTGTGTCATTTAACATACATCTTAGTTCGAGCACGTTTTCTTGTGAGTAACATCTTTGTTGTGTTTTCCTGGAGAGATTCGAGAGGATATTAGAGTGATATCTGCTATATATCTTGGGTAATATCCGAATAATACAATGATCAGAGTTCATTATAGGAGCACGTCTGCGTGCTTCATATATTTCCGCATCATTAGTAAATACTAGATCCAGAGTTTTATCAAGTCGAGTTGGAAATTTGACAATGTTGACGTGACCTAATGATTCAAGAAAAGAACAGTCACAGGTATTGAAATCTCCAGTGACAACTGATAAAGAGTTTTCAAGATGTGTAACCGCGAATGCTGTGAATTCATCGGCAAAATAAGATAGATCCGAGGCGGAACATCCAGGAGTAACATAAATGTTTGAGATGAAGACGTATTTAAACTTGGATAGGTGTTTCGGACGACATTTGACTGTAATACAATCAATAAAGTCACAAGAGAATGAAAAACATACATTATTTGAAGTTGACCACTGAGAATGAATGAAGGTTGCGACTCCTCCACCTCTTTTCTTTCTAGAGCATATTCGATCTTGTCTAAACAATGTGAAACCACTTAGAGAAACCAGGTTGTCGTCATAAAGATCATGGAGCCATGTTTCTTGTAATGTGACTATCGCAGTATTGTGATAAGTATCAGATGATTAGAGAGACTGGAGATGCATAATTTTGTTGGGAAGTGAACGGCAGTTTGAACTGACAATAACAGGAATAGTTGTGCGATATAATGGTGTCCGTTTGAGAGCGCGTTGCCAACCACCATGATGTTTTCTCTTAGTTTTATTAGAAGCATGAAAGTCATATGGTTTAAAACATTTAATGAATTCATTACTGTATTTGATACGATTTGTGACCATATTTTGTTAAAATTAAAAATGGAAACATGATGTATTAGATGCAAATATGTAGATGTACAGAAAGGTAGCCCAGATGTCAAACAGGCCGCCAAAATACTACTATTCCACAAGAGGATGGAACAAGTATTAAAATGGTAAGTAAGGAATGACCTTCCTTGGAAACTTGGTTGATGTTCGAGAATTTACTCAACAAAGAGATGTGTATAACTTTCTTTTAAAGTGGTCACGTCGTTAACAAGGTAGATGACAGTGGCAGTTGACTGTGCTTAACTGGGATTCTGTCCAATTAAAAGCTCAAACAAAGCTGTAATAAGTCAATAAGTTCATCGTAAAACGCACCTTGTTAAGGCAATGAGGTTTTAATACAATATGCATCAGTGGATTTCCATTTGATATCCTGTGTCAATATGTGCTACTACTGAATTGTTGATATGTACTATTTTTCAGGGTCGACCAGGAGATACAGGCTATCCAGGATCACAAGGAGAACCGGTAAGAAAATTGAAATTTGAATATTTATCCTAAAGTTGATCAATATTATTGGCATTATTATGTCATACGATGGTTACCTCAGCGTCCGTTTAACTCATCTCCATTTCCTTCGGAATAGAGTCTTGATTGGTCTATTCCCAGAGTTCGTCGTTGCTAATACTTTCTGGGCGTATGACCTTCAGTATGCAGCAAAGGCAGCTGTTGACGAATCTCTTCTGTAGCCTGTTTAAAATGCCTTTAACGACACACCAATATTACAGCCTTCCTTTATTGTATCAGAACTTGTTTACATTCCGTCCGTGAATCATCCATCACACATGTACATAAAAGTGGTGTTTTGCAAGGCGAACTCGAATCTTTCCTGTGAAAGTTGTGAAAACCACCAGTTCTAATACATGAAAATTTTAAGCAATATCACTGCCTAAGTTCCTGTTACTAGATTCAGGTATTTCCAATCAGAATAAAAATGTTTGATTAGCGTTAATTATTCTAGATATTTAAGCCAAAGAGACGCTAATTTGTCATGGAAATTTGTGTATGAGTTTGGCTGCACCCATGATAATGACCACCTCAGACTAACTTAATCAAATTTTTTTGTGTTGTTAAACTATTATGTTTTGCAAATAAGTTAAGTTGAAATGGGGACATTGAGGTGGACACACTCACTGATCAAGAATACTGCTTGACTAGGCCAACAACACTATACGATAGCTACCTGTTTGCCCAGACCACACTACTTAAGCGAAAACACACAACGATGTCGGTCGTAAAGTAAATTTTAGGCAATAATGTACGATATATGTCAGTTAGTCTGTAATCATGATCAATAAAATAATGGGAGTTATTTCACGAAGGCTAATTGTGATTGGTCTATTTCCAGACTGAACATAGATCACTTGAGTAGGCCAGCTCTGATTGGTTAATTTCTAGACTGGATGTCAGTCTCCGTATCACCAACAAAAGATAATCCATTGTTTATCTGTCTGAGGGTTATGTCAGTGATAAATTAATAAACTCATCAGACAGTACAATAATACTAATAACAATGTAAGTATACACTGGATGCCAGTCACCTTAAGTCTCAACGAATATTACCTCCTCTTGTAACGATGTCTCCAATCAAGTGTTGGGATACTCTTTTCATAATCTCAAATCAACAGCTTTACTAGCCTTACTACTGACTTAGAAAGGTTAAGGCATGCGTCAGTGGCCGATGATCTATCTCCAGACTATGTGAGGCATCGTTGGGGAGCGTTCTACCGCTGAACCTCCAATGCACATAAAAAATACATTTCACACAACCTTAGGGCTGAAAATATACACTGTGAATATGAATGTATTTAGATTAAGCATTTGAACGTTAACACATAGTATTTTCTGAAAGGAATGTCAGCAGCATTCTGAGGATTTCCGAAAACTTCTGATAACAGATTGCTTTCTGCCTACAATTTCATTGTGAATGTTAACAACGGTTGATTTCAATGTTCATTAATTAAAATATATCAACGTTAATCTGCTTTCTGCTACGTAGCAACACTTTCAACTGTACTTGTTATTTTAATATAATATATGATTTAATGTATAACTCCGGTAGGCAAGAACTTCCTGCATCACACAGAAATATCTAGTGAATGCTTGAATCCAACTACCTGAAACAGATGTTCCACAAATACTACTACTAATAATAATAATTTAACTACAGTATTGCATCCAGTTAGTACATTATCAATAAATAGAATTCTACATAGATTAAGGAAATCTCAGTTCATTATGACAACAACATAATGGCATGTCGGTAGCAAAGGTAAAGCTGAACAGTGTTTGAAGGTGTTAGAAAAGTAGGTGCTGTCATATTTACTGGCGTAAGCGAGAGAAAGAAACAAAGCAGCACATAACGGAAAAAAAGAGAGAAGAGGAAAAGAAAGAAAGAAAATGTTGTACCCATAAATGATATGAGTTGGAAAGACAAGATCCAGTTGTACTACTGACTATTGAATGAATTATAGGTGTCACGCCTAATCCTTTTTTATCACACAGAACACGAGCTAAGTAGGGTATGGTTGAGTTTTTGTACTTGCTGGTGCGAGCATATAGTTTTCTATATAGGCTTCTGGTTCTACCTGATGAGATGTAAGGGGAGAGTTGTGAGTGAAGAGGGTGGTGTGAGTTAGACAGAATGGATTTGGCCCATTTTTCACATGATTCCATGTGCCTGTCAACCAGAATATTAACCAGCTGGTTAAGTGGCACGTTGCTCACCCTGCTGACAACCTTTAACATCCTGTGTAATATGTTATAGTCTTTCTTCAGTAGCCCGGGAAAAACTAAGGGGGAACAATAGAGAATAATAGGCAGGATGCGAGAATTAACGAATTGCAGGAGTAAGGGTTGGGTAATACCAGAATGTTTTAACTTCTTGATGTAGAAGGTAAGATGGAATATTTTCTTAGAAATTGCTAAGATATGAGACGACCAGGAGAGATCAGCAGATAGAATGACACCTAGGTATTTAATTTCCGATTTAGTTTCTATTTCAGCACCATCTATGTTGCACAGCTCGTGAGAGCCAAACAGTTTGTTTAGGTCGGATTTATGCCTAAAGGTGAAATTGACTGTTTGGCATTTGGAGTCACACTAGTGGTATTATTCAGTCCCCCAGGTTTGTGCAGATCGTGCACAAACTGAACTCTAAATACGAGCCATTAAATCGAAATGTATGTTCACATGTGTGTTCTCATGAAACTTCTGATATTTTGCTGGTTTTTTTCGTCTGAGTCTATCTACAACGTTCTAAATGTCTCACCTCCATTGAAAATATCACCGTGCATGAGAAAACAGTCTTCATCAAAGAGAAGCAAACTTTAATCTTTGCAAACTGTTTACTCACTGAATTAAAATTGACTTATTATGTACTTCATTACTTCAGGGTAAACGGGGTCTGGATGGAGAACCTGGTCGAATAGGCGAGATTGGTCCAAAAGGTGATACGGGACCTCCTGGAATTGATGGTGAACGTGGTCTTAGAGGTCCGAAAGGCAAACCTGGGGTAAACAATAGTGATTTTTTTTCTTCAAATATTTTGTGATTTAAACTGAAAAGTGTTCATAATCATAATGTACACAGTTGTTAGAGTGAAAAGTGTGGTGAGATCGTATTGATGAAAACTAATCAGAATTAAACAAATGATTATTAGTGTTACGTAATGACGTAAAATTATCAAAATCCCTATTGATTATAACTGTCTGGTCTGTCTGTCTGGATTCAACATAGAACTTGACACCGAAGTGCAGCAGTTTGAGTTGCCACGTTCCAGATAGCACACAAACGTAGACAAGAAAATGAGTGAAGAGAATCAATAGAGTTTTGACAAGTATAAGAGTGAAACAGAATGAGTAATGGTAGAAAGGAATATGAAAGATTACAGAGACTGAATACATCTGCGTAAGCCATTGACAACGATTTTGAGCCATGTCACCTATTGTCTCCAGCCATTGATTCTTAGAGTCCCGAGGGCCCCAACCCGGAAGTCTGCATCTCCCTACCTACCTGACTCAGTTTAACTGTCAAAGAAGGATTTCATGGATTGATGAGGCCATGTTTTTGTTTGGCCACCACTTACTCTTTTCCAACCTGCACCCACATCAGCTAGTAATACCCGTCGAGGGGGGGCGATGGTTAGGTATGCGCCGCACGTGACCTAGCCATCTCAATCTATGTAACTTTATAATCTTGTCGATTGATTTGCCCTCTTTGCCCAACACTCTACGCCTAACGTCAACATTACTTACATTATTATACCACCTAACGTGAGAAAGAGTTCGTAGACATCTATGATCAAAAACAGTCAACCTTTTCATGTCTTCAACTCGTATTGGCCATGTTTCAGAGCCATAGAGAAGGACGGAGCGAACTGCTGCTGAGCAGTACACACGTCCCTTGGTTGATAGCCGGATGTCACGCCTACGCCAGAGACGGTGTAAGTTAGCGAAAGCAGCCCGAGCTTTTTGGATCCGTGCTGAGATTTCGTCGCAAATCAATCAATCCGTTGGTGATGATACAACTTCCCAAATAGGTGAAGTGGTCAACATGTTCTATCACTTCACTCCCTATCACGAAGCTAGGAGTTGACGTAGTCCAGTGCTGTAGCAACATCTTGCATTTTACAGGGGCGAATCGCATGCCAAACATACGAAGATTGCTGCTCAAGGTGTTCAGAAGACTCTGCTACATTTTGTCAGTATCCTCCCCTAACAGGACTATATCATCTGCATATTCTAAGTCCATAAGACTATTCACTGGTAACAAGTCGATTCCTAAGTCGTTAAGTTCAGTTAAGGATACTATTGATTATAACCACGCGTTATGAATTCTGATAGATTTCATTGAAGTTATAGTAAACTGGAATGATCCGTCCAGTGTTTTAATTATTCTGTATGCGTATGTGCGTATGTGTTTGTGTGTGTTAGTCTAACCTAACTTTGATAAACCTTCAAATGGAATGCACACGTTGCTTACATAGTACCATTATAATGGTTAAATGATGTCTGCTGATTAAAAACACTGATCAAATACGTGTGACTTTAAGATTATTATGAAACGAAAAAATGACTGTTTTTCTTTGCATTCTTTTCAAAAACTGATAAGACAAAATGATACGATTAACGTGTACATTTTTGAAAGTTATTCATCACTACAATTATTACAGAAATTAAAACAATACTGACTCTACTTACTTAATTTTCTTTCAGAGTAAAAAGAAAGTTTTGTTTTTAAAAAAATGTATATATCTGTTAAACAGCGCGGTGAAAGTGATATGATATCCGTAGGCTATTGAAGAGATGATCAGTAGTGTATCAGAAAGTTTTTAGAAAAACCGTGTCGTTACAAGTGTGAATTACCTGTTATGTTTAAAGAAGTTAAGAACGCTTTCGTAAGTTCTAGTTCAGTAGAAGAACAAAAAAGTTCAACGAAAAGTCTCTTTTCGAAGGAGAAATCATTCAGTCAGCTGTATAATCGCATATATATAATTATTTTGTGTGTGTGTGTGTACATTAGATTTGTCAAACAAAAATAAAATAAATATCATCAAATCAATGTGCACCGTGATAGCTAGCTATCTAGAATGCTGGCCACACTACAAACCTAACTGATAGAATTCAGTCTGCACCGAAGAAAGGACTAGACACATCATTACACTAGTTATTAGTGTCCAATGAAAATATCCACTACACCCCTACAGGAGGTCAATCGCCAGGTCGAATAGCTCAATGGTAACGTCTCTGACCGCAGCACTCACTGAGTGACACGGGTTCGAATCTCAGAAGGGACATGAGTCGTTTCTTTCAAGGGTGTAGATACTCCTTGCTGACTTGTGAGTGCCAACTAGCATGAAACCCAGTTGAAGCAGGGCTTCCTGTCAATTGAAATAGGGTGTTAATGAAGACACGTGTCCAAAGAATAAATTACTCAATAGGTAGGAAGAGTAAACAAAGGGCTGGAAGATGTTACTAAGATGCCACACAAAAATTCTAAAAAACAAAACAGAAAACAAAACATTATTAACAAAGTCGTAGTGTAACAACAGAAGACAAGGGCCAGGCAACAGATCGTTTATTAGGGAAAATCAACGCATATTTATAGATTTTAATGTACATTATTGTAGATCATTGTTAGTAGAAAATGCAGTCTTTTGATTGGTTTTTTCTCACACAAAGTTAACCTTGCATCTCTTTGTGGCTGTGTCGGATCATCCATATGCTAACTGTATCTGCCTACGCAAAGCCTTTGTTCTCATTTTCTCACCACCAATATTGGGGACATAAACATTGACATCAATTACTGTCTACCAACTTTGGCTAGCAGCCAGCTCTTACCACAGTAGGACTTCGAATTATACCCAAGATATAAGGAGAGTGGTGGAGACATTTCTTCTGTATTCATAAATTGGGGTTTTCTACCCGGTTCACTTTTTCGGGAGGCTTCTTTTGAGTTCGTAGATGACTTTGAATGAATTCTCTGTGAAGATTGAGTCACCAGAATGTTGACTATGTCTTCAACTATAGCACTCTTTATTGATCCACTGTTACCTTTTCTTAGCCAAGTGGGATAATTTTCTTTGACTCTTTTGGATAAATAAACGAATCGAAGGACTTATATATATATATATATATATATATGCCGCCAGAGGAGCAAGTGAATTGGTAGATACACATAGAAGTGATCAAGTTGGCTTGAATACAAAGAACATCCTTAAGGAATGTTTCCCCCCAGAGTGATCCAGTTCACTGAGTTGTTTCACTGACAGAAGTGAGGTTTTCAACAACATCTGCATATTATCCATGAGAAGTAGTTTCTTTTCCTTCTCAGAGTTGTATGTTAGGTGTACTCGTCTTTTAGTAAACATTATTGCCAGAATGTTTTGAAAATACCGAAAGTTGCGCTAAAACACACCTACAAAGAGATCTTGCAGTAGGCCCAAAGAGGCCCTTGTTTATACAGCTTCAGTCTCTTCGTGATAACGTCAGTGAAATAATAACATAGTGTCTAAATAAAGCAGTAAAAAGAGCATTCACTTAAACACAGGTGCAGTGCCTCTTCATAACCATTCCAATCCTGTGTTCGAGAAATAAGGATAAACTACCTAATTTCGTCTCCTATATATGTATCTGCCAGTCCGACTACAGTCGGGGAGTTAGTTACTTCGGGCGTACTATTGGGCACGTTCATCACCGTATTTCCGAATATCGTCCTGCATGGTTAAGCAAGGGATAAACAAGATCTATGCGGAGCTCTGTTTTTAGCACACTATGTAGATAGTAAGCATAAAGTTACTACTAATAAACCATCTTATATGATTTTGTAGTTCTCAGTGGACCTATAAAGCGAACAGTTGAAGCCCATACTGACACTAATTCACCTGTAAAACTGTACAGGTTTCTTTCTGCTATACTACTCCAGATGTAACCATCGAGATAGGAAATCCATGGGCCTTACATGTATGATATAAAAGCAGTTGACGCAGTTAAATGATGCATCTGATTATACAGAATTTAAGCACCTTCATTCAATTTCTGTTATATTTTTATCAACAGTTACCAGTCGTAATGTAAGTGCGGAATTTAGGCACCGTATGTTAGAATATAATTCCATCTCACCAATAATAGCTGACATATTCATGGGTTTTTGGGAAGTGAATGCACTTAAACCATTCAGGTCATCACTGAAATGTTGGTAGAGATATGTAGACGACACGTTAGGAATAATGAAAAGAAACAATGTTGAGAAATTCTTCTCGCACATAAACAGCCATATCGACTCAATAAAATTCACTATGGAAGTAGAGAATGAAATTGGGGAACTACCTATGTTAGACTGCAAAATACAAAGAATAACAGATGGCAGCATTAAAACAACGCTATATAGAAAAACCACACACTCTGGAAGATTCCTCGATTATCACTCAGCTCATCCACTCACGGTAAAACAAGGATTAATACAAGATCTTGCAGATAGAATACGTAGACTGACAACAACTTCAGAGGACCAGCCTAAAGAAATAAATGTCCTTTTCAAAATGCTACCCGACAACAACTACCCAAAAGAATTTATAAAAGATAATATAAAAGAGAAAAGAAAGAGGGTAAAACCGGAGAATGACAAGATGGACGAATGCAAGAAACAGTCACAATACCATATAAAAATGGTATATCAAACCTCAAAAATATCGGTATTCGCACAACGTTTAAACCGACGAATCTAATCAAAAATAAAATAAATCACCTGAAAGATCCCATAAGAATGATGGATAAAAACAGTTTGATTTACAAAATATCTTGTGCTAACTGTCTGACTAAATATGTGGGGCAAACGTCCAGATCACCCAAAATAACAGTGAATGAACATAAACGCCTAACTAAAGGTCAACCCCAACAGGAACACAAGCTTACAAGAATCTTGAAAAAAAATTCATCTATAGCTGCACATGCATGGGACAAAAACCACAATATCGATTGGAACAATGTTTGTATTCGAAAAACTAATATGAACAAATGGAAAGAAAGACTTATAACAGAATCTATATTCATTAAGGTCACACCGGATACATGTAATAAGGGTGACTCAGCAGCTCAACCGTCAACAACCTTGAATATAATTCTTATTACACAAAAATGAATGAACAAAGAAATGAACTATATATATATTTATATATATATATATATGAGTAAAAATCATAAATGTGTGAATTAAAAAACAAAACAATGCCATCAGTTGGTGTGTGAACACTGGCAGTAATTTTGCTCCAAATATTACCAATAACAAAACTTATTTGTAAAAAATTACATTTGTAAAGTCTCAGCGAGATTGAAATTAGTAATTCCAACGTTTCGTTCGGCAATCTGGTCCGAACTTCTTCAGGGAAATTAATCGAAATTAACATAACAGAGGTTTATATATAAAAAGGAACATCACTTGTTTTTGAAAATTTGGCCAATCATAAGTCATTCAAAAAGTATCAACAAGTATAGTAAACAAGTGATGTTCCTTTACATATAAACCTATGTTATGTTCATTTCGATTAATTTCCCTGAAGAAGTTCGGACCAGATTGCCGAACGAAACGTTGGAATTACTAATTTCAATCTCGCTGAGACTTTACAAATATAATTTTTTACAAATGTCTACTTCTCACTCGGCGCCCAAATATTTTAGAACTATTCTGTCAAATCTTGACGACAGTTCACTTGAACAAAACATATCATTTTGTGTAAACCACTGAAATTTAATTATGCTTTATTTCATATTAGATTAGTTTATTCTGCATAGCACACATGAGGTACAGTATTAATAAGTGGATATCGTTTTGAGCACAGTTTATTGCTGCGCATATTCATATCGGTGTATTCGCACGGCCTCACAAACCGATCTTTAGGAAGGTTTACTGAAGTGCTTATGTTGTCGAGCTACGAATCTAACTAGTAGATTAGAAGATTTAAACAACTGAATCAAATATATAAGGAAAACAAATATTATAAAAGTACGAAGGAGGTGGAAAATAAGAAAGGGTGGGAGGGTTTTGAATACAATTCACCTTGGCCAAGGGAGAGACAAAGGTAGAACAAACTTCTTTTGTATGCAAAGACTAGGATTGTTCTCTCGAATTCCCATAGCTTCGGCTAGGTGTAAAAGACGGTTTCTGATTCCATTCGAAAGACTATATAGCTTTCTCCACAGGAGCAACTAAATTTATAGATACACATCGGAGTGGCACAACTAGGTAGCTTATCTTTCACTTGAGCGATCAAAACTGGTCGGCTGGAGAATAACAAACAAAGGGTGGCGGCAGTATAAGTCCGTTTTATCGCTCTCGATAATCTCAGATGTAAGACTTCACTAGCCACGTCCCCATTAAATTGAAGTTTCATGAACAGTTCTTTCTTTCTAACTGTTGTCAGTTTTTCTTTGTTGTACCTGGTATTCATGTGTCTCCTAACAAATCTACTAAGATAACCCATTTGGATCAGCGTATTTTGGATATATCCTAGCTCATTTTCTAGGGAGTCATCTGTGCAAATACGTCTTGCTCTATTCGTAAGGCATCTGACCAATTTGACTTTATATCGGATTGGTACAAAACTGAGAAAATGTGTATATTGTCCTACAGATGTAGGTTTTCTATAGACATCTCTCTTGAGTGAACCATCCTCTCTTCTGCTCAATCGGACGTCAAGGAAATGTAATCCACCATCATGTTCTTCTTCACAAGTGAAGATGAGCGATGGATGTGCATCATTAAACTTTTTTAACATTTCATTCTTGTCAGTTTTCACATCAAGAATAATGAACGTATCATCAACATAACGAAAATAAGAATCAGTTTTCTCTATTACTTGTCTCAATGGACCATTTTCAATCTTGGCTAGAAAGAAATCTGCCAAAATTGGCCCCAATGGAGAACCCATGGCAATACCGTCTATTTGCCTGTAGTAAAGGTTGTTGAATATGAAATGTACATTCATAGTACATCTTAAAAGCAACTCTTTCAGACTAATAACTGGAATCCCGATGTCAATCTGCTTTTCTAGTATCTGTTGGCATATGAATTCCACAGTCTCCATAAGTGGTACATTGGTAAACAGTGACGCTACATAGGGCGAACAAGTAGACAACTTAACAAATGTATTAATGAGCATATTCCTTCATGGTTCGGAAAGGGTCAAATAAAATCCATACGAAGTTCTATTTTGGCTCATTTGATTGATAGCGGTCACCAAGTGGACAAAAATAGTGCTTTCAAAGTTATCTATCGTATTCCATCGAGTCTTTCGAATGGAATCAGAACCCGTCTTTTACACCTAGCCGAAGCTATGGGAATTCGAGAGAACAATCCTAGTCTTTGCATACAAAAGAAGTTTGTTCTACCTTTGTCTCTCCTTTGGCCTAGGTGAATTGTATTCAAAACCCTCCCACCCTTTCTTATTTTCCACCTCCTTCGTACTTTTATAATATTTATTTAAACTCTGATTATCGTTCCACTTCATCTTTTAAGATTTGACCCAATTTATTTATACACTTATATACATATACTATCTTTGTTATTCTTATCACCTGCATAAACCTTATTATCTATATAAGGAAAACATCATTAGTGAACAACTACCCACCAAGATTCATTCAAAAATGGATGAAGGCTCATGAGGAAAATAAGATTAGTAATGTAAATAATAGCAAAATATGATGACTAATAAGAAATTCAAAGTCTCGGTAGGACTGGCATATGAAGAAACGACTTTGGTAGCCTTATGTAGGATTCTTAATGAAGCTGGAATTATAGTGGCATTTAAACCACCGACCAACTCTCTCAGAGACAAACCTTGTCGGCTTAGTAATCCGACAGATCCAATTAAGGTCAATAACATAGGTTAAAATAGTAGATTGGTGTTAACCAGATTATCGGAATATAGAAATTTAGCTAGGACTAGAATGATTGACCCTACCAGATTAAATAACTTAGAAAAAAGCTCAGTCACTGCATTACATTTACTGGCATTTAATCACAAAATTGGGTGGTGCAGGGTGAGAGTATTAGTAATATAGTTAGGTGGAGGGGAAGGTTAATCAGCGAATATTTGTTCATTGAATCAAAACCAAAGACGTGCAATCGAAATGACGCGATACCTCTGCCGGATTTATGGAAAACTAAAATGAACAACAACGGGGAGATGGAACAGATATATGTTAAGCAAATTATGAATCCATATGAATAAATTGACATGATTATGAGCAGCAATAAACTGTGCTTGAAACATTATCCAGTTGTCAATACTGTATCACTGTGTGGTATTTCAAATCACCAGACTTAACGATTCCTGTATATTTTGAAACGGTAATTAATTTTTTTTCGATACAATGTCCTGTACACAAAGAAATTGAATGAAATAATATAGGCACTGAATTCACTAATGAGAGGTTTTACGATGTTAAAGTTTTACAGCTAAACAAAGTAAAATCCTTAAGAACTTTGAATGAGGATTCTGAATAGAAGTGTTTATCTTATCAAGTATTGATTTTTTTAAAGATTATTGTTTGGTTGGTTGGAGGATTTCATCATTAGCTGACATCGGTTAGGGAACCATTGTAAAACCACCTGAGAGTAGTGGAGAGCTGTTTCGTTCTAGTTTGGGACTCTTCAAAGTGCGCACCCAGCGACGGGGTTTGAGCCCAGGACTATCTGGTTACAAGGCGAGCTGGTAGACCATTAAGCCACTCGGACCCAATCCAGTGACTAGCTCATGAATTCCAACTTCTGCCATTTCATGATATGGCAGGTCGGGCTTGATGATTAATGCCTGCCGATGATGTTTGCTAGTGGTTACGCATTATCGTAAATTGGCAGAAAGTGGAATGCATGAGCTGGTCATTGGATTGAGTCCCAGTAGCTTAATGGTCTACGAGCTCGCTAGCCTTAAAAACAGAAGGTCCTGGGTTCGAACCCCCTGTGATGGGTGCGCGCTGATGAAGAGACCCAAATTAGGACGAAATGGCTGTCCAGTATTCCTTGGTTGTTTTTCCAGTGGTTCTCTAATCGATGTCAGCTCATGATGAAATCCTCCAACCAATCAAAAGTATTTTTTTTTGATGTACTCATCAAATCTATTATCTTTTACACCACTGAAGACTAAAAGTTGTATAATAATGTAAAGTGTATGACTGTTACACTGACATTTAAAATTATCTAACTTCAATAGGTACATATTGTTTCTAGGGTTATGTACATTGTGCGGGACCAAAAGGAATTAAAGGTTTGCGAGGATTTCCTGGAATCAAGGGGTATCCTGGTGAACCTGGTAGAGAAGGACCAACTGGTCCAGATGGCGAAAAAGGAAATTCTGGAGTTAAAGGAGAACAAGGTCGTGCAGGTCGTGGATGTGTTGATGGCCAGCCGGGTCTACCGGGACCAAAGGGAAATATGGGTGAGTATAACTTTTGTTTATCTGTTACACAAAAACTTAGTCAAACATTGAACCTAACCGGTTGTGTTCCCTGAGATACGTGTAATTCACAAACATAGACTACTGGATTAAAAACAAACGATGAAGGATGCGGTATTCATCATCGTTAAGAAATATTAAGGCCTACTACTTGTACCATTTGAACCGGTGTCTCCACAGCACCCAGTTATTTAAACTAATAGAAATAGCACTCTTTCGCAACTTTCCGACTGTAGATGTTTGGAAACTGTAATTGTTTATTTTGTTGTAATGACACTGCAGTGTTAAATATACCGAATAATCAGTGCAACTAAAGTCTTTTTAGTATTATTATTATTATTAGTTTCTCTTAGTTCATAGAGGAACATAGGGTTTCAGCCGCACGTCTCCATTGCGTTCGGCTCTCTGCCAACGTCTTTACCTGGATCCACGTCTATCCACATTCTTTCATCTCCTCTTCACATCACCTCTTCCATATCACCTTCGCACTGACGATTGACTCGCCACTTCCCATTCGCCTTCCACTCGAGTGATGGCCTGCATTGCGGGTGACGTCACTGATGTTCACCTAAATTTCTCCCTGCATATTTGTTGTACAATTCGTTCCTTCTCGGTTGGTTCTCTCCCAGAGATTTTCACTATTACTAATCTTTTCTGGCCAGCTGATCTTGAGTATTGAGCGAAGACAGCTGTTGATGAAGGTCTGTAATTTATTCGAAGTGCCCTTCTTGGCGCGACGCCAAGTCTCTGATCCATAAAGTAGCACTAACTTCATATTGGAGTTGAAAATCTGGATCTTATGTTTCATGCTGAGTGCTGTTGACCTCCACAAAAAATTGGGAGTGGTGAAAACTTGCCAAAAGTATTTTTACTAAGTGGCAAATACTTCGTAATAATTCACATGAAAAATAACCATGGTAAATTAACGGAAGCATGTTACCCATGTATAGGTGGTGACAACACATCCTGAAATTTTTCTCTTAGGTAAGGGAAAAGATATTATCAATACCATTTTAACGCTTGTTCACACCACATGTTAAGTGCCTTATTGTTCATGATTATGCCTGCCAGCACCTGAATTTTCTAAGGTTTCAATAGCTGACCATATTTATTGTATTCGTCTTTTTTTCAAGGGAGCCCCGGTATTCGTGGTCCAACAGGAAGTCCAGGTTTACCTGGAAGCATCGGGGTACGTGGTCTACCTGGCACAACAATTGATAGTGCTCCACCAGGATCAAGCGGATCACCTGGACCTCCGGGTTCATTTGGTATGAAAGGTCTGCCGGGAGATGTTGGAGACCCTGGGGAAAAAGGCTTTCCTGGAACAGGAGAACGAGGGCCTGAAGGACCTCGTGGTCCGCCTGGAGATCCTGGTTTGGTTGGTAGACCCGGGAGACCTGGTCGTCCCGGCTTTAGAGGACCAAAAGGTGAGTGAGAAGTGGGAGTAAATACTGTATGATTCAGTGGTATTTGATTAGAAACTAATTGCACCAGTGCATTTATCATGTCCACTGTCGGTAAGAATTTCATTTATATTCATAATCTGAAGTGATTGACTCAGTAATTTCTCCTTATATTTGTTGTTAAAAGTCAGTGTTCATCTTCTATTAAGCTGTTAACCAGCTGCTCCTGACAAGGTCTCTGAACTGTTAATCTTACCATTACTAAACATAACTCGTAACACATAAATGAAGTATTTCTATTATTATTTTCTCCTTTCACGTTTCAAGTGGAGCATAGAGCTTCAAGGGAGAGCCTTAAAGTTTTGGTAGCAGTAGTTTTATTTTTATTGAGTGCGATGTCTATCCTCACGCCCAACCTTCCCTCATTACCGGCCTTACTACTGGCTTAGTGAGGTCTAGGAATGAGTCAGTGACCGAGGATCGAACCGCGGACCACGTGAAGGGTGGTTGGCGAGCGATCTACTATTGAAACACCAACGCACCTATACAGGAGATGTTTTCACTTAATCATTCAAACATAAATTTACTACACATTTGTTTCCATTTTTATGACATTTCCTATAAATGCAGAATTGAAGCTATCTAATCCTCCTGCATTTTGAATGGAAACTAGGTATTCAGTAGCTAGTGCCGTGCATCTTGTCATTTGTGTGGTGCAGACTGAGTTCTATCTGTCACGTTTAAAATGTGGTCGCCATGCTATGTTCTGTGTTTGAAGATGAAGTTGCCTTAGGCAAGAACTTGGAAGTTTTATGTTATTGCAATTCTTCACAACAGAGGTTAGCCACATACTGACCTATTCAAATCCAAACAGCACATTCAACACTTTATTCTTCCTATCCAATTGTAATGAATACGAATGAAAGTAGCAAGCGCATTTATAAGATATACCTTACTTTCCTCTTAAATTCTTCTCCTTAATACAACCAGTCTCCTTTATTAGTTTAAACAAAGAAAGAACGAATATATTTACAGTTACACTAGTAACGATTTTCCGAGTTTCCCTCCTATATGAATTCACAATTTGCAGCTGTAAGTCTTACACGAAGTTAATAGACCTTATACAACATAACGAATTGCAATTTCACAGCAGGCTGTCGATTATGACTAGATTTGTCCTCAATGTAGTGATCATGTTTCTGAGATAAATCAATATGCGATTTAATGATACAAGGCACTTCTAGTAAAACTTAATTCTGGAAACTTCTCTCTCTCTATTCTGCAGCTCAAACTCACCATTTGGTTCAGTGACTTTATTGATCTTGTAGAGAGAAGTCATTTCAAGAAATCATTCCCTAATTATTTAAGAATATGGTATTGGGGCGGAAAAAAGCAAACAGTTCATCCCAATTCATTATTTAATACTGAAACCTGAAATGTAAGAGAAATAATAAATGTAGTGTTCAGCAATATGGGCAACTTATGTTTATTGACTGTAAAATACATAAATAAAAATATGACATAACAATGTAGAGCACCATAACTATGTGTAAACTGATGCACTTACATGTAAGTCACAATTTCTGAATGAAATTAATTCTGAGTCTATCGAATAGAACTTGACTAGCTAATACTTTAGATAAAAAACATGTAGGATTTAAACTCCGCCATTGCTTTCCTGTCTGTAGGAATGAGGCGATTTCATACACTATATGCTGTGGTTGTTTCTTCAGTTAACTGCCAAAATTTTCACGACGACTATTTATACAGGTATCAGTGCGGCAGTTTGTCCATTCTGTGAAGATGGTCAAATGGGGCGACCAGGGGACCCAGGTGAAATGGGTGAAAGTGGTCTACCTGGTCGACCGGGTGCAGATGGTCCAGACGGAGATCTTGGAGATACTGGGGATCCAGGACGTCCAGGTCTACCTGGTCCCGTTGGCAGAAAGGTGAGTTGGCCTCATTTTAAAGCATAATATGATTATGTAAATTGGAGAAGAAACTTGATGAAACCAAAGTGTGAGAAAATAAATAAGATGGAGAGCAGCATTTTATTGATGTCGTAAGGGTGGAAGCCATCTTGATTCCTACTAGCTGAGTGGGACTAGGAGATTATTTTCAGTTTTACCGAAGATTTCGAAACCTGTCTCAGCAAGTCATACTGAAATTTTGGGACTCCCAGTACGGAAAGTAAACTCCATGTTTGACAAAATGCTCATCAAAATGACTTCTAAACCGACCACTTCTTTCTATCAACTGGTGCATAAATTTTTGTCATGAATGCAGGTGCTAATTTGCCCAGTTCAGTTTAGTGTAGTTTCTATAACTATTCCTGCAGATATTCATGCATAGAAATAAAATTATCATCAGGAATTCGACATAATAGCTGGTCACTCACTTTTGATGCAAGAAGTTAATACATGCTTTCAATCGTTCCTTTATCCTTTTAGGGTTTGCGAGGATTCCCGGGTTTAACAGGTTCCAAAGGAGATCAAGGCGAACGTGGACTCTTAAGAATTACAAATGAACAGGTATTACCAGGTGATCCAGGTAATAGTGGCTTTCCAGGAGCAAAAGGCGAACCAGGCGACCTTGGTGATCCTGGTTCATTTGGTGGTCGTGGAGAGTTTGGACCGAAAGGCCGCCCGGTAATATAGCGTGATTTGACTCTAAAGTGTTCTTTAAATTTTAATTTTGATAAATTATTTCAAATTTTCACTAACATCCATTGTTACGAATATCTTCAAATAGGTGCAAAATATGTTTATGCGTAAAACTTGGGCACTGTTGTAGCATGTCATTCCATATCACCGAAACAGTATTATCTACTGGACAACGTTTCGAACACTATTTACTATTCACAGTCATGCCAATTATAACTATAAAACTTCGAGTTTTGTAGTTTTCTTTACTCCTTCCTGTTCACCGTAGGGGTAGTAGAATTCCCCAGATGTCCGGCAGGACAGGTGTCAAATCATTCCTATTACAAGTATTTTCACCTGATTTGATAAATAAAGCTTCCATTATCAATCTCTCCCTCCACTCTGTTATGTTAGATTTTAAAACTGTCATCTTATCCTGTCCTACTGTATGGTTGTATATAACTGCGTGTAGTGGTATAGATGAACTGTTCTCCAGATTTCTTATTTTATTAGGCTCAACCAATCTAGATTTCGCTACATTTTTGTGCATCACCGGTCTGACTAACGCTGTTCTCCTACTTTGACCCATGTATTTGACTTGAAAATCATTGAAGGGTATGAAGTGGGCTTTAATGGGCTCCACAGGATCCTTCAGTCGACAAAGCTTGTATCTAAGTGAGTTTGTGAGTTTGAATGCTATTTTTATTCCCTGCCTTGTTAAGAATTCTACGTAAGGTTTCCAAGGTTCCTTTCCCGTAGAGAAGTACTACTGACGATTTCAATTCCTGTAAACACTAGTGTTTAACTTCTCATCGTTCATAAGTGAATTGAACTGCCCCTGTCTTTGAGCTGGTGTGTTCAGAAAATCTATTTACATCCTGTGTTTTGAGTAGTGTAAATGTGTCATCTACATACCTCTACCATACTGTGGCAGGTAAGTGGGGCTGAACGTTTCGGCCACTAAGTTCTCCCATCTATCCATGAATATAACTTACACTCTCAGGGATATTGGCAACCTTATGGCAACTCTCTCAGTTTGTTTGATTATTATCTCTTGGAATTTAATTGCTGTGGATACACTAAATGTGGCCTAATTAGTAGTGGGTCTGCAGTATTTGTATTGTGATGTATCTCCATCATGTAGAGAAGTTTACCAACGTTTGCCCGATCAATTATTCATTCACGCAAATGTCATTGAAATTTCCCTTTCAAAGATGACAACAATTTAAAACAATGGGTTATAACACATCGGTTTTTTAAAATTTATGCCTATTTCAATAACCTACTTCAGATGTAATAATGAAAAACAGTTGAATGGTAATAAGCTACAATTTATTCGAGTGCTAGAATAGTCTTTATAGTTGTCTTCATTTTACGAGTGATAGTCATTAGCTGTAACCTAATTAAGAAAATAAATAAATTTTCGCAAAGGATATTTATACCCAACGCTGCAGAAATGAAGCACAACATCTGTCATCAAGACATCTGAAAACCAAATCCTATAAATCTTGCGGTTTAACAGCATGCTACTGGTGCAATGGAGGTAATTATTAATAGAAAATGAGTGGCGTCTCATTCAAAATAAACAGCACTAAATGGATGTAGCTGTATTCTACGTGTTCTTCTCGATCGTCAACTCTTTTTCAGTGATTATGACTCATTACTGGTTGTTATAACTGCCATTTTTTCATATTGGATGAGTATGGTCCATGACACGATAACCCTTGACTTTTCAAGTCGTGTAAAATACCTATCAGGAGATTAGAGGGTAAAGAACAAGAGGCTCAGAAAACAGACATCTTCTCGGAGACTTCATTCTCAAAAGTAGCTGCACAACCGCACCTTTATACATAAGTTCGCATACTCACAATCATTATGTAATTCAGCTTGGTAACTCAGACAATTAAAGCTGATAATATATTTCACCTTGAAATCTGAAGGTGTGAATATAAACTACAAGGGGCTGAGAAACAAAATTACACAGTATTAGGAAATAGTTGCATAGTATGTAAAGTAGTTTGTAACTTTATGAAGGCGATAAGCATGGAAACAAAGTAAAGCAATAGTTCCTCTCACTGAAGACGAAAACATGAAGGGAGTGAAAAAACAAATAAGTGAAAACTAAGAAGCCAAACAGAATGAGATACATAGTAAGTGTAGGCATCAGACTAGTCTCTTCTGAAAACATAACTGCACCTTTTCGATGCATAAGACGAGGGCTTCTGTAGCACAAAGAAGTCAGAAACACACTATTTTTGGTAAATTTTTGTTCACTTTGTAAATGACACTGAATTCATGAGTCAGTTGAGGTTTTGTTACAGGTGTTGACGAAGTTTTCAATTATGGCATTTCTGATTGAACCAGTGCAGCCTCTTCGAGGCTATGCTTGGAAATGTTCTCTAACATGTTTCTAAAGGACACGCATAGAATGACCTACATACCTAACTCCACAGGAACAGATGAATCGGTATATGCCCACTGGATTGGTCATACGCATCGGTTTGCTCTTCAAATTGCTTATAAGTTGTGTGTGGTTAGATAATATCACTCTTAATGTTGCTATTGGATGGGTATTCTTTAGGGAACTAGAGATGTGCCAGTTTAGAATATCTGCTGATAAGTCTTCCCCTCAAGTACAGACTCATATGCAGCATTTACTGTGCTACTGAAGTGCATTCTTCTATTTTTGGCTTTGGTTTTATGTTCTTCTTCTCCACGAAACTTGCTAAATATCTATTTTAATCCGGAATATTCTTCAGGAATAAAAGCACTGCGAAGCAGTGAATGCTTCCGTTTTCTCTGATGCGATGGGTCAGTGAAATGATGCGATTGTACAGCTTTTTAAGATAAAATCGCAGAACATATATCTTTGCTGAATTAATGATTTACCTGTTAGTAGAAAAATCACCACTTAGTAGAATGATGATGCATCCATCAGACAATTTTCAAATAGGAAAGGCTGCATTCCCTGGTTTCCAGAGCTCATTATCACTGAACAAATAAATTCAAAGTGGATCATATGATATCCCTGGTATATCTTTAAAAAATTCGATATATCAAGACAGAACAATCAATTTATAACACAGTAACTAATATTCAATTCAATTTTAGATTTTCCTGTCGATTGATTGGATCGAAGTGCTCGGTCCCAGGTTGACATGTCGGCTTCTTGTGCAGAAGCTTCGATGATGTCTGGGCATGTAATTAGAAGTTATCTGGTGGGAATGTCAACCTGAGACCGTGCACTTCAGTCCAATCAGTCGACGGGAAAATCTAAAATTGAATTGAATAATTAATATGTCCTGTTGCACAAGAGGTGGCTCTTGTAGTCTAGTGGATAACGCTTTGGCGTCTGATACTACGGGCGCTGCCGCGGTGGGAACATCACTCACTGCTAGTCACCATCCACCAAATGAAGTAACTAATAATTAAAACATTACAAAAATGTTGACGTACTGGAATCTTCTAGTTCAATTATATGCAGTGATATTTCTTCTCATACTACTCTGTTTTTATTATAAATGATTCAGGGTCTTCAAGGCATGCCAGGAATACCAGGTCCTGAAGGTGATCCTGGTGACATAGGACCACCAGGTGACCCTGGAATGGATGGCAGATCATTTGCTGGTGAAAAAGGCGATCCTGGAGAACCTGGATATCCTGGAATTCGTGGCTCAAAAGGTGTACAAGGAGCTAAAGGTTATTGTGATGTAATTCGTCCTCAGCTAACCAAAGGTAAATATATATAACGATCTAGGAATTTTGACGCCATTCTGTTATACTTACGGCTTTTGAACTGTTTAAAATTAATGTTTAGAATTCCTTTTTTTAGGTCTAAAGTTAATTTACAGTACACCTTTTATTATTTATCCAGTTTTCCTCGCATAACCTACTAAACGGTCTACTGATCAAAATACCTTACTTACTAGAGGAATCTATTGCTTATGTAGGATAAAATAAGAAAACGTGTCTTCAGCAAGTGAACTGTGCATATACTACTTAATAACATAATTAGGAGAATTATATTTATCATATTTGTCTATATAAACTTCACCAGAACTGTTCAGAGAAAGAAATTCTAAAAGTGGTGGTCAAAATTATGTATCGAAGAGCTCAGATCCGAAGTTTAATAAATATTTCATCTGTAATGATTTTTTCTAAATGCCCGCACACGCTTTTCTTTTACCTCTTTCTTTTCCATAGGTGCTGTTGGTGATCGTGGATTCCGAGGAGATCCTGGCCCACCTGGTGAACAAGGTTTCCAAGGAAGAATGGGGTTGAAAGGTAAGAATTATGTGATTAGCAGACGCACGTTTGTAGGCTAACTGTCTTTGATTATAGGTATCTGCGTTCTAGCTACCATGTTAGGTGGTATAATAGGGCGAGCAATATTGAGTTTAAGTTTCGATGGCGCCAGCCTAGCCATCGCCTTCCTCGACGGGAAATGTAAGCTGGTATAGGATCAGCTTGGAAGAGAGCTAGTTGTGGACTGACCAAAACTTTGAATCAGTTCATGAAATCCTTGAGAGTTAGTTTAAGCCAACTACTCAAGGTGGTGTAGGCTTCTTAGTTGTGATTCTCGAGATTCTAAGAACCAGTGATTGCGGACAATCGCTGATATAGCCCAAAGTCGTTCTCAGCGGCTCACATGCACTCACTTTCTGTGATCTGCTATCTTCATTATTGTTTTTATATGTTATTATTCCTTTCCTCTCAAACTTCTTCTTACTACCGTTCTTTTTAACCGCTTTCTTCCTGTTTCGTCTTTCTTTGTGTGGTACATAAGGTGTGGCAACTTGAACTGGTCCATTTTTGTGCAAAGTTCTATGTTGAAATAAGTCAGTTAGTCAGTCATTAAATGGCTACCTATTGTTATTCACCCAATTTGTTCGTCATGGAATATATGGCTTCTACAGCATATCTCTGATTCGCTGTGTTCACTCCGGCAGTCATTTTCTGATTGGTTCCACAACTGCTCATAACCTCTCATCTCTTCGTTACACAATTTCTTATATGTCACTCCCACAACCTCGCCCACCTTGTCGTTATACATGAAATAATAAGTATGCGTGCAGTTTGAGATTGACGGATGTTTGGCAACCTCGATTTTCGCCTCTTTAACCATTTTCTATAAGAAATTTTAGTGACTGTTTGTGTGAACTCATTTTCTTTTGAAAACTTAATATAAGAAAAAATGAACGACTGTAATCAACCATTCAAGTGAGTCAGTGGTACAGCCGTAGAATGCTCGCCAACCACTCCTCATGTGGTTTGGGGTTCGATTCCCGGCCGACACACTCCTTTACCTCAGTAAGCCAGTAATAAGACTGGTAAAAAAGGAAGGTTGAGCATGAGGCTAGCAACATCATCCCGTACAAATAAACACCAGTGCTATCGAAACTTCAAGCCTCTAGCTTGAAGCCCTATGTTCCAGTGGGAGAGTAAAGGAACTATATATATACTCAACCGACTTGAAATGGTGACGCAAAATCAAACTATGCTGCACCTTCTCATAAATGTGCAGTTCAACATATACATTATTGAATTTCAGACAATTTGATGGTTAATGATTGCGTTTATATCGTTGGACAGAAGATTAATGCAAACCTTTTTGATCATTTTTGAGTCAAAATCATCCGTACTATATATTTTGAATATGTTTCACTGCTTTTTTATTAAATAATATGGTAGATTATTATTTGTTTGTTAATCCAATTTGGGTTTCCCCACTGATTGATTGGAACAAAGTATTCGGCCTCTATTTTCACGTCGACTCCCAGTACGGATGCTTAGACAACGTCTGGGGATTGACTAGAAGTAATTTCGGTGGAAATGCGTTAGTCGTTCAGTAGTGGAATGTCCACTAACTACTTTCGCGGCCTGAGTTTCAAACCTCGGTAGTATAGAGGGAAGATTGGGTGTGAGGCTAGCAACCCCACCTCTTAAAAATGATACCAGTGCTACTGAAACTTCAGGGGTGATGGTTGAAGCCCTCTGTTCCATTGGGAATAAAAAGAGATCAGATAAAACAATTTCAGTAGACGGCGACTAGCAGTTGAATCCAGGATGTGGATTTCGTCCCATTTGGGACTCGTCCTTTGCATATATCTACATTCCCGGTGAATGATAGTGTTCTGGCTGAGATTCGAACCCATCAACTATAGTGCCAAATGCCAAAGCATTATCCACTAGAGCACTTGAACTACGAGATCCACCTGTCGTGCAACCAGCTTCAGATAATATTTGTTTTTGATTCTATTTGGACTTACCCGTTGATTCATTGAACCGAAATGTTCAACCTCTGAAGTAATTGGATGGATGGCCACCAGCATTTCAGTCTAAATGATCCTTGAGAAAATCAAAACTGGATGAAGAACAAGTAATGTCTGGTACTCGTTGCACAAAAGATGACCCTCATGGCCCAAGTGGTCCAGTGGAAAATGATTTGGTGTTTGACACTATGGGTACTGCTCTGAGGTCTCATTTTTGGGGGGGGGAACACCACCACTCACTGGAGAGCTCAGCTACATCCAGATGATGAATCCGAGATAGGACGAAATACACATGCTGGATTCTTCGTCTTGTCACCGTCTACCAAACTTGATCGTTTGTTCAGAATTTTTAGCACTGGGTTGTAAAGAAAATTTCCGCTTAACAAAGCTCTTAATCTGTAACACTAGTGAGCGTTGTACAGTTATACATTCGATCAAGATGTTTTACGGTAATACCTGAAAATACAGATTGTAACAGTAAGGAGACAAAGCGAAATATTAACGATAATACTGACAACGGAGAATAATAAACAGGTTAGAGCAGGCGGTATACGTATAAGATAAGGATCATTGCCAGGGAACAGATGGATACACACTAGCTACTGCAAGACGCTTTGAAACCATTTCTGACTCACTGATACTTAAAATGTACGACTAAAGTAAAGTGCAATTTTCATCCAACATAGTTGGATTATGTATATATAAGTTACAGTAAAACAAAGTTGCGTCGTTTTGGCTCCAGCTGACTCGATGAATGAATAGAGCAGAGGCGGTTAGTTATCATTTGAATATCTTGAGGTCTTATGTGATTTCGCATTGCCTGCTTAGAGGATTACTGTTATCATATGTGATGTAACGTTCGGGATCTGAAACCGGACTTCTTCATTCGAAAGCACTACATACATTCACTCGCCACCCTACCGTGTCCAGAGTAAAGTTCTTACTATAATTTTGCTTCTTTTTATTATGTGGGTTTACTATTATTATTTTATTATCATTATTATTCTTATTATCTATATTTTATTATCACTCTATTACTGTTTATTAATAACATTGCGTTTTCATACAGATTTTATATAAAAACACTTTATCGCCTTTTCACTGGTTCCTGTCCATTCTAAGCAATCTTACTGATTAGTCATTATCTCACAGTTATTATGTCATGCCAACTTCTGCCTCTTTTCTAACTCCCAGTTAGTCACCCCATCCAGGTTACACCTTACATTACGTTATACGTTTTTCGAGGATAAATTTTACCAGTATTTGATTGGTTTTATGATTCTTTTGTTAGATATAATTACCATTATATAGCTTATGAAAATGAATCGTCGAAAAGAATATTTTCTTCTCAGTTCATGTCTTTTTTAGGTTTTAAAGGTGTCTTATCGATTGCTTAAGCAGCTGAAATATCTATTGTGGTGTTCGTTATACTATACACGGAAACAGTCTTCAATAACCTTTATCCTCGCCCACTAAGATGAGCTATATTAATCTAAACGTTCACCCACTTGGATATGTGTGACGACGTAACACAGTCGCATTTCGGCGAAACGTTTCTGTAGTGCTATGCTGCTACTTCAACTTATAATGACCTTTTTCAAATTCGTATAGCATATGAACGGAATAAAACTGTCTTCTTTTTATTCATGACGTTCCATTACAAAACTAAGAAAACACAACACAAATTTTTGGCATAATGTGCCTTTCATTTTACTTACTCAAAACTTTTATTTTTTCAACCCAGGTTCAACTGGTCTACCTGGAGCTCGAGGTATTACTGGTGAAGATGGTTATCCGGGTGTGTTTGGTGCTAAAGGTGATCGAGGATATCCTGGACCACCTGGCAGACCTGGTCTTCCCGGTTCAGTCGGATTTCCTGGAGGTGGTGGTCCTATTGGTGAACGTGGAAATCAAGGCCCTTCAGGTCCTAAAGGTTTCAAAGGTAAACAGTGCAAATTTGTGGTACCTCATTAAAATGAAAAAAATCTTTTCATTCTTGACAAATATAAGTGTGACATTCCTAAATGAAAGTAGACCACTGGGTTTCTTCATAAAAGAAGGCAGTAGAATGCGCAGGTGGCATAGTGGTCAGGACTCTCGCCGACCATGCACATGGTCCGGGGTTCAATCCCCTGCCGACGCACACCTAATATCATTGGTTGGCCTGTAAATTTGGGCTGCCGATATCGCATGCTGAAAATTCCATACCTGTACCGATAAAACGGTAGGGAATCAAGCTATAATCAAAGAAATTTTCTAACAGTCCAAAAAGCGGTCTCTGATACTGTTAATTTCTCTTCTTTCTGAAATTCAATTAGAACTATCTGACAGACTGCACTTTAGTGATTCACTTCCTACAATTTGAGTAGCTAACAAGCCAGACATATACATTCAGTTTTATTAGCTAACGGTTATTTCATTATGGGCAGATTTTATTTTGATAGAGTCTCACAGTGTTATACAGTAATATTTACTGATGACGTTTCGAGCACAATTTATTGCTCATAATCATATCAAGGTCCTTGATGGAATTATACTCTACCACAGTGCCCAAGTTTTATTCTCATATCAATAGCTAATGGTTATCCGGAAAACTTTATTACTTGTCACAGTGAAGAAAGACCACATCTCGAAAAGACAGCTTCTGTACCAAAGAAAGCTATCTTTATTAATTAACCTACCATTCAAGAGTGACCAGATTATGCAGTTGACAGCTCAAAGACTTCAGTCAGCCATCAAACGCACATTCTACGCCGCATCTCTTTTTCTCCCTTGCCGAACATTTTCGATCCCTGTACCTACGATTAAAGGACGAAATTCGGTGGACTCTACTTCAAACTGTATCTACAAGTTCACCTGCAGCTGCGGTGACACCTATATAGGTAGAACCAATAGAATGTTCCAATGTCGTCGAAAAGAACATGTTCCAAAATGGCTACTAAATCATATAGAAAATCCGAATGCGAGTAATCTGAATAGAAATCCATCATCATCCATTGCAAAACACTTATTAATGTCAGGTCACAAAATCAATATCAATGACTGTTTCACAATTATTTCACATAACTCTAATTCAAGGTTATTGAAGGTGATGATGGAAGCACTCTGGATTAATCACATACAGCCTAAACTGTGTGTACGAAAAACAATAGACTTCAATCTTCGCCTACCATGGACTGCATGACCTATCTAAATATAATTGGTCATTAGTATGTACTTTTGTTTTTATTTAACCGAGTAACTGTCATGAACTTTATTTTATTATTGTTAACCATGTTAGTTGTAAAGCAGTTGTAAAGAAACTACGAAATGACCATAGCATCTCTCGAAATTTGTCTTCTAAATGGCTTATTCACATTTATCAAAGGGACTAATTGTTTTAAACTTCTAATAGTGGTTTGTAGTCATTTTATTTTCATTAATGCTTGATCACGATATGACTGTCGTATAAATTTCTGATGTCTTCAACATTATTCTTCTGCTTTTTGAGTTTACAAAGCAGATTTATTGTAGCTAAAACGACTGGTATGTTACTTTCCAAAACATTATTTCTTTACACGAAGTTGACAAATTATACTGGAATGACTGACCCTTATTCTACTTGTTTATAACTTCTTAGGTGTAACTGGTGAACAAGGTGATTTTGGCAGAACATCATATGTGACCAAAGGTGAAAAAGGTACACCAGGTATTCCTGGTTCTATTGGTTTACCTGGAGATCCTGGATATCCAGGAATGAAAGGTTTTCCTGGTCGACCAGGTGAGTTAAATTTTTTTCATACTTGCATAAGTGTATCTGAATAAAAGTATATAAATCAAGTCAACTGGAGTCGAATGCACGATTACGTAATCCACCACAGCGTTATATTGCAAAATGATAAGTAAATTCCCAAGGGGAAACTACTTTTATGGTACTTGTATATGGGAAACAGATTGCGTAGCTACCTAAATCTACTGAGCTTTGTTATTAGAAAGAAATTTCATTCACTTACTTGGTTTTAGAATAAGACTGATGTGCTATTCATCTACTTATGTACATATATAAACATATATAGAGAGAGTTCAAGAAAGGAACAACTAAATTAATGAGTATCGCCGCATTTTACAGGGAATTCATCATTAAAGCGGAGTCACTTAGCTGCCCTGAAGAAATGAACGTTTATTCAACTGTCGAAACTCTCATTATTAAGTGCTGAAGCCACATACTCAGTAATACACTTTCTAATGTGAGTGACTTGTGTTGCTTTTGACAAAAAACCCTCTGTTGAATCTAAACATATTTTAGGTAGACAATTAGTTTTATTACCTTTCTTTTATCATATTTTATTTTAAAAGGTTTCAGAGGTGCTGATGGATCATACGGTCCAAAAGGTTATCCTGGTCCAAAAGGTTTCAGAGGTCCTAAAGGTTTACCTAGTGTTAGTGCAGAAGTTGGCAGAATGGGTGTTAAAGGACAACCGGGTATACCAGGTAAGGAAGAGTTTTATTACAAATTATTTAAATTAATCCCAGTGTGTTTAAGGAAAAAAATCAAAACAAGATCTGTTTTCTGAACGTTTCGCTGTGTAAGCAACAGCTTCTTCAGCGGAATTATTCAGACTTTATTAATCATCCAAATATGTAGTCAAAATTTTTTGAATCAATTGAGGTCACTTGTCCATAGACATTTGTACTAATAGAAATGTATAATTAGTCATCATATATTTGCAATGACTAATGCCAAATTGTTATTGTGTATATATTTCTTCTGTTTGTGTGTGTGTGTGTTATTTATCATATGGAAGACACGTCAATTCATATATGATAAACATGATAATACATTTTATAAAGGTCATAGAGGTTCATAGGGGTCTTCGTTGTTTTGTCATCTGTCTTGCTTCATTAGAATTTGCTATATAGGTGATAAGTCTACCCTTCGTTCCTATTCACTGCATTCTATGTGGATAAAATGTGCAAGGCTTCAGAGGTCAACCTTTCTTTATGTGAATGAAATCCTCTTCCGAGAATTTCATGCATCGCTATAGCCGATCTTTTCTCTAGACTTTTTAATTCTACTTCATCTCTAGGTGGACGTTTCGTGCATAGTCTATGTTCATTCACTCTGACCTCCACCTGTCTAATGCTCTCCTCTCCATAGCAAGCTTCACATTCTGAACACTTATCCTATAGACACAACTACTTTGTGTCATTTCGGGAACTATATCTTTGACATTCATCAAAGCTTTCTCTAGAGAATTAGAGGACTTGAAATAGACTTTAATATTATATGAAGCAAATAGTCTTTGAAGTTGTTCAGCTGTATCCTATCGATATGAAATGGCTATCGTCGATAGCCAAGATTTTCCAAATATCTGTTTTCCCTTATACCCCGTTTTATTGATAATATTATCTAGTAGCTTTGCCGGATAACCATTCCCAATCAAAATCTCTTTTATATTGGATATCTCGTTCTCCATATCATCACTATCCGTTATAAAGTTTCTAGCTCTGTTAACGGGATTTAAAGCTACTGAAACTTTCATTCCTATTGGATGGTCTGATTGGAAATTCAAACACTTGTAGGGATGTTTTTTGTATATTGTAAACTTTGAATTCTCGTCAGTTCTTGTCTTTTTACAAGACAATCAAGAAAGTTTAGAGTTCCCTTAGACGATTCTACTTCATCAGTAAACTCTATATATTCTGAGATTAAGTTAATCTCTGTTAGAAAGTCTTCTTTCTGGGATTTCTTTATGATGATAAATGTGTCATCTACATTTTCTTTCCTTCACTTTCCCTAGTGGAACATAGGGCTTCAAGCTAGTGGCTTGAAGTTTCTGTAGCAGTGATTATTTTACAGGATGGGGTTGCTAGCCTCATGACCAACCTTTTCTCTTCACCAGCATTATTTCTGGCTTAGCGAGGTAAAGGATCAAACCCCGGACCATGTCATTGGTCGGCGAGCGTCCTAACCGCTTTGCTACCGACTCGTCATCTACATATCTGTACCATATTCTAGGATGAAAACTAGAACTTGTTAGTGCCTTTCTTTCTAAAGCTTTCATATACAGGTTTGCTACAGTTGGAGATGCTGGTGAACCCATTGCAACTGCATTTGCCTGACAGTATAGTTTGTCTTTAAAGGTAAAATATGTAGATTCTAAACAAAGTTTTAGGCATTTTATAACTTCTATTTTTACTAACATGAAAATATTTTGTCTTCGGGGTAAGAAAATATAATTTCTTAATTGGATTCTTCTTTATTTCAAAACTCGCTTAATGTTACGTCTGAACACAGGAAATCTATCTCGGTGTACTTGAAAGATTCACTGTCATACATTGGTTCAAGGACAGGAAAAAGACAATCATTCGTGGCTAGACCTATGTAGTTCAGTACAATAAATAATAACACCACAAGCTCAAAATTACCTCATCCCTGTCGTTAGGCAGCTATACATTACAGTCTAATTACAAAACGAGTACTGTAGAACAAAATAAGTTAACCAAAATGCAACCGTAAGAAGTACCTTAAAATCAAGTAGAATAATTGTAAGCGCAATATCGCTTGAAATTAAGTCACGCGTGGATAAAGGCTATCCCGGTCCAGAACAAACAAGAAGCCGGTCACTGTTTCTACGGTACTATTAATTAACAAATCAATAAATATATATACAACAAACCTTAACGGTTTCAAGAGTACAATACACAATGCTTAACAGAAAGCAAGGTACCGCTATCAGAGCGAAATAACGTTAAAGTCAAAATTGCGAACTAGCCGGATCAGACACGACCGTCCAGGTAAGCAGTCAGTAGAAGAATGAACCCAAGTAAGAGATAGACAGAGCATAGGCACAAAGATAGAATTTAATTGGCTACTTAACCAATCAATAAATAAGATAAACTCAACAGAATAATACAAAGTAATGTATTAGCGCTATACATTTCGAACAATCTGATCACACATTTACTTGTCAAGTCAATATATATGGAAATATATATGGTAGAAGTTAGAATTCATGAGCCATTGAATCGGGTCTCAGTGGCTGAATGGCATACGAGCTTGCCTTGTAACCGGAAGGTCCCGGGTTCGAATCCCAGTGGGTGCGTACTGCCGATGATTCCCAAACTAGGATGAAACAGCAGCTGTCCAGTACTCCCTGATTTTCAATGGTTCTCTAACTGATATCAGTCCGTGATCAACTCGTAAAACATAACTAATCCTTACAAACCAAACTATAGAAAATTGTTCGAAATGTATAGCGCTAATACATCACATTTTTCAGATAATCTCCGTCTTCTAATAATGCTATCAAAATTTATAAAAGGGACTAACTGTTTTAAATACAAAGTAAGACATGGGTCAGCAAAATAACAGTTCACAAAAATACTCTGATTGGGTCATGAGTTCGACTGTCTGATTAAACGGATCGAAGTAAAAACACACACAGTTCATTAAACAAGGTGGGATAGACACGTTAGGCATGGATAATTGTGTTGCAACAATGCTAGGCTGATCCGGGACAGGTTGACTTGATTCAAGGATGGGAACTGAACTGATCTTACAATAATTCTCAACCGTTATCAAACACAAAAAGAAGCATTCAGATCAGAGAGTAAACAGGGAAAAAGACAAACAATAAGGATCAAGACAACATATGATGTGCGAATGTTAGGATAATGATAGGCACTCTAAGAGAAGAGTGGATAATAATAACAAAGTTGGTTGCAGGATTTCATCGTGAGCTGACATCGGTTAGAGAACCATTGGAAAACCTGGGAGTACTGGACAGCTGTTTCGTCAGCCTAGTCTGGGACTCTTCAACAGTATGCGCCCAGCAACAGGGTTCGAACCCAGGACCTTCTGGTTACAAAGCAAGCTCATAGGCCATTAGGCCACTGGGACCGGATCCAATGTCAGCTCACGATGAAATCCAGTAACCAATCTATCCAATCCCTAAAAACCAATACTTGAATTACAAAGTTAGTTGAATTATCCAGATAAATGTAAATATTGTAATTAGGTTGTTCGTGAAGGATTTTGCAAAGTTATTAGGTTGCACCTAATAGCCATCCTGTCCTGTTGATATTCTAAAAAAACTTTGAAACGCCTAGTAGCTAATTAACCTTTACATTGAAAATAAATAGCGGCACGTTGGAAAAGTCAACACTTTTAAGTAAGTGTATTTTATTACGAATATCTGTATATGTCTTGTTCAATAATGATTTAAATTCGGTGTTTAGGATCACTGGGCTACCTGAATATTCATCCAACAATACAATGCATTACATTTTTTCTCTAATTCTTATATTGTCTTAGTCATCCAATTATATGCCCTTAAGTCGCTTTGTGTACTCACGCACATTTTTAATTGGCTTTAAAACTGCTTGTGTGAGATATCTCATAAGGGTTTGGTCTATGCTTCAGATAGAACAGCACTGAGTCATATGGTTTGCTACAGATGGCTATATTCTTTCAGCATCTTCAATGAGGATTCTGTACACTGTGTAAATATTATGTTCACAATAAAGCTATTATTATTATTATTTCACGAGGTGTGAACTAACAGTATAGTTCAGTTACTGGTAACACAGACACTAGTCAAGGGACATAAATTCTCATACTGGACACTAGTCAGTAAGTAGTGTAGTGTATGTAGTCCTTTGTTTGATGCAGAATGAATTCTATCAGCCATGTTAGCAATATAGTAAATAGCTCAGTGGTCACGTCTCTGACTGCAGCACTGGGTGACACTGGCTCGGATCTCAGAAGGGACATGAGTTCCTTCAAGGTTTGCAAATACGCCTTGCTGACTGGGGAGTGGCAGTTAGCACGAAACCTAGTTCCGAGGTTTCCCAACGATGTTGGTTCATAAAGAAATATAACTTGAAATAAATCGAACCTCAACAAACTAACACTTGAAAATAAATCCACTACTTACTATTGATTGACGGACGAAATAACTTCCTGAAGTCTTAGTAAGAAGTCGTGACCAATGACGTCAAGCAAGTGGGATGTGAGGACAGATACTCATTTATGGTGGCGCTATTTGTCAAAAATTCACAGACGTTAAAGATATACAGATCATTGCTTTTCATCGCAGTGACTGGATTATCAATGCTCTAGCCTTGAAAATTCCAGGTCCTGGATTTGATCCCCACTAGGATCATAGGTGGCAAAAGTTCGAATTCTACGAGCTCGCCTTATAACTGGAAGGTCCTGAGTTCGAACCTCAGTGGATACGTATGGCTGAGTAGTTCCAAACAAGGCTGATGAAACAGCTCTCCAGTACTCCCTGCAGGTTTTCGAATGGTCCTTTAACCGATGTCATTTCATGATGAAATCCTGAAATTTACAATGAATGTTTTGCGAAAATGAATTACTGTCAGTATATCTTCTAGAGGTAGCCAGAACCATCAATTTATGTTGGGCTCGCTGTGTTTTTATTCTTAAATAAATTAACAAAAGAAGAAATCATTTTGGTTAATCAAACACTAACTACATAAACTTTTCTCCTTTTCACATAAATTGTTAGGTTCTTTTGGTCCGAAAGGAACACGTGGAGCACCTGGCGTTTGTGAAATCAAGGGCTTATTTGGCGACCCTGGTCCCATGGGCCGTCCTGGTCGTCGTGGTGTCCCAGGAATTTCAGGCATTCCTGGTGAACCTGGAGAAATGGGATTTGAAGGACCAGTTGGAAGACCTGGATTGAAAGGTGATCGAGGTCTTGGCGGATTGCCTGGGAGAATTGGCATTCGTGGGCCGAAAGGGAAAGGAGGATGGGCAGGACCAGTTGGACCTAAAGGGAATGCTGGTAGAATTGGTCAGCCTGGTAATCCTGGTTTACGAGGTAGGTGCATTTGAATATTGTATTTTTCTGAATGTGGGTTTTTCAGATTTTTCAAAACAAGTTTTGTAATAAAAACGAATTACTTCCAGATTGTACGATGGACACGAAATGGTTTTTTTCTTTTTCTTCCCAGGAAGACCAGGTGCTGTCGGCAGGGCAGGACCAAGAGGTTCACCTGGAGTATCAGCTAGAGTGGTACCCGGACCTATGGGTGAGCCAGGACCAATGGGGGTGCAAGGTATTCGAGGAGAAAAGGGTATTCGAGGAATTGATGGCAAGCATGGCAAACCAGGTATTCCTGGAATACAGATCAAAGGACTCCCAGGAAGAAGAGGTTTACCTGGACCATTTGGTCAGCCAGGTGATTTAGGCAGGCCAGGATTTCCTGGTCCAGCGGGAGCAAAGGGCGACCGTGGTATCCCTGGAAGAATAGGAATTAAGGTAATTTTCAATTGATTATAGAACTGTTCATGAAAATATATTAAGCTTTTATTTTGCTTCTTACTTTTTGAATATTTGTAATCCTTAGAATATATTTTATGGTATCTGAAAGCATGAACTTGTATGCGTACATATAACTTGCACTTCTGACAGGGTGAAATGGGTCCTTCTGGATTTCCAGGGATTGATGGACTTCCTGGTAGTCCTGGAGTCAAAGGAAGAAGTGGATTTCCAGGCGAAAGAGGTGATGGAGGAGCAAAAGGTGAACAAGGTTTGTCTGGTGATCCTGGTCCAGCTTCTCCTGTGATGGATGGTAGACAAGGAAAAAGAGGTCGCATTGGAGTCCCTGGGTCATTTGGATTACCTGGTCCTACAGGTGATAAAGGATTTTCAGGTACGTCAGCTACCATTTTGTCCAGATAGTCCCTCCTTCTTAAAATCTCATTATTCATGACGTCTTATTTGCATTTATACATACATTAGTAAATTTTTGAAACAGAATACCCAGGATTATTTTCTTTTAACTACTTCCGACGACTTTAGCATGCAACTTTATGCACATAATTCAAACTTAGTGAGTATTTACTGAGTGGAAACAGAATCATAGAACTTGATCACTATGGTACAGTATAAGCTGGCATCCGTCAAGGTGCTGTTTTTCCTCCTTTTTCTGTTTTATTTCTTCTTGCATGACTTTTCTCACTCTGATAAAAGTAACTTTGTTAAGCATGCGGACGATCTGACTGTTTTAATGCCTGTTAACTTCCAGCTAGGTTGTAGTACGATGAATAGCTTTCTATAAGGAGTCACCAAATGGCCATTGTCTAATGGTCTTAAATTAAATCCATCTAAATGTCAGACTGTTCATTTCAGTTCCTGACGTAAAAGAAAGAAAATGAAGCTGTTAATCCCCATGACCGTTGTAAAATTGATGATATTGATGTAGAAATCAAGTCTGACGTTAAGTATCTTGTTATAGATCTTTCTTCGGATATATCCTAGTCTTCCCATGTCATAGGGGTTTCTACGAAAATATCCCATCTAACATTTTACATTGAGAAACTAAGGCACTCGAGCATAACTCAACCCCTCCTCGTCTTACAGTTTTTCAACTCTTGCATTTTACCTGTTTTTCTTTATTGTTCACTCTCATTCTTTTTTGTGGGTCGCTTATAAAAGACTATGTCATACTTCACAGAATTCTGAAGACTGTCAGTAGGGTGACTGGTGTCACACTGGGCCATATCGCTGACATCATCATTGCCACACATTTAATTTCATACCATAAATTTGCTTTCACCATGTCACAGTGGTTAGGACGCTTGCCAACCATGCACATGGTCCGGGGTTCAATTCCCTGCCGACGCACACCCGATATCAATGGTCGGCCTGCAAAATTTGGGCTACCGATATCACATGCTGAAAATTCCATACTTGTACCAAAAATACTGTGTGGAATCAAGCTATAATCAAGAAATAAAAAGCAAGAAGTCATTTCAAAAGATTTTATGCTCTCACATCAAAGTACAAAAAAGTCCACGAAACCATATTTAGTACGTATTATATGCAATAAAAATAGTATCAGGCACAAACTAACTGACCGACCTCCTTTCCACTGGTAGATAAACAATTTTCCTCCATCCTTATGTCATCAAGTTTTGCTGTTATAATTCCCATTATATTCACAGTCCTCTCATTTTATTTTATTTATTTTCTCATAACTGTAAACATCATTTAAGCTCTGTGATAAATTGTCACCTTTCGTTTTCCTGTCATCATGCTACGTCAAGTGGCTATTAGATTCAATATTCTATAACCTGATATAACCACGCGGGTGGTCCGGGGTTCGATCCCCGGCAACGGACGCACTACTTTACCTTGCTAAACCGGCAATAAGACTAGTAGAGAGGGAAGGTTCGACATGAGGCTAGCAACTCTATGCCGTAAAAATAAATATCACTGGTACAGAAACTTCAAACATAGGGCTTCAAAGCTTGAAGCCCTATGTTTCTTTGGGAACGTAAAGGAATAAAAGAAATCCCTGAGTGAGTGTGTAGGTTTCAGTACCACCCTAATTTCTGTTTTATTGAGAATTCTACGCAGAGTTTCAGATGACTCTTTCTTATATGGTGAAACTGTAGATACCTTGATTTCTTTATATTTATGTTATTGTCATAACTTTCTCTACAATTCCTCATTTTTGTGATCTCCTCAATGATTTTATGAGGCATCTATTCAACATAAGTGCTTCTTATGTCTGTTTTACTTCATCATTTAGGTTCATCGATGCACCACTCAGTGCTGTTGCTTAGCTTTCTAGACACTTAACTAAGCCTGCCTTTACAGTCTAAATATCCAGTAGAATGCGTTGGCCTTTTTTTTAAACGCTGGTGAACAGTTTACCTTCTATTCTTTTTTATTTTTCAATCTATTAAAGGTAATTCTCTTTCTTAACTTTGTGATTCAACAGTAAATTTTATTCTCACTACTGATGAGTTTATATGCGGGAAGAAACTATAGAAGTGTTCTCTTGTTAACACTGTGAGTGAAAGGGTCATCCACATATCTCCACCATATCTTCCGAGTAGGAACAAATGTACTAAAGGCCATACTTTCCCCGCTGTTCATAAAGATATCTGCTACAAATGAACATACTGGCGATCCCATTGTTGCCCCTTCTCATTGTCTATATATTTTGGCCTAGAATGTTTTTAAAGACAGTAGACATGAGACATAACTGAATTTCCTGAAATAGTTTTTTCAGTGGGTAGTTTTGTCCTGTGAGTGAGTTCAGGATCAGCAGTTAGAAGTTTCCGAACTGCTTCTAAAGCCATTTTGATCGTTTTATTAATGAAAGGACTGAATGTCACCCGGTTTCTTGTCATTTTATATGAATTAGTTATCCTAGCTAGAGTTTGAACGATTTCTGATGGGATATAATATTAATGCTAAGCATTTAGATAATTTATAAGTAGGGGTATTTCTGAAGTCAGCTATCGGTCTTATAGAGTAATCTGGCTTATTTATTTTTATAGTACCAAATATTCTACGCGAGGCATTATTAGTTTCAGGCATTAAATCAAACCATTCACACTCCTGTAATGACGGCTTTATTATGAGTACTTAATCTACTGTAGACTTGTTAATCTTATTCATTACTGTGTCTACAGGTTTCTTAATCTTCTTAAATGGACCCATTTTAACGTGCTCAATAACTTTCTTGATATAGTCGGATTTGATCCCATGAGTTGAGTTTATCATACTTTGTGTAGTGAGTATGAGTTTGAAAACTGTTTATCAATCACCTTAGTATACACATATTTAAATATCTTTAAACATTATAAATTAATTATCTCTTGCTTTAACTTTTAGGCGCACCAGGCCAACCTGGAGATGATGGACTCCCAGGACCATGGGGTGCTCCCGGAAGTCCAGGTATTAAAGGATTACCTGGAGACCCTGGCCCACCAAGTCGCTTTGGCAGACCAGGTGAACCAGGAGACCGTGGTGATCTCGGTCGTCCTGGTCCCCAAGGTCCAGGTGGCATGAAAGGATTTCTTGGAGAAAAGGGAGATAGAGGTTCAACACCGTTTTGTCCTGCTGGACAGCCTGGAAGAATGGGAAGGCCAGGTGAAGTTGGTTTTCCAGGACCAGATGGAGAAAAAGGAAATCAGGGTAGGTGTACGAGTTTGTAGCATGAATTCATATTTTAATACTGTATTCACTTAAATTGACTTCATCATACTGGTTTTCTTTTTACAAAATTAGGTCTACCTGGACAGCAAGGACCGAAAGGTCAGCGTGGTTTTACGCCACAACCTCTTCCTGGTCCTAAAGGAGATATGGGACCAGCAGGTCTTGATGGAACTCCAGGTGAGTATTAGTTGCATATAACTGTTGTTGATATGGTGTTTTCATAGTCATTTAAGATAATCTTCAGTTCGACTAGTACTTTGTTCAGCATTTGATAACGCCAACCGTTTAATGCCAGTGACTTTGCTGATGTACCCATTCATAGTTTATAATAATAAACAAATGAAGTTATTCCGTTTCCTTTCAGGTGAAATATACTTGAAAAGAAAAGTTTGCCTTACTTATTCAACCTGGTTTCAACACAGAATTTTGCTCGGAAGTGCTTTATTTCGGGTTTCCACGCTCTATACAGCAAATAAAAAAGAAGGCTAAACAGAAAAAATATATTCGAGAGTAAAGTAATAAGCAGAAATGTGAGGGAAAAGAGATAATCATATGAGAACTCAACAAGGTTTATTGGGTATGAAAGATTAAAAGGAATGAATGAATCTCCGTCGAGGAAAGCGATTTAGAGCCATATCATCAGCTGTCCATAGCAATAAGTCCTAAGATCCAGATGACCCCAACTAGGGAGTGTGCACTATCCTGTATGGTTAGCTCAAAGTAACTGTCAAAGATTTCATAGTCTGATTCTAAATTTCGATGTGACCACCACTAACTGTGTCAGTTAACACTAACACTGGAGGTAGGAGACGGCTAGGCATGCGCAAAACATGCCCTAACAATCTCAATCGATGCATCTTCACATTCTCATTTGATCGACTTTCCCTCCCCACCTAGCACTCGATATCCAACCCCAATAGAACTCATCCCATTTTACCACCAAACTCTGAGGAAACAATCCATCAAGTGACATCACTAGACAAGCCGTTGCTCGAGTGGAACCCGAAAGGGAAGCGGCGAGTCGGTCGTCAGTGCAAGGGTGACTTGGAGGAGGTCATGTGAAGAGGAGATAAAAACGTGTGGGCAGACTTGTAGCCAGGTGAAGACTCTAGCAGAGAACAGACCTTAATGGAGATACACGGCTGAAGCCCTATGTTCCTCTAGGAATTAAAGGTTAGAATAATAATAATAATGGGAGATAGAACTCAGACACTGATGACCAATGACAGCTAGCCTTTTCATTTCTTCAGCTTTCGATGGTCATGCCTTACAGTCATAGATATGATTATGAGCAATAAATTGTGCTCGAAACGTCATCAGTAAATATTACTGTATAACACTGTGAGACTCTATCAAAATAAAATTTATCCATAATGGAATTACACTCTACCACAGTGCCCAAGTTTTATTCTTATATCAGTCATAGAGGAAGACAGAGCAAACCGCCGCACAGTACACGCGTCCTTTGACTGATATCCGGTTATCATATCTATGCCCGAAATGGAGTAAGTTAACAAATACTACATGAGCCTTTTGTCTACGTGCTGAGATTTCGTCAGCAATCAGCCTGCAGAGCTGATGCGAATTCCTGATTAAATGAAGTGTGTCAACACGCTCGAAAAATTCACTCCTTATATTTAACCTAGGAGTTTATGTAGACCAGTCGTCTAGTGTCATTTTATATTTGACAGGAGCAGATCGCATACCAAATATTTGAATATTGTTGTTCAAGGTGTTCAGAAGGCTAATCATTTTATCAGCGTCTTCATCTACAAGGACTACATCATCTATAAATTCTAGGTCAACCAGACTATTCCCTGAAAGCAATTCAGTCCTTAAGTCTCTGAAGCTAGTTAGGGTAAATTCCATTAGTGCATGTATGATTAAATGAAACAGAACTGAAAAAAAAACAGGACAGTCAGCATCACTGATACACAACTACTGATAGTCCTCATTTTGAATGAGGACGTCGGTGGCACAGTGGTTAGGACACTCGCCGACCATGCACATGGTCCGGGGTTCGATCCCCGGCCGACGCACACCCGATATCAATAGTCGGCCTGCAAAATTTGGGCTACCGATATCACATGCTGAAAATTTCACACTTGTATCAAAAATACTATGTGGAGTCAAGCTATAATAAAAGAATTTTAAAAAATAAACAACTCTCCATAGGCGCTTATCTGGCTATGTGAGTTCGAGTAGAATGCCTTGATTAGTACAATGCACTTACCCGGCAATCCATGCCCTGCCAAGCATTGTTATAGTACGTCTTAGTCGGCAGAGATGGATCTCACCTTCAGGTCAAGAAATGTGCCAGTTATTGGATGACGGTGAGTATGCATACGTGTCAGAATCTATTAAAGAGATGAATAAATATGTATATGACCAATACACTCTTTTCCGGATCTAAAGACTGCCTGGTTTTCTCGCCTTTGTTCCTCTCGAGTGCCAAATAATCTACGTATAAGCTTGTTGAGCTTAAAACTTTCGATACCATGTTAGTCAAGCTAATCCCTGTAGGATTATCCAAGGAAAATCGATATCTTTTAAATCGATTAAGTCAGAACAAACCGAGTAGTTTACTTATTCATTTACGACATGAATACGGTTAACTCAAGTAGTTTGTTTTAATTGTCATTAGAATTGGTGAGTTTAAACAGCAAATAGTGGAGTGATCCAGTGGACGTTCATATCATAGGCTTTGGTTGCTATTTTTCATTTTTAAAATTATTAAGCTGACTGTTATTGAGTGAACTGTTTTTCTAAAGCCTGTGACATTATTTTTTTATGATTGTGCTCGTTACTGCTAACCATAGCTGATAAGTAAATTCTATTTTTTAAATTCGAATTTCACTACCTGAAGTTTATAATTTTGCTTACTTCAGGTGCCATCGGAGAGCCTGGTTTACCTGGACCAATGAGTATGAAAGGACAACGAGGCTTTCCTGGAGATCCCGGTTTCCGCGGTCAACAAGGCGATCCGGGTGATAGAGGTTTCCCTGGAGCATCTGGTGAGGAGGGAGCAGCTGGAAGGCCTGGTTTTCGAGGAACTCCTGGACGTCCAGGCAAAGATGGTCTTCCTGGTTTAGATGGACTTCGTGGTCTACCTGGTAGTCCTGGTTATCCGGGAATAAAAGGTTCTCAAGGATTTCAGGGTAAATTAATCTTTGTATTTTATCAAAAATCTTCTTAATTGAATAAAGTTCATTCCATAGTCGTATTATTATGCTATCCAAAATTAACATATCCCTAGACAAGTGTTCAAAAAGTGACTACCTCTTTTTTCTAAAACTTTATTAATAATGATAATTATCCGTCTAAAGTATTTCACTTAATTTGTTTTCTATTCTCTTTAGGTCTTCCCGGTTCTCCTGGTCGAACCGGTCCTAAAGGTTATCCAGGCCGGTCAAATGATGCACAGAAAGGTGTACGTGGTGATCCAGGTTCACCTGGAAAGATGGGAGAGCCAGGTCTCCCTGGATTATCAGGTAGATTATACGTTAGGCAAAATTTTAATTATATTACCTCATTTAAATACGTTTTGAAAAGGCCTACTATTTATCGCTAATTACTTCTACTTTCTTCAGAACTTGTTCGAAATATGTACTTCTGTAGCAAATACAAACGAAAATCATACCTGTGAGAAACCAATAAAGGTTATCATCTTGGTAGGATTATAAGTGATGTCTGTTAATTTTTCTTTGGTAAAGCTATAAAATATATAGGGATCAATCTGATTTAATGTAAGACAAGCGTCAGTTTTATCGTTTCGGGGGGTTTTTAAGAAATCTCAAACCGTTATATACTTCAAAGCTGTTCTGCAGAATATTTGGATTTCGCAGACTATTTACTTCGGATGTCACGTAAGTTCAGTGGTCCATAGGTGGAACTCAACAAAGTGTCAGAAGAAGCAGGGAGATAGGACTTCAACTGAACATAGAGAAGACGAAGGTGATGAAGATAATCAACTAACAACAGCAAAAAGTAACAATCGCTATCAGCGGGAGAAATTTGAAAGAAGTTACTTCCTTCAATTCGCTGGCCATTCTGGTTTTAATTATTGGCGACAGTATGGATATGGACATCGAAACCGGAATCGGAGAGGTAGGACAGACATTAATCACCCTAGAAATCACTATGGAAATCTTCTGCACTCAGCGTAAAGAATAGACTTCGGATTTTCAGCACCAGATTTATGTCAGTCAGTCCTTCTAAATAGGTTAGAAACTTGTTCATTGCATCAAAAAGACATTTCCAACAGCCCTGCTGCAAAATATTATTAACAGCTATCTTCATTGGCCCCATAGCGAAAATCAGACTTCCAGAAAAAATTAACAGCAAGAAACTCTGGAACGAGCCAATCAAGTAGCCATCGCCGTCTCTAGAAATATTCCGAAGAAAGTGTGGGTGGATTGGACACACACTGAGTAGACCGTCCAGTGACATCGGTAGCCAAACTATCTCTCGAGTGGAAAATAAATAGGAACTTACGAGTTGGATGTTGGTCCGAGATTGACATGTTGAAGATCGCGTGAGAAGAAGATGAAGGCTTATGAGCAGTCGTGAAGCCAGCCAAGAGAGACTTCAGAGAACACATGAGAATAGAGATGTTCTGTTGTCGTCCTACCTCCCATTCGGAACCCAAGAGAATAATAATACAGATTTGTAGTGTAAAGCGACGGTCACTCAACGTTAGCAGTGGCTAACTGTCCCTACATCTAAATAGGCTCATAGGACCTCATAAGAACTTCGGTAATGGCATTCTGAAGTAAGTCAATAGTAAGCGTATATTATTAGCCAGGGAGAATTTCTTCACAAAGAAATTTTAGAATGACTTAATCCAGTTGGAGGTGACGTGACAACAACTTTAACATTGCCTCATCTGGTGAAATGTTTAAGGTCACTGGGATGATGTCAATATTCTAATGCTCTGCAATGAATAAGGGTCGGAGAGTTCTTAACTTACATCAATAAATTTGCCTGTCTTCCTTTTCAGGACAGCGTGGAAAGCCAGGTGACCCAGGCGAAAAAGGTGTGAAAGGGCTTCCGAATCCAATTCCTGGTCCAAGGGGTCCCGTTGGTGAGATAGGTCCACGAGGTGATCCTGGTTATAGAGGACCGAAAGGTTTTGGAGGTGAAAGAGGTTTTCCTGGTCCTCCAGGAAGAAATGGTACCATTGGGTTGGCTGATAGTGGTTTTCTTTTCACTGTTCACTCTCAGGATTCTCAACCACCGAATTGTCCAATTTACACAACACCACTTTATACTGGCTACAGTCTTGTCACACTGCAAGGTGATGATGACTCAACAACGATGGATTTGGGTAAGGTTATTATTTTAATAATGCCATCAGATTTTCTCTACTCCCGATAACCTGTTGTTGCTAAAATAATATAAACTAATTAAGTAAGTTTTGCGTAGGTGGTTCAGTGGTAGAATGATAGCCAACCACGCATATGGTGCGGGGTTCGATGCCCGCTCAAAAAACTTAACCTTGTAACCAGAAGGTCTCAGGTTCGATTCCAGATGGGATGGTGGGCGCATACTGCTGTTATTCATCGAAGTAGGTCGAAATACCTACCTAATACGCTTCGGTTTCCAGTCGTTCCCTAACTGAAATCGATCTGTGGTAAACATGAAACCAATCAGATCCTTACAGAGTAACATACGGAAGTTGATACGATGCTCGCTATTGACTGGCTACAGAGCGAAGTTGACTGGAGTTCAGGTAAGATGTCGTCACCAGCAGGATCTATCAGATTAAGTGTGAGGACAAATACTCCTCGATAATACTGACTGACGTTGGTTCCAAAAATCGCTAATCAATAGAAGATAGAATTCAGGGGTCAATGCATTAAATTCCAGTGGCTGAGTGGTCAACTATTTCATTATCACTCTTCGAACTGCCTTTCTCACACTGAGAAAACACATAATAATACTGACTGATGAAAAGGCAAAACGTGATTTCCCAATGCAAAAAGGCCATATTACTAGTTTATGATATGAAAACTACATTTGTATTGGTTAGCACATAATGGTAAAATCCACTGTCTTGACGTTTAATTCCAGTTAATGTCGAATATCTGGTCTACAGGACACGTCGGAAAAACGACTACAGGTCTAACAACTCTCTTTTTCTAAAATAAGTTTAGCACTAGGGAACATTTGAAGATACTTGATGGATTATGACTAGATTTGACGGAAGGGCAGCTTTTTCGGTCATATTTTTATCAAGTTCTTCAGTCGTTGACATCCAACTGCCACCTGATTGTCTAACAAAACGGTACATTTTTCAGAATACCACATCACTTATTCCAGTCCAACTGGTTAGTACTGGAGGATAATTCATTTTCGATTGATCAAACAATAAAGATCTAAGAATAATCCTTAGTATTGGTGAATTATCTTCAATCACCAGAAGTCTTCATATTCTGACCCAGTGGCATTTTATTCCGCGTTGTATAATGACGGAGATATTTTATATTGCATTTTCTGGGTTTAAGTTCTGTTGACTATTCTTCTTTGCATACGATTTTTTTCAGGAACACCTGGTTCTTGTCTTAGAAAATTCAGTATTATGCCATTCGCAAATTGTTTTGCAAAAGTCAATGGAAATTGTCAAGTCAATATGAGAAATGGACGTTCTTACTGGTTGTCTACACTGGAACAATATATGCTTTCTCCAGCCCGTGTGGAAAACATTAAACCATATATCTCTAGGTGAGTGACTTTCTGACTGACGACATTCTCCTTTATTATTATTCACCATTATTCTTTCCTGGACTTCTCAAAACAGACTCTGTCATATATTACGTAGAATACTGGGGATTGTAAGTAGGGTTAGTTAGTGGTGTGTGTGCCGTTGACTTAGCTAACTGGCATTAAAGCAATCGGCACTTCAATTCTCGCAAGCATCGGGCTAAAGTTATCTAGTTCGATACCGAACGTCCTCTTTATTGACAACGTTCTCGATGTGTCTCTGCGAGTCAAACCAGAAAAAACTTCATAAGAATTCACCCTCGTACAACTAAATATACAAATTCTACCATACCACTATATTTAGCACAGGTTTTGTGGGAAGAGAGAGTCGAATGTCAGAAAAGAACTTATAAACTTTTCAAATCAGTAATCTGAACTGCAAAGTATAAGCAAAGATTATTATTACATATACTGCCTATGATATTATCCATTTATACTTCATTATATTGTAACGACAGAAGGCAAGAGTCAGGCAAAAGATCATTTATTAAGGAAATCAACGCATATTTATATATTTCATGTACATTTCTATGGATATTTAAACAAACAAACACAGTCTTCCGATTGGTTGTTTCTCACGTAAAGTTAATCTTTCATCTATTTGTGACTGTTTCTTGAATGTCAAATCCTCTATGTGTTAACTGCATCCGCCTACGCAAAGTCTGCTGTGGTCGGTTTTGAATCAATCTTTGTTCACATTTTGTCACGACAAATCTTGGGAACGTAAATATTGACGTAAATTACTGTCTACCAATTTGGCTAGTAGACAGCTCTCACCACAATATTTCCATCAACATTCTATTCAAAGTGGTTTCATTATTAATATTATTATTACTATTTTAAGTTCTATGTATGTACGTATTTATAAAAGGAGCTGAATTGTTGCAATATGTATGAAAACGCTAAACATTCCATTCTGTTTAACTATTCTCGTTTGAAATGAAGTGATTACTACTATTATAATTATCATTTACTATTAATGACTTGTCACTTAGATGTTTTGTTAATTTCGTCAGGAAATGTGACCATATTCTAACAGGATGCAATGGCAATACTAAAAGACTGCCGTTTTCCTACGCATGAGAAGAGTTCACATGAAAAGTCGTCCTCGTTCTCGATATACCATCACCGTCTAGTAGTTACTTATGACGTTGACACGCAAGGTGCACCAGAAGTGCCTGGCGGCGAAACAGTGACCTTCTGCAGGATATTGTTTTCAGCTCAAAACCGGTGTTTAGGGATAATAAGCAAAAGGCACGGTGACTTTAACCTATCTCCCCTATTGAGTGGTACTCGCCAGTAATAATGTATTTGAAATTTTGAGGGAAGTCGTATCACCTAGTACAACATTCTGTCTGCTGCTCTTCTCTTGTATGTTTGAGTTGGACAGGTTGATCGATAAGAGGGAAGGAATCGGTGCATACTGAAAGAAATCTATCACAGAAATGCATGTAGTCACTATCAATAACAAGTTACTGTGGACTTCTAATGTAAAGTTTCACCAATTATCCGACTATATCGGTAGTGGCAAGTTTTACCAGGTAGATTTCTGTTAGTGGATTTTACTAAGCAAGGTGATTAAGGCAGACTCTGAGTCCTGGACTGTCTTCAAGAGGAAGCGCTCCACTACTCTACTTACGAAACCTGGTGAACCTCTGGCTGCTGTACTTTCTCCACTCTTTTTTCTTCCTTTTTGTATGCTCTACTATTGTAACGACAGAAGGCAAGAGTCAGGCAACAGATCATTTATTAAGGAAATCAACGCATATTTATATATTTCATGTACATTTCTATGGATATTTAAACAAACAAACACAGTCTTCCGATTGGTTGTTTCTCACGTAAAGTTAATCTTTCATCTATTTGTGACTGTTTCTTGAATGTCAAATCCTCTATGTGTTAACTGCATCCGCCTACGCAAAGTCTGCTGTGGTCGGTTTTGAATCAATCTTTGTTCACATTTTGTCACGACAAATCTTGGGAACGTAAATATTGACGTAAATTACTGTCTACCAATTTGGCTAGTAGACAGCTCTCACCACACTATGCTGTTCTAATGCTCTTTTCATTAAATTTGTTGAGAGTCTAGCAGTCTCTGCTCCAGTAGTTTCTGTAACGTATTGTTGTGTTATGAGTAGTTTCCTGTCTGAGGTGAACCAATGGTTCCATTCTAATGCACTTATACTAAGTCCGTCAAAATGTAATGCTGTTAACTTTAGTTTCAGACGTGAACAAGATGTGGGGGTCTGATTAGGCCCCATGACTCTTGTTATGTAGACGGCACTGGAATAGAGAGTAAATCGAATATCTTCTATCTAGGCATCAGTTTCTCTCCTAATTAGTTCACGTCGTCTTTAATCTTATGGATTTCTGAGAAAATGTTTCGTCCGAATTATTACATATGGTCTTTCTGGCACAACTCAACCCGTTCTCTTACAATTTATTTATTCATGTTCTTCCCTGGGCTTCTCAAGAAAACCATGTAATATTATGTAGAACATTAGAGGTTATAAGTAGGGTTATTGGTTCGCCTTGACTCAACTAACTGATAATGTTGTTAATAGGCACTTTAATTCTTGCAAGCAGCTAGCTTTATGTTCTTCTCTTAGATACCGAACATCCTCTTCATCCGTAGCTTCCTTCTTGAATCTCTTTGGGTTAAAACCAAGAAGAGATTTCAACTGAATTTGTAACCATACAGCAAAATATAAAAATTCCGCCATACTATACTTACCACGGATTTTGTGTGAGGTGAGACAGTTTTTCAGAAAAGAGCTTATAAAACTTCTTTTTAGTCACTAAATAAACAACAAATTACGACCAGAATTAAAGTATTAGTTGGTAGGCATTTGATTGGTTGGTTTCCTGCCTTGATAAGGGTGCTAAGTTCGTTCTAACAGCTTTTTTAGACTATACTGCAGCTTTCGACTCTGTTCCTAGGACACTTTTATTAGGAAGGATGATTTCAGCACAGACAGAGACCTGGGCAACTAGATGGCTGTCTTCTTATTTTAAGGATAGGAAACAGCATACTGTTTTGGCTGGAAAGCGCTCCACTTCTCAGCTAACTGAAAGTGGTGTGCCTCAAGGTGCAGTACTTTCTCCATTTCTTTTCTCTTTCTTTTTGCATGACCTTCCGAACTCACCCAAAGTTAACTTCATTAAGTATGCTGATGATCTGACCACTTCTGTCCCTGTAGTTTCCACATCGGATTGTTCTCATATGAATGGCTTCTTAGCTGAAGTTAAGGATTGGTCTGGCTCAAATGGTCTTAAACAAAATCCAACTAAATGTAATACTGTTGATTTTAACTTGAGAAGTGAAAAAGATATGCATGGATTGGTCCAATCTCATGATTATTGTAATATTGATGGTACCATGATAGAGAGTAAGTCATGTGTTTCTTATCTTGGCATTAGTTTCTCTTCAAACCTTTGCTGGTCGTCTCATATTCTTATAGTTTCTAAGAAAGTTTTCCGTCTGACTTATTACATAAAGAAGTTGAGGCACTCAGGTATAACCCAATCTCTTCTCATGCAATTTATTAATTCATGTGTTTTGCCCATCATTCTTCATTGTTCCCCATTATTCTTCCCTGGGCTACTCAAAAAAGACCATATAATACTACGAAGAACATTGAAGGCTGTAAGTAGGGTCAGTGCTATCCCTTTGACTCAACTAACTGACACTGTTGTCAATAGGCACATGAATTCTTGTAAACACTTAGCTAAAGTTATCTTGTCTGATAGTGAACATCCTCTTTATTCACAATTGTTTCCTTGTATCTCTTCGGGTAAGACCAGAAGAAATTTCATAAACATTTATGCTCGTACTACAAAATATAAAAATTCGACCGTACCATATTTGGCACGAGTATTGTGTGAAGAGACAAATATCAGAAAAGAACTTTTACAACTTTTAAATCATTAACTAAACTATAAAATGTAATGGTGCATATTATTGCATATGTGATTTGTTATATTATTTATTTATTATTCACTATGACCTAGAAATGGTGTATTTTGTTGGGGTTTTTATTTTTCCTATTAACTATTAATATTTTTAACATTTCATACATTTATATAATTATAAAAAGAGCTAAACCAATGCAATATGTAAAATGAAACGCTGAAAATTCCATGCTGTAAATTGTTATTGTTGTGGAATAAAGGGATTATTATTATTATTACAGGATTCGATCATGAGCTGACATTGGTTAGAGAACTGTTGGAAAACTTGGAAGTAATGGACAGCTGTTTTGTGCTAGTTCGGGACTTCACTATCAATTAGATACTCATTAGCGAATAGTCCTATTTAGGGAAGTAGTTATCTGAGATTCTAGTTGGAAGCTGTGACCAGTGGGATACAGCAGGTCGGACGTGAGGACAGATACTCGCTGAAGACAGTGGCCCGTGGTCGCTGTATTTCGTGAATTGGCAGAAGTTGGAATCAATAGGCTGGTCATTGAGTTGGGTCACAATGGCTTAATGGTCTACCAGTTCACCTTGCAACAATAAAGTCCTCAGTCCTAAACACGTTGGTGGGTGCGTAGCGCTGTTGAGTCCCAGAACTGGGACGAAACAGCTGTCCAGTACTCCTGGCTAGTGGTTTTTCAATGGTTCTCTGACCGATGTCAGCGCATGATGAAATCTTATAACCAATGCAACCAGAATTATTATCGCACAGTGTTTATTATATTAATCACTTACTACTCATTATGTTCCGCTAACTTTCAATTTTCGTGGGGTTCTAACATTTTCATTATTTCTCATGTATTTTTACCTTTATAAAAGGAGATAAATTGTTACAATATATGGAGATGCTGAAAATTCCATTCAGTATAATTATTATTTAATAATTCCCACTGTATAATATTAAGAACACAATATTCAGCGAAGAGACTCTTTTCAACAACGAATTTATTATCAAGGTTTACAGTCGCATATATATGGGTTTTAAGAAATTATATCCGGTGAGAGAATTGGAACAAAGGTGTGAATACATGAAATAATAATAATAGTATGAGGTGCAATTAAAATATTTGTCAAGTATTGGCTTTGCAGGTGCGTCGGTGGCACAGCGGTTAGGATGCTCGCCGACCACGCAGGTGGTCTGGGGTTCGATCCCCAGCCACGGACGCACTCCTTTGCCTCGCTAAGCCAGTAATAGGGCTGGTAAAGAGGGAAGGTTGGGCATGAGGCTAGCAACCCCATCTCGTAAAAATAGACATCACTGCTACAGAAACTTCAAGCATCTAGCTTGACACCCTATGTTTCACTGGGAACGTGAAGGAATTAAAAAAATTGGTTTTGTAAGGATTTTTGTTTGATTGTTTGGAGGATTTCATCATGAGTTGACATCAGTTAGAGAACCGATTGGAACACGTGGTGATACTGCACAGCTGTTTCGTCCTAGTTGGGGACGTTTCATCAGGACGCACCCACCGAGGTTGGAACCCAGTGGTATTCATCAGCCACTGGGACCCGATCCAATGGCCAGCCCATGAATCCTAACTTCTGCCAATTCATGACATATTTGTGATTATAATCGTATTTAACTGTCAAGTAGAGAAACAATTTATGACATATATTGAATAATTCATAGGATGTATAGAACTTGGAATGGGTGTGCAATCATAGGATCAGTAGGCGAATAGAATAGAATAAAAACGTTACGTAACACTGTGTGAAATTTGATAAGATAAAATTCTACCCGGTAAAAAACATTATTAGATTCAGAATGACAATTGAGACAAGAGGAAACAAATCAAATCGAGAATAGTAGTCATAATTATAATAATCGTAGTAATGAGAGAAAGGTTCAAAAAATAACTAAATAAGCAAAATAAGTAGATAAGTGTCTATCGCTTTATGGCCAAGACAGAAGTAGGGATTGAACATACTTCTTTTGTACACAAGAGGATAGCTCAAATTCGTAAATGGCCAAGGCCTTAGCTGTCTTTAGAAATCTGTAACGAGGATAACGCGGTAAAATAGCACAAATTTGGAAGGTGATCTTAAAATCATGGTCAGGATCGGTACAGTTTCTTATCATCCTACTAATCCTATAAGTATACACCCCGTTTGCAACAATATCTACACATCTTATGAATTATTCTCTATGTGACATTAATTGTCTTGCTACTTGACAGTTAACTATGACTGTAATCACAAATATGGCATGAATTGGCAGAAGTTAGGATTCATGGGCTGGCCATTGGATCGTGTCTTAGTGGCTGATGAATGATCCACGGGCTGGCTCTCCTTGTAATCAGAAGGTACTGGGTACCAACCTCGGTGGGTGTGTACTGTTGAAAAGTCCCCAACTAGGACGAAACAGCTGTGCAGTATCACCACGTGTTCCAATGGGTTCTCTAAGTGATGTCAACTCATGATGAAATCCTCCAAACAATCAAACAAAAGTCCTTACAAAACCAATACTTGACAAATATTTTAATTGCACCTCATACTATTATTATTATTTCATGTATTCACACCTTTGTTCCAATTCTCTCACCGGATATGATTTCCTACAACCCATATATATATATATATGACTGTTCAGCTTGGTAATAAATTCGTTGTTGAAGAGTCTCTTCGCTGAATATTATGTTCATAATTATTATTGTTTAAAATAAGGTGATGATTATATATATTGCATTACATCGAAACTAAATCGTCCACTCATTTGACAAATGGCAAATAAAACACATTCCAAACCACAATTATTCCTGAAGAAAGTCACTGCTTTGGTTTTTTGCTCCGCTCGATATGTATTTTATCTTCGTTTAAGTGTTATGCATCTGCCTTAACCTTCTTTATTGTGCCAAGCTGGATAGATAGAGTTCAATCAACTGATAGGGCCAGGATATTTGTTATACATGCCTAGACATCGCCTTCATCGTCCCTCGACAGTAGCTGACATAGAATCAGGTAGAAAAAGATTTAGTGGTATTCAAACCAACAACTTGGAGTCAGTTAATGAAATCCTCAAAGGTCAGTGTGAGCCACATAGGGAAGTATAGTCCACCTGATTGGATCCTCAAGATTCTAAACATCAGTGGTTAGAGACAATCAGTGATATGGCTCAAAATCATCCTCAGTGGCGCAGATGCATTTATCTCTTTGTGATCCCTCGTATTCATTTAACCGTCATTTCTTTCCTTGTTACAATTCCATTTCCTTCATATTTCCGCCTTATTATCGATCTTTTCAAACTCCCCTTTTTTCTCTTTTGTCCTCCTTTGTGTAATATATGCGGCGTAATAAGTTCAACTGCCACACTCCTGTTGAAAGTTCTACTAAAAGTTAGTCAGTTCAATACCCCTACTAAGCACTGGGTGCTATACCTTTCGCAAAGTGTAATAAAGATAAGATTTATTAGGTATTCTGTCGTTTTATATTTTCATACAGGTGCGTTGTATGCCAGTCTAGAACATGGTTGGTAGCCTTCCATTCACAACGTGATGATGTTGGTCAAATGTGTCCACCTGGATGGGAAAATGCATGGAATGGATTCAGTTTTCCAATGGTAATTGTTTTCCTTATTTGTATTTGTGAATGTTGTGTATTTTCAGTTAAAATATATTGTTCTGTAGTCCACTTGATATCATGAACAGTTGGAGTAATTGGAAGTCACTCGCTTACACACACACACAAACAACCGTGACCGTTAGATAGAATGAAGTGATCTTAAGATTGTAAAAAGATCTTGTTTTTTGTCTTCTGCATCCCGATAGATCTAACCAATAACGACAAATGGGAAATAATAGACATTTTGACTTTCGTGAGAATGGATTCTTCAAAGCCTAAAGAGACAAACATGAGTTGAATCAAGGGGGAAGTCAGCCTCTAAAGCTGGTGTCTTGACGATTTGTAAAACCAAGCTAAAAATGAAAAAAATGATTTGGATTTCTCGCTCTCTGTCTGAGTCCCTGAACAGTAGGATTGAGTACAGTCATTGATATAAGAATAAAACTTGTGCGCTGTGGTAGAGTGTAATTCCATTATTGGTAAATTTTGTTTTGATAAAGTCTCACAGTGTTATAAATTAAAGCCAGAGGATGTCATTCCTAACATAGAAGTAGCACTAAGCTCAGTAGATAAGACAACAGCAGAAGAGGTTCGAGAACAATGTGCATTGACCCTAAAAAATCAAAAGAAGGCAAAATCAAACTTAGCAACATCGGAAAGTCTAGCTTTAATTAGTCTAAAACAAGATAAAAACATCGTCATTACAAAAGCGGACAAAGGAAACTCGACAGAAGTCTTGGATAAGTCTGACTATATCAAGAAAGTCAGTGAACATATTGAGATGGGTCCTAGAGAGGAAATTAAGAAGCCCATAGATACAATAATGAATAAGGTTAAAAAATCCACAGCGGAATTAATACGCAGAATGAAGCCGTCACTAGGTGAGTCAAAATGGTTTAATTTAATGCCTTAAACTAATAATGCTAGTAGAATGTATGGCACTATTAAAATACATAAACCAGGGTACCCCATACGACCAATAGTAGATTTTAGGAATACTCCTACTTATGAATTATCAAAACACTGGGTTCTAATATTAGAAATCGTTCAAATTCTAGACTAACTAATTCATATGAAGTGAAAAATAAACTAAATGACATTCAACTAGAGAATGATGAAACGATGGTTAGTTTTGATATAACCAGTCTTTATACCAACATACCAATCAGTAAACATTACTGTATAACACTTTGAGACTTTATCAAAACAAAATTTACCCATAATGAGTACGGTCATGTTTGTTAACCGGAAAACCTGTCAGCATCATTATCTGCTTAGTAGTAATAACTGTTGACATGTTCTATGAATGAAAGAGTAACTGACGATTCATTTGGTATATAGCGAAAATATTCATTCAGACATCTATAAAACACAAAATAATTGAGCAAAGAATATCCTTTTCGTTAATTTCCTCTTCTGTCTCTACAATTATATATACATGTTTATATACATAGAATATTCTAGAATAGTAGTCAATAACAATATAAGTCTTTTTTAAATAATATCGAATTACAAAGGAAAATCAATGGAATTACAGTTCATTAAACATGCTTAAACAATAATAATAATGAAGATATTATAGCAAATAGAAAATCAACTAAAATTAGGGAAATTTCTACAAAAAGTTGAGGATCATTCAAAACCTAGATGGCCAAGGTAAGGGCAATGTCTGAACTAGCTTCTTTTGGACGCATAAATTAGGGTTCTTAATGTGGATCCCAAAAACCCCAGCATTATTTAGTGTTCAAACTCTTAAGGCGAAATTAAGATTAGTCGGTATGCGATAGATGACGCTGAAAGCCTGGTTAACATCAATCTTGTGTTGTGTATCCACGAGATGAGATAGAATAGCGCTACGAATAGATTTTGTTTGTCCTTTACTTAACCACTAAGCAGAGTGATGTTCGGAAATCCGACGAGAAACACGCTTAATTGGACAGCCTATGTAACTGGCTCCACAGAAGCAGTTAAATTGGTAGATACACATAGAAGAAGCGAAATTAGGCAGTTTATCCTTTACTTCCGAAAGCAAAAGAGGAGTGGTTTTGAAGATACAGTGCATTTTTGCGGCGTTGTGTTCGTATCTCGCTGAAGATGTCCCCGAGGAACTGAATTTGTAAGAATAAGGCCTTTTTAGGAACTGTTTGTATTTTTGGGCTGCTTTGGTTTTAGATTCATATTCTTATCAACATACTTTTCTGGATAACCGTTTTCATTCAGCAACCGTTTAATATTATTAAGTTCCTCATCAAGACATTCATCCGAGCAGATTGCTCTTGCTCTGTGAACCAAGCACTTTATCAGATTGCGTTTGTATTCTAAGGGCATGAAGCTAAAATAATGTTTTTTTCCTTCACGTTCCCCAGTGGAATATATGGCTCCAAGCTAGTGGCTTGAAGTTTCTGTAGCGATGCTTATTTTACAGGATGGGGTTGCTAACCCAACCTTTCCTCTTCACAAGCATTATATCTGGCTTATTGAGGTAAAGTGCGTCGGCCGGGGATCGAACCCCAGACCATGTGAATGGTTGGCGAGCGCCCTAACCGCAATGCCACCGACGCACAAAAAAATGTTTTAGGCAGTTAGAACCTAGTATCCAGTTTTGAGATACGGACAATCAACTGAATGTGACGATACCGGGATGTATTATATTTTGACATTTTTTTCTAGACACCCGTCGATGGAAAGCGGTACATCTTGTTAACTGAAAGATTATTCGAATGCTGACCACTGAGTGCTTTGTTTAGAGATCTTCTTGCTTAACCTTTCAGATCTGGTCAGAATCCTGTTTCGGCTGCCTGTTTAACGTGAAGCTAAAGGCTGCAACACACTTGTATATAGTTTATATATATATGCATATAAACATATATATCTTAGCAACAAGAAACTCTGGGAACGAGCTAATCAGGAACCCATTGATCAACAAATATACAAAAAACATGGAGATGGATTGGAAAAGCTTACAGAAGACTGTTGACTGACATCGTTGGAGTGGAACTCGGAGATAGGAGCCATGAGTTGGACGTAGGTGGTTCGAGGCTAATAAGGAGGAGATCGTGTGAGGGGGATATGAAAACCTATGGGCAATCTCAGGGTCAGGTAAAGAGGATTGCAGAGAAAATGACACAGAGAAGATGTCCTATTGAAGCTCTATGCCCCATTGGGATCCCAAAAGTACATTATATATGTATACATACGCTGTCAAATTATCAGAAACGAGAAGACAGGGATATCCTGGACCGACGTGAAGAACCCAGAAGACCTGGATATCGCGTGTGGATGATTTATGTTTGATGTCACACAAAACGGAAGACTTAAAAGCGAAAACCGACAAACTGGTCGAAGAGGCTGGCAGCAAAGATAGGACTCCAGGTGAACATAGACAAGACGGAGGTTATGAAAATAACCAACAACAACGACAACAACAACAACAGCAACATCCAGCGCCAATCACCATCAACGGGAGGGATTTGAAAGAGGTTACTTCATTCACTTATCTAGGGAGCATTGTCTCAACTACAGGACGAACGGTCGGGGATGTCGAATCGAGAATCGGGAAGGCGAGAAACACATTCATCAACCTGAAACCAATCTGGAAATCTTCGTCACTCAACTTAGCATCAACGACAAAATTCGGATTTTCAATACAAACGTCAAGTCAGTCAGTTCTTCTATGCGGATGGATCAGAAACTTGGCCGGTCACAATGAATATTTCCAACAGCCTGTTGCAGACCTTTATCAACAACTGTCTTCGCTAGCTCTATACTCAAGATCAGGTGGCCGGAAAGAATCACAAACAAGAAACTATGGGAAGAAACAAAACAAGAACGAATCGCTCAACAAATATGCAGGAGAAAGTGGAAATGGATTGGACACTCGCTGAGGAGGCCACTGGGTGACATCGCGCGTCAGGCCAGTGCTCGAGTGGAACCCGAGAGGGAAGCGGCGAGTGGTTCGTTGGTGCAAGGGTGACATGGAGGAGATCGTGTGAAGAGGAATTGAAACAGCATGGACTAACATGGATGCAAGTGAAAAGTACAGCAGAAGACAGAATCAAGTGGAGACGTGTAGTTGAAGCCCTATGTTACACTAGGAACCGAAGGGAACAATAATAGTAATAATACTTTACAAGGACCTTTGTTTATTATTCTTAAACTCTTCCGACTTTTATAACTGTATACTTGAGATGAATAATGAATAATGACGTTGATGGTTAGAAATCAGCTAATGACTGAACTCATGCACTATGATTTGGAGATTTATAAAGGCTTTAATGCTGTTCACTACCTTGAATTCAATTAATTTTAGTGAAAATTCTATTTCTAATGAATTACTTTTCTTGTACTCAATAAATATGTTACTTGAAAGACTTTATTTAAATCGTGGAAAATACCCATTGGAACATTAGATTGAGAAGAATAAGAATTTCAGCAAAGATATCTTTTCGGCGATTTCATTTTCAAAAGCTGTACAATCGCATTTAAATACATAATTTTACATGGAGACAATTCTTGTTTGATTCTACATAATTATGACAGCGAATAAAAGGTGATAATTATTTCCAACTAGATATGGTTATACGAGAGGCTTAGAAACAAAAATTACGCAGGATTAGAACGGATATCAAGTGTGTAAAAATGAGCATGGATACAAAATTGAAATAATAATTTTCAACTTGAGATGGGAATCAGGAGGTGCGAATATAGATTACAAGAGCCTTGGAAACAAAATTACATGGAATTTAGCAAATTACAGGTGTGCAGAAAGTGAGCATGGAAACAAAATTGATATAGTAGTTTTAACTTAAAATGGAAGTTAGGCTCTTGTAATCTATATTCACACCTCCTAACTTCCATTTTAAGTTAAAACGCAATGGAGACGTTTGGCTGAAGCCCTATGTTCCTCCAGGAATTAAAGGAAACAATAATGATAATAATTACATATTCATATTCACTTGGAGTCTAAGTGGAATATAAGGCATTAACAGTACATCTACACTGTGTCCTCCTATCTGAAGTTCTCCTCAGCTAGCCCCACGATTGCCCATAAGCTCTTATCTCCACCTCTCACGATCTCCTTCACGTCACCGTCGGACGCACATTAAACCCGTAATTCCGCATTTGGGTTCCACTGGGACGATAACCTAGTGCGGTATTTCAGTCGACGTTCTCCTCAACGTATGTCCAATCCATCTCCACTTTCTTCAGAATATCTTTTGGGCCAGCAATAGGTTCTTGATCTTGACTGGTTTGTTCCCAGATTTCAGTGTGGCTAATCCTGTCAGATTGGACGTCAGATCTCGAGTATAGAAACAGCGAAGATAGCTATTGATAAACGTCTGCAGCCGGCTGTTGCAAATACTCCTTGTGATGATGCTCTTCTGCTCTTCTGTATTTGAAAGATTCACGTCTTGATAAGTAAAAGAAACGACGTTTTTCGAATCCCTCCTGGTGATAGTGATTGGTTGCTTATCTTCATCACCTCCATCTTCGCTATGTTGCTTAACAGACCTAAATTATTATTAAACATTGCTATCTGAAATAGATTTTAAGATGTTCCATGTATATGTGTATTTTTGAATTAATGACCTTTTGACCTTAAATAAACTTACTTATCATTTAATTTGCTTACACAGGCTGTTGGATCCTCATCTCACGGTGGTGTACAACCATTAGAATCACCTGGTAGCTGTTTACAGCATTTCCGTGCACTACCCTTTATCGAATGTAATAATCATGATGGAAATTGTTTCCATTGGCAAGATGGTCGATCCTATTGGATGGCCAGTATACGACAAAATGAACAATTTATAAAGCCGATTGGTACAACGTATAAAACAGAAACAGGAATTCTACAACATGTTAGTCGTTGTAGTGTATGTCGACGTGCAATGGAATCTTTGCTACGTTAGCGTGATTGCCGTCAGTGTTCCTTCTATCTCAGATTTTATCTTTGTTTTTAAATGATAACTGTGAATCGCACATAATCCTCCCCCCCCTTCAACACCTTACAAAACACACACATATATATGTACACACAAACATACATGCCTACAGACACACACATACACAAGATTGTTTATCTGTTATTGCAGTATACCTTTATATATGACGTGTGTGCGTGTGTATACTACATTAGCAATATTACATTTCAAAAGAATAAAAAAATAGATCAGAATGTTAAAAATGTCTTTTAAAACAAAATTTATCGATTTAATATTATCAAATTAAAAATTTTTTTTCTAGTAATATAATTACTACTAATCACATTATTACAACTATTATTTATAATTATCATTACTCTAGACTATTTTTTTTCAAAGCTGATTTTAAAATTTAAAAAATCGATAAATCGATCTCTATATCCAATTATCAATCAATATTGATTATTCGTATTCTTATTATTGATGTTATACAACTTAAATGTTATACCTTTTCAGTAAAGTAGGCTTTTATCTTTTATTTTGAATTAAACACTACTACTACTATTTTGTTGTCTGCTTCTTCTTCACATTTTTTGGATGAATTCTATGAGATGATCTCAAAAAACAAAGCAGAGTGGATTGAGATGGGGGGAGGGAAGAATGTGAGACAGCTTAACTTTTATTTTTAGCCACTTAGTGATAATGCCTATCAATTAATTATACTTAGCTATCCTGATCTGCTTTTTTATTTTACTGTTTGTTATTTAACATAGGTCTATATATATGAATACATGAATACAGGAAGTTTGATTTTCAAAATTTTATTCAACAATTTAAAAAAATTAATCTTATTTTCTTCAAAATATTGATCTTTAGGAATTTTAAAACAAACTTTAATCAATTATCTACAAATATATACACAAGTATACATGTATGAATACTATCTGTCTATCTGTCTATCTATCTATCGAAATATACATATGATACTTTCGCATTGTTCATTTACTTTTTTCGATTATAGCTTCATTCCACACCGTATTTTACGGTACAAGTATGGAATTTTCAGCATGTGATATCGGTAGCCCGAATTTTGCTGGCTGACCATTGATATCAGGTGTGAGTCGGCAGGGGATCGAACCCGGGACCATATGCATGGTCGATGAGAGTCCTAACAGCTGTGCCACCGACGCACCAATATATTTAATAGATAATATTGTTTGAGAAATGGATTGATGCTATACAACCTATTATTATTATTGTTTCCTTTAATTCCTACAGGGACATAGGGCTTCAGTCGTGCGTCTCCATTGCGTTCGATTCTCTCCTAGAGTCTTCACCTGACTCCAAGTCTGCCCACACGCTTTCATCTCATCCTCACATGACCTCCTCCAAGTCACCCTCACCATTGCACTGACGACCAACTCGCCGCTTCCCTTTCGGGTTCCACTCGAGCGATGGCCTGTCTAGTGATGTCACTTGATGGATTGTTTCCTCAGAGTATGGCCAGCCAATCCATCTCCATTTCTTCCTGCCTATTTGTTTCACAATCGGTTCCTGCTGAGTTGGTTCGCTCATTGCCAGAGATCTCTGTTACTGATCATTTCTGGCTGGCCATCTGATCTTGAGTGGTATTGAGCGAAGACGACTGTTAATGAAGGTCTGTAGTTTGTTTGAGATGCTGTTTATGACGCGCAGTGCAAGTCTCTGATCCGTATGGTGAGTAGCACTGACTTCACATTGGAGTTGAAAATCCGGATCTTATTTTCATTTTCAAGCTGAGTGCTGTTGACCTCCACACAGATTTGAGAGTAGTGAAAGCTTGTTTCGCTTTTCCGATTCTTGCTTTGATATCCTCGTCAGTTCCGTTTGCCCGTAGTTGAAACGATACTTCCCAGATAGGTAAAAGAGGTTGTTTCTTTCAGATTTCTCCCATTTATTTTGGCTGATAGTTGTCCGTTGTTGTTTTTGCTGCTGCTGTTGGTGGTGTTGCCCAGGAATCTTCATCACCTCCGTTTTCTCTATGTTCACCTGAAGGAAGTCCTATCTTCTCTGGATGCTTCTTCTGCCAACTTGTTGCTTTTCGCTTGCATATCTTCCAGTTTGTGGGAAATCAGACATATATCATCGGCGAAGTTTAAGACTGTAATGGATACTTTGATTGGACAATAGTTAGTAACTAGTGTAATGTGTCGAATGCTTTGTTCGGTGCAGACTGAATTCTATCAGTCAGGTTTGCAGTGTGACCACCTGGGTCAAGTAAGGCTTCCTACCGATTGCTTCCAACCATCTAATATCAAAAGTTTAAAGTGCACCGTGATGGCAAGTTAACTAGGAAGGTGGACACATTGCAAACTTGACTGATAGAATTTAGTCTGTGACTAACAAAGGACTAGGTGCTTGTGATACTAGTTACTAAGTAGTGTCCAAGCAAATGAATAATAATGATGACCATAATAATGACTCACTGTCAAATGTTGATTTGGAAGGAATTGGTTGTTCTAAAGTTAGATCAGGAATATTAGTTTGTTTATTTGATATATCACACAGTGAAACAGTATTATTTACTGGATGACGAGATTTCGAACACAATTTATTATTGTTCATAATCATCAATTATAATCACACGACTTCGAAACTTGAGTTTTATAGTTTTCTTTGTTCTCTCCTATTTGTCATTTGGGTAGTAGAATTTTCCAGATATCGGGGACAGGTGATGAATCATTCCTATTACATGTATTTGTAGTTGATTCGATAAACAAAGCTTCTGTTATCAATCTCTCCCTATACCCTGTGACATTAGATTTTAAAACTGTCATCCTATCCCATCCTATTGTATGGTTGTGTGTAACTGCATGTAGTGCTATAGCTGAACTGTTCTCTAGATTTCTTATCTTATTCGGGTCAACCAATGTAGATTTTGCTAAGTTTTTATGTTCAGCTAGTCTGACTGCCCCTGTTCTACTAGGAGAGAACAAAGAAAACTATAAAACTCAAGTGTCAAAGTCGTGTGATTATAATTGATATGATTATGAACAATAAATTTTGTTCGAAACGTCATCCAGTAAATAATACTGTTTCACTGTGTGATATATCAAATAAACAAACTAATATGGAATTATTTACTACCACAGTGCCCAAGTTTTACGCATATATTAATAGATCAGGAATATTTTTCACTTTAAGAATCATTCAAAAATCCAGGCAGAACTGGATACGTGAGTTTCAGTATAGTTTGTGACACTCTGACGGTGCACATCGATGACTTCAATGAAGACTGAAGTTTGATTGGTTGAAGGATTTCATTATAAGCTGACATCAGTTAGAGAACCACTGGAAAACCACCTGGGAGTACTGCAGAGCTGTTTCGTCAGCCTAGTGAGTTGGTGGTACTGCGGTTGGGACTTTCACCGACCATGCACATGGTCAGGGGTTCGACACCCTGCCGACACACACCTGATACCGATTGTCGGTCTGTAAAATTTGGTATACCGATATCACATACTGAAAATCCCATACTTGTACCAAAAATACGGTGTGGAATCAAGCTATAGTCAAAACGTTTTTTTTTAAAATTCAAAAAATTTAGTTTGGGACGTTTCAGTAGTACGCACACACCACTTTTCGCACCTTATACCTTCTGGTTACAAGGCGAGCTCGTAGACAGTTCAGACACTGCGACCCTATTCAATGGCCAGCACATGAATTCCAACTTCTGCTAAATCGCGATAAAGCGTGATGCATTAATTCTCTGGACCACATAGAAAATCCAAAATTAGTTCCTTATGCAGAAAGCAGTAGATTTCCACACTGATTTCAGATTAGTGTAAGGTCTGTCTACCCTTTCAATCCTGGTTTCGCCATCTTCATCCGTGTTGTTGAAACGATGCTGCTCAAGGTATGTGAAAAAAAATTCACCTCGTTCAGATTTGTTTCGTTGACAGTGATTGGTTCTCGTTGTTGTTGGTTGGTTGTCTTCATCACCCGCTTGTCTTTTCAGTGTTTGTTTGAAGTCCTGTGTTTGCTGCTTCTTCTTTTTCTTCTACTTTGTTGCTTTTCTCTTTTAGATCTCCGAATTTACGTGACATCAAACATAGATCATCCACTAAGTCCAGATTGTCTACAGTTGTCTTATCGTTCCAACCTATTCCAGTCTTCTAGCTCCCCATGCACAGTCTGCCACGTGAACCAGTCCACCTTATTTAGAAAATTATCAGTGATAGTAGTCAGCCTTGCCTTAATCCTCTCTTCCCTTCAAAGGCTTCCCTGAGTTTTTCATCGTAAGTCACTTGACATGTAGGCATCATCATCATATAGCTGCTGAATCAGTAAGTGTAGCACAAAAAATATCATACAGAGGACCATTTGAAACAGTCAATGAGTTATGGACAGCAGTTTTGTCCTAGTTTGAGACATTTGGCTGTACCCGCTCGTTGGAGTTGGAACCCACGTCCTTCTGGTTACATGTCAAGCTCTTAGAGCATTCAGATGTTGGGATCGGATTCGATGACCAGTGGATTCCAGACTCTACTAATCCGCGACTTTTAACCAAATGGTAATGGGTTCGACTCAGGGTGGTGCGCACTGATGAAGAGCTCAAAACTAGGACGAAACAGCTGTGCAATACTCCCAGGTTTTCCAATGGTTCTCTAACCGTTGTCAGCTCATGATGAAATCCTGTAATCAATCAATCAAATCCCTACAAATCAATACTTGAATAAATTGTTAATTGTTGTAAAATACTAGAGACAGAACAAGCTCAGTGTAAACTACAAAAGGTTGACACATAATATGGATAATAATGGATTGAAGTAAACTAGGTCAAAAGGAATAAAAAAAGGCAAAATATGACAATTTACTTTTGTAGGATTTTATTCCTTTATGTTCCCAGTGGAACCTCGCCTAGATTACTAGGTCACTAGTATTCTAGCCGGTCCCAAGCCCGGATAAAGAGGGAGGGTTGGGGCGTGGTGCTAGCAACTCCACCCCCAAAACTTAACCAAATTGCTACTAAAACTTCAACGCACAAATATATTAAAAATTCTAAAAATACAAACAATAACCTTATTTTTCGCTGGAATCGGGGAAGTGAAATGACGCAGGCTGGTGAAAGCCTTCGAGAAGCCAGTCAGCCGATGTGCCTTCTTTCGATGAAAGCAAAAATAAGGATGGGGACGTGGAATATTCGTACAATGTACGAAACTGGAACGGCTGCTCAGGTAGCCGCAGAAATGAGGAGATATAAAATAGAAGTGTTGGGAATCTGCGAGAGCAGATGGAACGGATGCGGAAGGTGCCAACTACCAACTGGAGAGACAATAATCTACTCTGGTCACCCAGAGGACAATCACGAGCACACCGAGGGAGTAGCCATCATGATGTCACCAACAGCGGCTAAAGCTCTCATGCAGTGGGAACCAATCTCCTCCAGGATAATGACAGCTAGGTTCAACTGAAAAGGAAAAAAAGTTACAATCATTCAGTGCTACGCGCCTACAAACGTCTCAGAAAAAGAGAAGAAGGAGAATTTCTACAGTCAACTACAAACAGTAATGGACAACGTCCCAAAGAGCGATATCAAAATCCTGATGGGCGACATGAATGCGAAACTGGGAGGAGACAATACAGGAAGAGAACTCACCATGGGTCGTGAGGCCCTCGGTGAAATGAACGAAAATGGCGAACTCTTCTCAGACTTCTGCGCCTTCAATGATTTGGTGATTGGTGGCAGTGTGTTCAAACACAGGGATATACACAAGGCAACATGGATTTCACCAGATGGACACACCAAAAACCAGATAGACTTCATTTCAATCTCAAGGAAGTGGAGACGGAGCCTACTGGACACAAGATCGAGGAGGCGATCAGATGTGGGTTCAGACCACTATCTAGTACAAGGGACATTCAAGGTGAAGCTGAAATCCTCGAGGATACCTGGAAATAGGCCACAATGCAAGTTCAACACGCAAAAACTGAAAGACACAACCACAAAGGA